CACAAGGGAACATGGCCGCAGGGCAGCCGTCAGAGGCACAAGGGACTGTGGCCGCAGGGCAGCAAGAAGCAGGCTCAGCCCTGAGTTGGCTCAGCGGGCGCATCCCCAAGCGGAGCCCGTCCATCAGGGCCAGGATGCCACGCACCTGCAGGGGATGCAGGGTCTGGGTTCACACAGGCAGCTGTGCGGGGCCAGGTGTGATGTGGCTATGGGGCTGCACAGGAGGAGCGAGTCAAGGGTCAGCAGTCACAGGGCCCCTAGGTCCACCCTGCCTCATGGTCGACGCCCAACAAGAGTCCTACAGGGACTGAGCAAAAGGCTGGCACAAAGACCCCCGGCTGCTTCTCCCCGGTCACCGTGCTGCCCAGGGGCTGGCTGGGGTCCCAGGGCATGGGGTCAGGCACGTGACATGGCCACCTTGGCCAGCCCCAGCGCCTGGCCTGCCCAGCATGTGGGTGGGGCAGGAGGGACTGGGTTCTAGGGGCTCCATGCACAGCGTCCTCCCCGACGGCTCCCCGCCAGAGCAGGGTCTCGTCAGAGGCGTCACTGGACTTCACAGGACGCGCCCTCTGCTCAGAGACCAGACCCGCACGGATACGTAGAGTAGCCCTGGGCAGCCCGGCCAAGCATCCTTGGTGCCCCCTGTGGCGGACAGCAGGATGCCCTCTGCGCCAGCTGCCCAGGAGGGGACAGCTGGGACAGGGCCGGGCGCCTCCTGTCCCTCAGCCCCTGAGGGGCGGCTGAGAGGCCTCAGGCACCAGAACGGAGCCACAGGCAGAGGCCGCTGGCCCTGCTTTGTCCAGGTCGCTCTGGTGTCCAGGTCCAGGGCCCCCAAGCGCCCCTCTAGGCCTCTCAGGGTATGGCTTCCACACCCCAAGCCTGTAGCACCTTCCTGCCCCGCCAGGGTTGGCCACTGGTGCCCCGAGGCCCCAGGAGAAGCACCTGTGAAAAGCCCAGGCCGCGTGTGGACAGACACCTCGGGGGCTGGGATGTGTCTGTGCCATGTTCTGAATCCAGTCGCCCTCGCCTCCTCGCCCCATCAGGTGCTGGGAGGGTGATGCTGGCACAGGGTGCGGACAGGCTCTAGGGGTTGGGATCCCACCACCCGTGCAGCTCCACAGACCCCAGCCCCACCAGCCCAGCCCGCGCCAGCCCCAGTGCCCCTCATCTGGTCTCCCCACCCTACCCCTACACCCAGGAGCTCTGCCCAAGCCCTCAGGGCTCCTCGAAGAGCCTGCTGCCAGGTGGGTGCATAGACCTAGCAGCCAGCCGGCCACCTACCTGGACGCTGCTGTCCCTCCAGGGCTGGGACTGACCAGGTGCTGGGAGGAGGGTCGGGGTGTTCACGCCCCAGCCCCTTGCTGCAGGGCCTCGGCCTCAGGCCTCAGCTCTGGTCTGCAGCCCTGGGGTCCCCAGGTCTGGGGTGCCACGGCCTGTCCCTGGGGCTCTGCCTGCTCTTAGTCCCTCTGCTCCCGTCAGGCCATTTCTGATTGAGGGTGAAGCCTGCCTCCTGGCTCCACCATGGGCAGCACCACCCCTAACTTGCCCTTAGACCAAAGTGAGCCCTAAGTGGTCAACGATGTAGACATTTAAGAATAACTATAGGGCCTCCCCGGTGGCGCAGCGGTTGAGCGCTGGGTTGCGAAGCTGCCAGCAGCCTCTGCAGCGCCGGTTCGATCCCCGGCTGCTCCCCGGCCACCGGAGGAGGGTCCCGCATGGCGCGCAGACCTCTCCTGCCACCCGCTGCTCCCCTCAGCAGTGTACCTCGGTCCTTCTGCCTGCTCTGCTCCCCGCTCTGGCTCTGGTGAATTCTCTCGCCCTCCCGCGCTTCTGACTGCACCCAGTGCTTGTGTAAATAAATAAATAAATAAATCTTTAAAAAAAAAAAAAAAAGAATAACCATAAAAGTACTAGGAGAAAGTGTGGGGAGAACAGTGTGAATTAACCATTCAAAAGCGTTAAAACATTGATTACCTCACGTAACAACAGAAACCTGCCCGTGACAAACTATTTTAGGCAAAGACAAACCTCAAGCGGGAAAACCTGGGGAACATTTGCAAGCGTTTAAGGCTAAAGCCAAGGCTACACTGAGTCCCACAAATCAAGCGGCCAAGCGCCCGGGAGGCGAGCTCCGGGGAGGGGCTGGCGCGGGCTGGGAGCGCCGCCCAAGGCCCTGGGTTCGCGCACAGAGCGGGGACCGAGCCGTGGGCGGTCTTTCCACCTAGCTGGGGGCCCCCCTGGGGACCCCGGGGGTGCCCAGGCGGGCCTTAGGGAAGGCGCCAGGCCCGCCCCGCCTCTCGGCCACGCTCAGAGACGGCCACTAGGGGTCAGGGCCGGACCGCGCTGCTCGGAGCTTGCGCGGCTGGCGGGGAGGGCGGCCCTTCAGCCCTCAGCAGGGAGGGCAGGCAGCCCAAGAGGGTATCCTGGAGGAGGGGGCTGCAAAGTGCCACCCCTCCCAGCAGACCCCACCCCCCAGGCCGGGGTCTGGCCTCCTGCTTTCTCAGCTCCTGTAAAATCTGGTCTCGCACACAGCACCTCCAGTAGCCCTCCCCCCCTGCAGCTCACAGGCCCTCAGCAGCCTCCTGCCCACTCACAGCTCTCTGCAGACGGTGTCGCGACCAGCCACGCGTCTGAGCTGCCCAGGCGGGGACCAGGCCGGGGCCAGAGCAGCAGCGGCAGGCGGGACACATGGAGGGCGCACGGATGGAGCTGCTGCCAGTCCCGTCGTGCTCGGACACAAACTGTGGTCCGGTTTGACAAGTGAAGAAAGGGAGGGTCAGAGGGCCAGAGCTGCCCCTGGGTCCCCTGGGGCTGCATAGCGACAATCCCTGGGGGTGACAGAGGCCTGGCAGCGCCAGCTCTGCGGTCCCTGTGAGGAAGTGTGCCCGTGCCCCGGCCCGGCCTCCAGCAGCGCAGCACCTGCCCAAGCAGGGCCGGCCCCAGGGCAGCCCTAAAGCCCCCCTGTGCTGGGTGCTGGTGCCTTCTCCGTGGGACACCGCGGAGCGGGGGCTCTAGGATTGCAAGCACATGCCAGAACCCCAATTGTCACTTGCAAAAGGAGGGGGACAGCCACACTGCATAGCCAGGCTGGACAGTGCCAGAGGGAGCAGCCCGTTGGTGGGGTGAGCATACCCCTGTGTGTGCAAGCATGTGCCTGCACGTGCACAGGCGGAGGCCGAGCCCCTTGGGGGCAGGCGGGTGCCGGTCCAGGTCCTGGGGAACAAGCCCCGTGGCCTCGGCGTGGATGAGTCCCGGCACCCTCAGTAGATGTGACAGGCCTGTAATGCCCCAGTGGGGAGCCAGGCACGCAGGCCCCCTGGCCGTCAGAGCTTCCCAGCCGCCCCCCCACCCCAGTGCGCTGGCTTCCCTGCTCTCCCGTAACCTCGCGATTACCTCTGGCCTGGCATCCACATTTTTTTTTTTTAAAGATTTATTTATTTATTTATTTATACAAGCACTGGGTACAGTCAGAAGCACGGGTTGGGAGGGTGAGAGAATTCACCAGAGCCAGAGCGGGGAGCAGAGCAGGCAGGAGAGGTCTGCGCGCCATGAGGGACCCTCGCCCAGAGGCCGGGATCGAACCGGCGCTGCAGAACTTCGCAGCCCAGCGCTCAACCGCTGCGCCACCGGGGAGGCCCCCAGCATCCACATTCAAGCTCCCAAGCATGGCACGTGTGGGCAGCGAGACCTAGGAGGACACCTCCCTGGAAGGCGAGCTGCAGGCGGCAGCATAGGGGCGGCAGGAAGGGAAGAGCAGCCCGAGCAGCTCCACTTCCCTGCACTGCCCACTGCTGGGAGTTGTGTGTGTTTGTTGCTCTTTTTGCAAAAACCAAGTTGGGTTTTCTGTAGCAACAAGCTCTGCTTACACACAAAGGCACCCCCACTCGGCCAGGCGTCCGGGGGACCAGGCCGGAGTCCAGGGGGACCCCCAGGATGAGGGACCCGGGGGTGCACATAGGGCCAAGCACAGGCCACATGCAGACCAGGCCACTGCCCAGATGCCCACAGACCCAGACATGCCCGGAGGGTCTCCCGCACCAGAGCTGCCCACAGGGCTGAGGGAGAGAAGGAGCAGTGGCCACCCACCTGCAGGCCAGGGGCTGCCTCCTGCCAGCTCCTCCCTGCTCCTCCAGGCTCCTCCCCACCTCTTCCCGGCTCCTCCCTGCTCCTGGCTCCTCCCTGCTCCAGCTCTGTCAGTCAGCAAGGGACCCGCCTCCTCTCCCAGGCAGGAGACCCCAAGGGAAGCCAGCCCAGCGGCAGGGGCAGGAACTGAAAGGCTCAGCCGGGAGGTCCCCCGGGGCAGCTCTGGCCGAGGGCGCACCTCCCCTCCAGCCCTGCTCCCACTAAGCCAGCTGCTCCCAGACACCATCAAGACCACCACCTCTGGCCACGTGGCACCAGACAGGTCAGTGGGGGGAAGAGCAGGTGGTCGAGCAGGCGTGCTGTACGAGTGGGAGGGTGGGGCTAGGCCCCCTATGCACAGGTTGTCAGGGACCCCAGGGAGGGGCTTGATTCCCCCAGACTGCCTGGGCGGGGGCGGGGTGGGGCTGGGCAGTCCTGCTTGGGGCAGTCCGTGGGGGGTACGCAGGGACTACCCCTGCACAGGGAAGAGGTCAGCCCTGCTCCTGCCGCGGGCTTGGGGAGGAGACTGAGAGCGGGAGTAGGGGGGTGGGGGGGCCCTGGGGAGGAGAGCGAGGGTGGAGGTGGGGGTGGGGGGAGGGCCTTGGGAAAGAGACTGAGGGAGGGGGGCCCAGGGTGGGCAGCTCTCAGGCTCCTGCCAGGCCCTCCCCCCACCCTGTGTCCCCCTAGCAGCCCTGCCTCTGGAGGGGGAGACCCCCAGGGAGTCTTCCGAGCCCTCAGGGGCCAGCACTGCATCCAGTCAGGCCCCCGCATTCCTGCTTGTCTCTCAGGATCCAGCCCAAGGGCGGCACCGCTGGACCCCCACCCGGGGCGCGGTCTGCTCCAGACTACCACAGGACGCAGGGCGCCCCCCAAGCCCAATGGCGGCCGGCTGGGCAGGGGACAATGGCACCGGGCACAACTCCTCCTCCCCTGAACCGCTGCCCGCCCTGCACGTGCTCCTGCCGGTGGCCTATGCCGCCATCTGTGCCGTGGGGCTGGCCGGCAACGCGGCCGTCATCTGCGGGGTCCTGCGGGCGCCCGGGGCGAGGACGGCAACCCACGTGTTCATCCTGAACCTGGCTGTGGCCGACGTCCTCTTCACCCTGGTGCTACCAGCCAGCATCACAGAGCTCCTGCTGCGGCGCTGGCCCTTCGGGGGGCTCCTCTGCAAGCTGGTGCTGGCGGTGGACCACTGCAACATCTTCTCCAGCGTCTATTTCCTGGCCGCCATGAGCCTGGACCGCTACTTGGCGGTGCTGGCCGCCACGCGGGCCCGGCGCCCAGCCAGGCGCTCACCACGGGGGCCACGCGGGCCTGCCTGGGCGTCTGGCTGGGTGTGGGGGTCGCAGTGCTGCCCTTCCTGGCCTTCGCCGGGGTCTACAGCGACGAGCAGCAGGTCCCGCGCTGCGGGCTGAGCTTCCCGCGGCCTGAGGCAGCCTGGGTCAGGGCCAGCCGCGTCTACACGCTGGTGCTGGGCTTCGCGCTGCCCATGGGCTCGCTCTGCGCCCTGTACGCCGACCTGCTGCGCCGGCTGCGGGCCCTGCGGCCCCTCCCAGGGGCAAAAGCTCTGGGCAAGGCCAGGCGGAAGGCTACCATGCTGGTCCTGGCTGTGCTGGCCGTGGGCCTCCTCTGCTGGACACCCTTCCACCTGGCCTCCGTGGTGGCCCTGACCACAGACCTGCCCCAGACACCCCTGGTGGTTGGCATCTCCTACGCCATCACTAGCCTCAGCTACGCCAGCTCCTGCCTCAACCCTTTTCTCTACGCCTTCCTGGACAAAACTTTCCGCAAGAACTTCCACACCGCCTTCCGGTGCCAGGGGACTTGAGTGCCTCCCGGACACTTCCCTGGCACTCTCCCCCAGGGCCCCCCCCAACCCTCCCGGCCTGAGCGCTTCCCTGGACCCACCCCCAGGGCCCTCCCCCTGGGACTCTCCCCTAGCCTGAGCACCCTCCCAGGGACTCCCCATAGTGTCTGGGAAAGTGCTGTCCCTTTCAGGGAAAAGGGTCTCTGTTTCACATCACACTGACCTCAGCTGGCCACCAGTCCTGCAGAGGTGGCCTTGGATCCTGCCCATTACTGGCTCCCCAGCCCCTGGGCGGGCAGCCAGGAGGACAGAGCCACAGGTGCCAGCACCAGCGGCCTTTATGACCCAGCAGAGGTCTCAGCACAGCAGACATCCTGACTGTTCATTGCAGAGGCCCAGAGGATGGATGGGCAGCACCCTTCCCCCCACCCAGGACTGGTCTGGAGGGAGATGACCCCAAACTGGGAGCTTGTCCTGGGCCACCGCTCCACCCCACCAACAGGACCCCGGGCTCCTCCCAAGACAGGCAGGGAGGTGATGACAGCGTGGCCACCCGGCAGCAAGTCTACCCATGCAGTAAGGCCAGGAGTTGGCAGGAGCCAGGGAAATGCGCCATGCGAGGCAGGACGCCTAACGGCCTGAGACTCCGGACATCTCACCAGGAGCCCTGCCCTCCGGCCTGGCTGTGGCCCCACCCCGCCAGGTCTCCGCAGGGCCTGCTGTGGGGCCAGGGCCTTCCACCCTCTGCAGGGGCCGCTGACAGTGGAACAGGCTGCCATTGACTCCTCCTCCTCCTGCCTGCGTGGCCTCCCCAGGTGCTCACATGGGCAGGCAGGTGCTGGCTGCTCAGAAAGCAACCCTGCGGGCAGGCCGGGGGGCCAAGGCAGCCGGGGGGGCCCACCAGGCTCCCCGAGGCCCCGCTGTGTCCAGGCCAGGTTCCCTAGGCCAGTCATTCCCAGGTTCAGGCCTGAGGTGGTTTCAGAGCCCTGGGCACAGGGCAGGCCCCCCACGAGCCTCCCACACAGTGGGAGGTCCAGCCCTGCCACCCCGCCTCAGGCCACCCCTTCCTCCCTGACCTGCTGTCTGACGGATCTCCCACCGAATTAAAAGGACAACATTTATTGTTTGCAGTTCCTGTGGGTCGGGAATTGGGGGCAGTTTTGGGGGGTCCAGAATCAGGGTCTCGGCTCTGTTGTGGGCCACAGGAACAGCTTCCTGGCTCGGTAAGAGCCTGGACTGAGCCCGGGCTCGCAGCCTGGGCCTCCTTTGTCCACCAGCACCCGGCTGCGGCCTCAGGCCCTGCCTGCCTGCCCATGGGGGTGGGCTTAGAAGCCACATCCTGTTCACCAGAACAGAGGCCTGCGCCCCGCCAGCCTACAGCTGCAGCGACGCCCGCACCTGCCCGGCTGCCTCCGCCTCACGCCTTCCCAGAGCAGCTGTAATTGCAGCCTGAGTGCCCTCGCCAGCTCCTGGAGGTGGCCGCTGAGCCAGCACCTGCAAGGTGTAAATGGGGCGGACGGAGCCCGCTGCAGAGGGGGGAGCTGCCTGCGGCACAGGGCACAGAGCCAGCGCCCTGGGCCCTCAGAAGGACCCCCACCCGCAGCCTTCTGGCCTGGCCTGTGTCCTCAGAAGGACCAGACCCTGCGCCCTGCTACTGGCCACGCCCCCAGCCCAGCCCTGCAGCGGAGCAGAGCCCCCACCCCAGGCTCCCCCAGAGCAATGTGAGGACGGAAGGGGACAGGCACAGCCGAGTGAGTCCACGTCACCCCACAGTGAACGTGGAGACCCCAAGGCCAGGGGAGCCGCGGCCGCGGAGGGGCGCGCCCCCGGGGTCCTCCTGCCTGGGACAAGGCCCTCAGGGAGAGCGGTGGTCTCCCCAGCCTCCACGGAGACCCCAGATGGGGTGGGGCTCAAGGAAGGGTCCCCTTGCTCTGGGGTCTTAGCCCCGTGGAGCCGCAGGCGCTCCCTTCCAGGCGCCGAGCCTGGCCAGCCTGGGGCAGCGCCCTGGGGGCAGCGCCCGAGCAGCAGGGGAGCGCGGGGCGCCCCCGAGCCAACCGGACCGCTGGTCCCTCCCGGGACGCCAGCTCCCCCAGCGCGCACAGGAGGTGAGCAGCCGGGGTGCAGAGGCCCCCGCAGACCGAGCCGCGGGGGGTTGGGGGCCGCGGGGGATTGGGGGCCGCGGGGCGGCGGCACAGGGCGGGGCTTGCGGGGCGGGGCCGGCGGCGGGGGCGGGCCGGGGCGGCTGGGCCTGGGGGCGCAGGTATGAGGACGAGGCCTGGGGGGCGTGGCTGCGGCGGGGGCGGGGCCGGACGGGCGGGGCGGGGCTGAGGCGGGACGGGTCTGCGGTGGGGCGGGGCCTGAGGGGCGGGGCGGGGCCTGAGGGGCGGGGTACGGGGCGGAGGCGTGGGCCGGGGCGGGGATGAGGGCGGGGCCTGAGGGCGGGGCGGGGCCTGAGGGCGGGGTACGGGGCGGAGGCGTGGGCCGGGGCCTGGGGCGGGGCGGGGCCTGAGGGAGGGCGGGGCTTAGGCGGGGCGGGGCCTGAGGGCGGGGTACGGGGCGGCCGGAGGGGCTCGGAGGTGCGCCCCGGTGCGCGAGTCCTGCAGTCAGGTTCCCGCGCCCGCCGCTTCCCGCGAGCCTCGCCGCTGCGGGGCCCTTTGCGCTGCCCTTGCGTGCCCCAGACCTCCACACCCCACGCCGAATCCTGTGTTAGCAGCCATGTGCCTGTCATTAACCCTTGCATCAACCCTCGCCTGGCACACCCGCGGGGCCGGGCTCCCCTGACTGCCCCTCTGAGGTCCCCTGGGCATCTGCCTGGAGGGTCAGCTGGTCTGAGGCTGCCCACCCAGCAGCCCGGAGGGTTGTCAGCTTTATCAAAAGCTGCCCTTGATCCGGAAAGGATAGGGCGGGGACACCGGGATAAAACAGTGAAGAAACCCAGACACCCCACGGGAGGGGGCCTCCACCCTGCGGGAGAGGTGCGGGGCTGGCTGTTCAGGGGGAAGCCACTTGCGCTGAAGACAGGACAGCAGCCCTCCACACCAGGAACCAGGTGCCCCTCCCGAAGCCCGAGCCCAGCCAGGGCCCCTCCACCAGGGCAGCGCCTGGCTGACCCTCCACCTGGACCCCACGCCCACCGCAGGAGGCTGGCCCACACACCACACAGGCAGGGGCCCCGTTGTGAGGGTGCCCAGCAGGCAGGGTTTATTAGGGCCTCCTTCATGGCCGGAGGCAGTGCGGGGTCACGTGAGGGGCAGGCACACTTCGCATGCACAAATAAACAAGCCTCACACCACACACAAGAGTCAGGAGCGCCCCGCCTCGGCGGGGGGTGCCGGCCACGCAGGCCACTAGAGAGACCCCTCCTCAGAACCCGCGGGGCAGCCTTGGAGGCCTTCTGGCCAGGCTGTCTCCACCTGTGGGTGCTGCCACAGTCTCAGCACCACAGCACAGTCTGTGTCTTGGGAGAGGGTCTGCAAAGTCGCCATCTTCGGGCAGGTGCTGCTTCCTGGGACCCACTGCCAGGAGGAACTGGCGGCCGATGGGGCGGCCTGCCGAGCCCCAGAGCTCATGCGTGAGCCGCCCTTAAGCTGGCGCTGGCGGACGCATCCAGGCCAGGAAGATCGGGCTCCCACGCAGGCAGTTTGTACATGAAGCAGGAAGTCAGTCATGGGGGTGCAGGTGTAGGCGGCCGCTGAGCTGGCCCGAGGAGGAGGGACCCGAGGAGGCCAGGTCTAGGCAGAGCATGGCAGACACCCTGCACAAGCGCCAGAGGCACGCGGGGCTGCTTCTTGAACCCGGAAGTAGCCCGAGCTCGGGCCACATGGCCCTGCCGCCCTCAAGCCTCCCCCTCGCACACCTGGACAGCTGAGCCTGGGCCCGAGTTCCTGGGCCTCTGGAGGGAGGCCCTGCTGAGGTCCCTGTGGGACGCCAGAGTCCGGCGCAACTACGGCCAGGGCCTAGGAGAGGCTGCCACTCGTGGATGGCGCCCACAGACGGCCCACACGCCACGTCCATGCAGGCCTTGCCGAGTGCCCATGGGTCCAGCCCCAGATCAGCCCATGGGGCCTGCGCAGCCCGGGCATCAGCCTAGAGAGCCGTGACCTGTGTGAGCTCCGTGTTGGGCGTGGATGGGCTCTGCGGGCTGACGGGCGCCATGGGCAGGTCCACGCCTAGTCACGCGGGCCGCGGCACAGCCTCTGAGGTCTTGCACACCAGGGCCACATCCCTGGCGGCACTTCGCGTGCGGCCCATAGCTGCAGCCTCACGGCGCAGGGCGGGTGCGCAGCAGAACTTGCGGAAGCAGGCCTTGAAGTTCTCGTCCAGGAAGGCGTAGAGAATGGGGTTGAGGCAGCTGTTGACATAACCCAGGGCTGTGCAGAAGTGCAGGGCGGCCACCGCGGACTCGCTGTCCGGCTGCACACCCAGCCCCTGGGCCAGCACAAAGACCTGCACGGGCGTCCAGCAGCCCACGAACACGGCCACCACCACCAGCACCAGCCGCGTGATGCGCCGCAGGTTCCGGTCCTTCTCGCGGGAGCCTGAGAGCAGGCGCACGCCGCGCAGCCGCCGGAGCATGAGGCCGTAGCAGGCGGAGATGACCAGCACGGGCAGCACGAAGGAGAAGAGGAAGATGCAGATGGCGAACACTGGGCCCCAGTAGTCCTGCGGGGCCGGGACCTCCACCAGGCACTCGATGTCTGCAGGGAGAGCAGCAGGGAGGGCAGGTGGGCGGGAGGGCCGGAGCCAAGGAGGAGGGGCTGGGGGGAGGGGCCCCCGACTGACCTTCACCCTCCACCTGTGCCGAGCCCATGATGGCGACCGGAACGCCCACGACAGAGGCCAGGGCCCAGATGGCCACGTTGACAGCCTGTGCTTTGCTCGACGTCCGGACGTCGAGGGCGCGGATGGGGTGGCAGATGGCCACGTAGCGGTCCACACTCATGGCGGTCAGTGTGAAGGTGCTGGTGAACATGTTGTAGTAGTCGACGGCAATGACCGCCTTGCACAGGGCGTCCCCAAAGGGCCAGAAGCCCAGGAGGACGTCTGTGCCTTGGAAGGGCAGCGTCAGCAGCACCGATGTGTCCGCCAGGGCCAGGTTAAAGATGTAGATGTTGGTGGCCGTCTTCATCTTGGTGTGTCTGCAGAGGACAGAAGGGGCTTCATTCGGCCGCTCTGGCCAGGCCTGGCAGCAGAGGGCGCTTCCCTGGGCCCAGTGTGCTGCTGCTCAGAGACCCTCGCTGAGGTGCCGGCTGCTGGGCCGGGCCGCTCATGGGGTCTCCCATCCCAGCACACACGAGTCGGGCCTTGGGACTTCTGGAAGGGGGGGCATGTGGGGCAGCTGAGTGCACAGCTGACTGCAGGCAGCCAGGGGTGTCATGAGACAAAGAGCCTGTCCACCCCCGCAAGTCCCCAAGTCCCACTGGCTAGTGCTGGGCCACACTGCCCGAGGCTGGGGGCTCTGGCCAGGAGGCAGCCCACCCCTGCGGCAGCCGGGCATCGAGCAGGCTGGCAAGGGCCACTGCCCCAGCCTGTTGGTGTTGGGAAAAGACCAGTGGACATTCACTGATGAATTACTGCTGCAGTGTGGTAGACGGGGGTGGGGGGAGAGGAGGTGAGTCTGGCAGGGTGGCAGTGGGGGCCACCGCAGCCATGGCAGCGCCCACCATGACAACATCCCTGTCGACCCAACCACCACATGGGAGGGGCCTCCCAGAGCGGGCACCGGGTGCCACAGCTGCGCGAGGCCAGACGTCACGAGACCACGATCGTGGGTCCCCACGCCGGGCTCTGCACAGCCCATCTGGCTTCTGGTGCACGCAGGAGGAAACGCTGAGCCGGGTAAGTAATGTTCTAAGGCCAAGGCGCTGGCGAGACGCAGGCAGTGTCAGGAGAAAGAAGCCAAGCCACACGAGAGGAGGAAGCATTTGCAAGTGACACACTTTGCGTGACTGTCCCCTCCAATCTGCAAAAGCTCTTGAAACTCGGCAATCAAGACACAGGCAACCTGGTTCAAAAACGGGTCAGGGGCCTCCCTAGTGGCGCAAGGAGTTAAGACGCAACCTATGAAGCTGTCCGCAGCCTCTGCAGCACGAGTTCCATCCCCAGCCAGGGAGCTGACCCACAGGGCGCAGCAGACCTCTCCTGACTCCCCGCTGCTCCCCTCAGCAGTGGATTTCAGTGGATCTGCCTGTTCTGCTACCCACTCTGTCTCTGGGGAGTCCTCTCACCCCCCACACCTGTGTGTGCATAAATAAATAAATCTTTAAAAAAAAAAAAAAAGGGTTAGAGGCCCCAGCAGATACCTCATCGCAGAGACAACGTCAGCGCCGGTGAGGACCGGCCCCCGTCCCCTGCAGACCCCGGCGGGCGCAGGGAGCCCACAACGTCGGAAACTGAATTTCTCTCCCCACAGATGCGGTGTGTGCGGGGAGCTGAATGCCCACCCTATGCAGAGCCCTGTGGGGCTGTACCAGCCCAGCTCCCTGGTGCCAGACGCTGGGCTCCAGGGTGGCCTTCAGCAGGCAGGCGGTCAGCAAGGGTGACGGCTGGGACGCAGACAAGAGCACACAGGTCTGAGAACCGCGTGGTCCCAGGCGCGATGCTCTGGGAGAAGCAGAGCCTTGCAGGAGCCGAGTGCAGGGGCGCAGGGTGGCGCCCTGGGGGCCGGGCGGCCGGGGGCAAAACCGCTCTGCGTGGTGCGTCTGTCAGTGGCCGGGGTGGGATCTGCCAGGGCCCCAGAAGCCAAGCACTGGGGCCATGCCTGGCTCTTGCGCCTGTGGATGTTCTGTTCTGGGGGTGTTGGCAACGGCCCCCCGGCGGGAGACCTCTGTGCCTTCCTCTCAATTTTACTGTGAACCTAAAACTACTTGAACATAAAGTCCTTGAACAGCGCAGGGTGTGGCTGAGTGTCAGACACCCGAGGTGCCCCGGCGCTCACCACAGTCAGGGTGGGGGCCCTGCCCAGCTGTCCTGCCCAGGCCACAGCTCTGAGCATCTCCTGGCCCAGAGCGGAGGCTAGGCAGGGCCAGGCACTGCCCCGGAAGGGGCTGGCTGCACCCCGTGCAGTCTCCAGCCGGTGGGCGCCGTCTCCCCAGGACCCACATCCCCCTCAGACCACACCCCCGTGTGCACACCAGCGTGGGGATCTGCCACGGCTCCCTGATGAGGACCACATGCCCAATGAAGAGGGACCCCAGGACACGAGAAGGCAGAGCCTCTGCTGTTCCTGCCCCCACTGGCCCTACTGTCCCCTCACTGTCCTCCACTGTTGCCCCACTGACCCCCAATCCTCTCACTGACCCCCATTGTCCCTCCATTGTCCCCTCTCTGTCCCCCACCTTTCTCCACTGACCCCTCGCTGTCCCCCACTAACCCCTCACTGACCCCCCATCCCCTCCCTGATCCTCACTGTCCTCCACTTTCCTGCCACTGACCCTGCACTATCCCCTCACTGTGCCCCCACTGACCCCCACAGTCCCCTCACTGCCCCCCACTGTCCCTACGCTGCCCCCAGGTCCTCCCGCTCACGACCAGGCCACCCCTCTCCGGCCGGCCTCTGCTTCTGACCTGGAATCTACCAGACGCAGCCGGGAAGGACGCAGCTGGGGGCGACACAGCTGCCCTGTGCCCCGCCGCGCCAGGGGCCAGAGCTGTGCCCCTCAGGGCACCTCCCCTGGCCCCCAGCCCCCCCCAGGGCCGCCTCCCGGGCCGCCCCCCACCGCAGGGTGACCGCCTTACCTGAGGATGACGTACATGACCAGGCAGTTGCCCAGCAGCCCCCCGACGCACACGGCCAGGTACAGCCCCACGACGGCGACCTTGAGCCCGGGCGGCAGGAAGGCGGTGGCGTTGGCCAGCGGGTCCCGCGGCGGGCTGCTGTTGCCGCGGAGGTCGGCCCAGAGGCCGGCGGGGAGCGCGGCGTCCATGCCGGCGCCTCCTGCGGGCGGACACGGCCGGGCCCGCTGGCACCGCGGGACACGCGCACCCCGGGCTGGGGCGCCGCGGAGCCACGGCCGCAGGGCACGGCGGGCACACGCGTCCCCCGGGGGGCGCGGAGGGCGCGGGGACGCGGCGCAGGGCAGGTCGGCCCCCGCCCCCGGCCCGGCCCGGCCCGCGGCGCCCCGCCCGCCCGCCCGCCGCCGCCCCCGGCCCGCCTCGGCCCCGCCGCCGCCCCCGGCCCGGCCCGCGGCCGCCCCCGGCCCGCCTCGGCCCCGCCTCGGCCCCGCCGCGCAGGGGAGGGCGGCGCGCGGCTGCCGCAGCCCGGGCCGCGCGCTGCAGGGGCGCCGCGGGGGGGAGGAGGCTGCGGCGCCGGGGGCGGGGCCTCGGCCGGCGGAGACCCCAGGAGGGGCCCCGCCGCGACCCGGCGGACCCGGGCGGGCCGGCCCGGGCAGCCGCGTCCACGCAGCACCGGGCGGGCGGACAGCGGGCCGCGTCCTCACGCCGGCGGCCGCGACCTGGGCGGGGGGCCCGCGGCTCCCGCCCGCCCCGCCCTCGGGGAGCCAGGGCCCCCTGCTCCCCGCCCCGCCCGCGGGCGCGCGGGCTCCCCTCCCCCGGCGTGGCCCGGGATGGCCGCGCAGGCCGCCGAGGCCGCAGAGGCGTGACGCACCTGCCCGGGCAGAGGCAGACCCCAAGCGCAGGCCGGTCGGGGGTCGCCTCGGTGCCTCTCACAGCGCGGCCCAGAGCAGCGTCTCAGCCCCCACAGCGCCACGGGCCCCCAGCCGCCCTCCCAGCCGCGAGTCGGAGGGGGGGAGCCTGAGCTGAGGTGCCAGCCCACAGTCAGGGGTGCTCTGCCCACCGCCAGACCCGCTCAGAGCCCGCTCGCTGGATGGGCCTGGTTGCTAGGCAACCGGCAGCAGCATCCGAGGGGACCTGCGAATCAGGAGAGGACGGAGCAGGCAGCGGTCCAGGCCTCCGCGTCCCCCGCTGGCCCCAGAGGCATCTCTGCATCCCCACTGCAGCCGGCTGGGGGCAGGGGCAGGTGCAGGGACACGGTGCGCCCACACTCTGGGGACGGCGGGACAGCCCCAGAGCCTGCAGACACGCGCCGACGCCGCGGGGCCAGCACTCTGCCCAGCAGAGGGTGGACAGGTGCAGCGGCCCCAGCCCCACAGGGCAGGGCCCGTGGCAGAGGGGAGCACCACATGGGGCTGCATGCACGAGGTCCAGGCGCAGCTCACTCCAAGTCCTGTGGACAGGGCAGCTGTCCAGGGGCGGGAACCAGACAGCTCGGGCCCCTGCACCCCCAGCCCCCGGCTCAGGCTCGCCCAGGCTGGTGAGCGGCCGGGCTGCCACGGCCTGGGGTGAGGACTGCGGGCAGCTGAGGCCTGGCTGGCAGGCGGCTGGGGAGACAGCAACACTCCAGAGGCAGCAGCAGCCTGCGAACATCTGCAGGCCCGGCCAGTGCAGGCTGGGTGCGGTGTCACCGAAGCCCAGCACACAGGCACCCGAGGCAGGCCCCATCCAGAGCCCCTGCCAGCCCCCAAGGCGGGCCCCTGACCAGACAGCGGGAGCAGTTCCGGGCCCCACCACTGCCTGCAGCACCGGGCCGGGTTTCAGACCAGAGCTTGGTGGCGGCGGCTGCCCCAGCAGGGAACCGGTCACCGCTGGACTCAGGTAAAAAAGTGAGAGAGGGGCCTTCCTGGTGGTGCAAGGCGTTAAGCACTATGAAGCAGTCCGCAGCCTCTGCAGCACGAGTTCAATCCCCGCCGGCTGTGGAGCAACCCACATATCGCAGCAGACCTCTCCCGTCTCCCCGCTGCTCCCCTCAGAAGAGTGTTTCAGTCAGTCTGCCTGTTCTGCTCCCCACTCTGTCTCTGGTGGATCCTCTCACACACACCCTCCCCGCCCCCCGACGTCTCTGGCCTATACCCCAGCTCTTATATGCACAAATAAATCAATTTAAAAAAAAAAAAAGTGAGGGCCTCCCTGGTGGCGCAAGGGGTTAAGACGCAACCTATGAAGCTCACCACAGACACTACAGCACAAGTTCGATCCCCGGCCAGGGAGGTGATCCACATGGTGCACAGACCTCTCCTGCCGCGCCCAGTGCTCCCCTCAGCAGTGTACTTCAGTCCTTCTGCCTGTTCTGCTCCCCGCTCCGGCTCTGGTGAATTCTCTCACCCTCCCGCGCTTCTGACTGTACCCAGTGCTTGTATAGATAAATAAATAAATCTTTTAAAAAAAAAAAAAGTGAGAGAACTATCACGGTTCTGAGCTTCACCCTGAGAAGCCGCCTGGTCCCACAATTTCAGCTCCATGGATGTGGTGCCGGGAGAAGGCCTGGGCACAGGCTCCCAGCCTGGCATGAGGGGCTTTGGCGCCGTCCCAGTGTGTCTGTTTTATCCTCAAGCTGTATTAATCAGGTTTTGATCTCTTCTTAAGGAGAGATGGGGCCTCCCCGGTGGCACAGAGGGTTGAGCACTGCGCTGTGGAACTGTCCACAACCTCTGCAGTGTGGGTTCGATTCCAGGCCGGCCTGGGAGATACCCACATGGCGCAGCAGACCTCTCGTCTCGCCCGCTGCTCCCTTCAGCAGTGTATTTCGGTCATCTGCCTGTTCTGCTCCCTGCTCTGTCTCTGGTGAATCCTCTCCCCCTCTGGCCCGTACCCCTGTTCTTGTATAAATAAATAAATCTTTTTAAAAAATAATTTAAAAGGGCCTCCCTGGTGGCGCAGAGGTTGAGCACTGGGTTGAGAAGCTGCCCACAGCCTCTGCAGAGCCGATTGGATTCCCGGCCGCTGGCGAGGGTCCCAGATGGCGCGCAGACCCATCCTGCCGCCCGCTGCTCCCCTCAGCAGTGTCCCTCGGTCCTTCTGCCTGCTCTGCTCCCCGCTCTGGCTCTGGTGAGTCCTCTCACCCTCCCGCGCTTCTGACTGTACCCAGTGCTTGTGTAAATAAATAAATATTATTATTTTAAAAATAATAATAATTTAAAAAAAAATAAAGGAGAGATGGACAGAGTCGGACAAGCATCAGGCCACACCCCACAGTGCGGGGCCAGGGCAGGAGGCGTCCAGGGACAGCCGGGGGGAAGGGGAGGGTGGACAGCCGTCCAGGGCCGAGGGCTGGGCTGTGAGTGGGGGGACACAGGCCCCTCACACCAGGTCGCCAGAGCAAGCGTCCAAGACACCGGGACCCCCGGCCTCAGCGGAGATGGCCCCAGAGCTGCGCTGCCCACTCTGGGGTCAGGTCCCAACTCCGGAGAGCCCCTCCGCGCCCCAACCAGTGCTTCTGGGCGGACCCAGCGGGCGGGTCAGGGGTCAGCAAGAACAGCAGGCTTGAAGCCCCCCCCACTCCCCCCCAGGCGCTGCAGGGGGTCACACGCCACCAGCTCTCAGACAGGAGTCGCAGGCAAGGTCAAAGACTCAGGGTTTGGCAAAACTGGAGCCCGGACTTGGGGGATCCCAGGGACCCAACTTTCCCTTCAGCCACACACGCACCCCTGTCAGTGGACAGCAGCAGCGAGGACGAAGGGCCTCCGCGGCCCGCACAGCCGCCCCCACCCGCCCAGACCCTGCGCAGGCACCGGGTGGGGCCCTCGCCCGTAGAGGGGTGGGGACCCCAGGATGGGGGCGCCCTTCGCAGCCTGTGCCCCGACTCTGCCCAGGCCGGGCCCCGCCCCTCGGGTGGGGGAGGGGCAGGACTTGGGGTTGCCCAGCAACCGCAACACCACAGATCCGAGAGGACGGAAGGTCTGGGCTGGGCTGCGGGGAGCAGGCTGGGGAGGCGGGCAGGGGCCGCCCCGTGAGCCACAGACGGGGCGTCGCCTCTACCTGCGGGGTGGGGGGCCAGGCGGGAACCTGCCCTCGCCCCTGCCCCTGCGCCCGGCCGGCTCCGCCCTCTAGGCCCCGCGCGACGGGCTCGAGGACCCCACCGGGCACAGAGGCCCCGAACCACACCCAGCCCACAGGCGCGCCGAGGCGCGTCCCCGCGAGGCCAGGGAGGCCGGCGCCCCGCTCCGCCGGCCCGCGCGGGCTCGGGGCGCGCTGCAGGGGCCGCGGAGGGGCCCAGCCCGGGGAGGGCTGAGGTCAGGGCGCCGGGCGCCTCTCCGTGGACAGGGCAGCGCTGGCGGCGGGAAGGGCGCGCGGGCTGGCGGAGCCCCGGGACTCCAGCCCGGCCGGCGGGGGCGGGGATGTGGGGGCGCTGGGCTGGGCTGGAGCCTCCCGGGAGAGCGAGCGAGCGAGCGCCGGGAGCGGGCGCGGCAGAGCCCCGGACTCCGCAGCCGAGACCCTCCCTCCCGCAGGGGTCGGGGATGCAGGCCGAGGCCACGAAGGGGGCGGCCCCCGGGGCCCGCCGGACGCGGGGGTCCAGGGGGCGCGCGCCAAGGGGGCGCCCCAGCCGGACCCGCAGCAGCCGGGCTGGGCCGGCAGGCTCGACGGGCCGGCGGCCATGAGCCCCGCGCAGCGCCGCCGCCAGCTGCTCTTCGGAGACCCGCGGGAGGACGGGGCCGCGGCCGCGTCGGAGGACGCGGGCTGCCGCGAGCCGGACCCGCGCGCGTGGCCGCCGCCCCCCGGGCCGCCCGCGCAGCGCCAGGACCTGCTGCTCGGCGTGCTCAAGGCGGCCGAGGCCCGCGGCCGGCTCCGCGCCCTGCGGCTGCGCTACACCCGCATGCGGGTGAGGCCCGAGGCGCGGGCGGGCGGAGGCCGGGGGCGCCGGCGGGGGGCGGGGATGCGCGGCCGGGGCCGGCCCGGCCGGGCCGGGCGGGCCGGGCCGCAGCACGTCCGACCCGACGCCCGCCCAGGCGGAGGAGATCTCGCTCCTGATCCGGCTGCAGGCGTCCGCGCGCGCCGCCGTCCGGCTGGAGCTGTTCCTGCCGCCGCAGCTGAAGCCCACGCGCATCCCGGACCCCCTGGAACGACAAGAGGTGCCCGGACGCCCCAGGGGGGGGGGGGGGGGGCGCCCGCGTGCCGACACCGGCCCCAGCCCCTCTCCCCCGCAGCGGAGGCGCGTGGAGGCCATCCTGGAGGAGAAGGTGGAGGACAGCATCTTCCGGCGGTGACGCCCCCAACCCCCACATAAAGCGCCCACATAGTCCCAGCGCCCCTGCTCTTGCTGCGCCCTCCAGGTGGCAGGGAGGGAAGGGGGTGCGGGCGCTCCCTCTAGGTGAGGTGCACCACGGTGCACCGTGGTGTCAGGGGGGGGGGGCAGGGACACTCTTAACCCCCAAATCCAGGGCTGTCCCCCTCAGGCAGCCTGGTGCCCCTCAAATCCATTGGGGCCCCCAGTCACCAACAGTCACAACCCTGTCAAGGGAGGCTCAGGGAGAAAGTGGAGCTCAAGTGGGTGCCGGGATCCCAGCCATCCGTGGGATGGGGCGGGCATTCGGGAGCCGCCCCTTGGCCCAGGGGCTTTGAGAGTGGGGAGGGGGTGAGGGGGGACCGAGGATGCAGCCGAGGCCCCACCGCCCCAGACAGAAAACCTCTCTGGTTCTCCCTGTCCGAATGGCCCCCACCCCCTGGTGCCTCCTCCCCAACACCCTGGGCCCCCAGCAGAGCCTTGTCCCGCACAGCCCTGCATCACTCCCCTCTGCCCGCTGCGGCCCCCTGGCCCCCTCCCAGGTCAGCAGGCTTAGCCAGGCCCCAACAGTCCACACCAGGGCCAGAGGGAGCCCCGAGGGCTCGGGGCGGACGCGGGCCCTGCTCAGTGGCCGCCCTGACACAGCCACAGGCGGGGCCCCGCAGCTGGGGCGAGGGATCGGGCTTCTCCCCCTGCCCGGACCCTTCTGGGCTGTGGGTGGCAGGACCACCCAGCCTGCGTGTGCGGGGCCAGGGAGCGTGGGGGAGGCCATCGCCCCACGGGCACAGGATCCAGCGGGCGGGCCCCTGGCCCAGTGCCCCGGGAGCCGGCCGTGGCAGTGCCAGTGGATGCCTGTCTGCGGTGGCATCGCTCTTCAGTAAAAGCACCTTTTATTCTCCCTTGTCTGAGCCTCCGTTTCTTCGCCTTTCAAGTGACGCGTCTCCCCTGCACAGCGCCAGCCTGAGGCCCCACGGGGCCTGCGCCGGGCAACGTGAGTTCCAGGGCAGGGACGCGGAGCCCTGGCCGGTCGCCCGGGGTCTGCAGAGGAGCTGGAGAGAGGGTGGGATGCGTCCTCAGGGCCGGGAGGTGGCCTCTGCTGTGGGGTGCGGAGGCAGGGCAAGGGCCCATGTCCTGGGCCTGCGGGGTCAGGCAGGGGTTGGGGGGGCAGAACATGTGCCCTGGACTAAGGGTCCCAGGGTCAAATCTGTGGCGTGGCCTTGACCGAGGTCCAGTCCAGTCGACTGGGGAGCCTCCTGGGGAGACACAAACTGCCCAGGGCAGAGAAGGGCCTCAGTGAGGGCAGTGGGGAGCAGGCCCGGTGGTGGGCGTGCGGAGGGCAGGCGGTGCAGGACTGAGAGGCCCAGGAGGGGAGAAAGCTGTGCTGCCCACCCACCTGCCGTCAGCCGCCAGCACACCCTCAGGAGGTGGCACCCGCCGACTGTGTGACAGGCGGGGTGGCCGGTCACTGAGGTCCTCCCAAGGAGAGGCAGCCGCCCTCTCCCTGGACAGCTGTCAGCCTGGACCCTGTCCCGGCAGCCTGCGGCCCCGTGGCCACTTCTGGCACAGCCTCAGTGTGCAATGCCCCCACTTCCAGGCGCCCACACGCCCTGCGGGCTGGCCTCTGCCTCCAGACCCTGGGCCCTGTTCTGCAGCCCCTCCCTGCCAGGCCCCTGGCCCGCCTGTCCAGCGCTGCTTGCCTGCTTGTCTTGTCACTGGGGCCACGCCAGGCTTGCGGGGACACCCAGAGTCTTGTGGAAGGCACGGCCCACGCCAGTGACCAGTGACCGGTCCACTCCCCTGCTCAGGACCAAGTTCTAGGCCCAGCTGTGCCTGTGCCCCCCAGGGAGGCCCTCCCGCAGGACTGGGGCCACCTGCCCGGGCCAGGGGCCAGGAGCTGAGGGGCCCTGGGCCCCGGAGCAGCCCTGCGGTGTCCAGAGCAGGGTCAGGGCGCGCGACACCGGCCGGAAGCCGCGGGCCGGGGCCGGGGCCGGGGCCGGGGCCGGGGCCGAGCTGCAGCCGTGAGCTGCGGCCGGAGGGGCGGCTGGAAGCGGGCGCAGCTGGCCGCGGCCGGCTCGGCTGCCTCCAGGCTTTGGGGCGTCCCGGGCCGCCAGAGGGGCGGAGAGGGACGGCCAGACCCCGGGCCAGCCGTGGGTGACGCCGGGGTAAGCACCGCGCCCCGGCACCCACCGGCGGCGCGGGACGCGAGCTCCGCCCGTTGGACAGAGGCGCCCCGGTTTCCCCAGAAGCGGGGGCCCCACCGCGCGACCACGGCCCGTCCCGCCCGGCGACCTCTTCTCGGGCGGGAGTGCGCGCCCCGGCGCCCCCGCCCGCCCTGGACGCCCCGCGCTGCGAGACGGCCGCCCGGGCAGCGAGAGCCCGCCCGCCCCCGGGCCGCCCGCGCCTCCCCGCGCCGCCCGCGGGCCCGGCGGCGGGGCCGGGGCCGGGGCGGGGGCGGGCGGGCCGGCGGCGGGGCCGGGGCGGGGGCGGGCGGGCCGGGGCCGGGGCCGGGGCGGGGGCGGGCGGGCCGGCGGCGGGGCCGGGCGGGGGCGGGCGGGCCGGGGCCGGGCCGGGGCGGGGGCGGGCGGGCCGGGGCGGGCGGGGCGGGCGGGCGGCGGGCGGGCGGGGCCGGGGCGGGGGCGGGCGGGCCGGCCGGCGGCGGGGCCGGGGCGGGGCGGGGCGGGCGGCCGGCGGCGGGGCGGGGGCGGGGGCGGGCCGGCGGCCGGCGGCGGGGCCGGGGCGGGGGCGGGCGGGCGGCGGCGGGGCCGGGGCGGGGCGGGCGGGCCGGGGGGGCCGGGGCGGGGCGGGGGCGGGGGCGGGCGGGCCGGGGGCGGGGCCGGGGCGGGGGCGGGCGGGCCGGGGGCGGGGCGGGGCGCGCCGGGCGGGCGGGCGCCTCCCCCGCGCGAGGAAGTCCCGGCCCCGCGCCTTGGGGAAGTGCGGCCGAGGCGCCTGCGCACTGCCCGCGCCCGCGCCCCCTCCCCGACGGCGGCGGCCTCGGAGCGCGCGGGCGGCGGCGCGGGAGCGCGGCCGGTGAGTGCGCGCGCGGCGCCGGGACGCGCGGGGCGCGAGCCGCGGCCGCCGCGCCGGGAGCCCACCCCGGGACGCGCGCCGCGGGGTCCACGTGGCCGCGGCGGGGCCGGAGCCCGCCCCCCGCGCGTGGGGGAGGGGCCGCCGCGGGTTCCCCTTTCTCGCGGCTCGCAGCCGGGGGAAGTGATTGCTCAAAGGTGGGGGCCGGAAGAGCCCAGGTTTCCGCGCCGCCCGCCCCCCTCGGCCTGGCGGGGAGGGGCCGGGCGGGACGCCCCGTCCGCCCCCCGCCCCGTGGGCTCCGGCCGCCAGCCCTGCGAGTCGCTGGGGAGGCGCTGCGCCCCCCGCCCCGGCCGATCGGGGGCTCTGGCGCCGGCCCCCTCGGGAAGCCGCCGGAGCACCTCCCGCCGCCGAGCCCCGCTGCTGCAGCGCACGCCCCCTCGGCGGCCAGGGTGGGGCCCCCCGCGTGCACTCAGCCCCTCCGGCCCCCACCTCGCCTTTGGGTCGCTGGTGAGTGGGGCGCCGTGGGAGCCCTTTGAGGTGGGGGGCTGAGAAGCTGGAGGAAGGAACCCTGAGAACAGAGAAGTGGGCGCCCCGCACCGGGGCAGAGGTGGGCTGGGGGGGGGGGGGCGGGGGCGGGGGGTTCTCCAGGGCCAGGAAGGCCTGGCCTGCCTTGGAGGAGACCGCTGGGGCTCCCCCAGCAGCCAGAGGGGAGCAGCAGATAGGAAGTGCACTGAGTGGGGTCAGCAGGGAACAGAGCCCTCCTTGGCTCCCCCAAGACTAAGGCATTTTTTCCTGGATTGTCACGTTTTCTGAGTCTTTTTTTGGACTGGGCGGGCTCAGGACGTTCTTTTTCCTTCTGTGGAGCAGCGGCCACTCCCAAGGGAGCTTCCAGGGGCCTGTGCCGCCTGTCCCCCTCTCCTCTCCCAGGCTTGGAGAGCGAGGAAGACCTGCGAGGGGGCTGGAGCCCCCCGAATGCCAGGATGAGGGGCAGCGACCCCTAGCTCAGACCCTGCACTCCACCCTGCAGAGCCCCACCCGGCCTGAGCATGGTGCAGGTCCGGGGCACCGGCCAGAGACCCCCATCCAACAAAAGGGCCAGCTGCTCCCCCAGACCTGGTCCTGACGCTGGGCCTGGCCCTCAGCGGGGGTCCCCCAAAGATGCAGATGGCAGAGGGAGGGTGGTCTGTGGGGTCAGGGGGCCACCCTGCCCCCACTCACACTGGCGCTGGGTGGGGTACAGAGGAGGAAGCTGCAGCCCGTCTGGGGCGCAGCTACCAGACCTCAGAGGTTACCACACCCCTTCCTTTCCCTAGAAACTTGACCCCCACGGGGAAGACTCGCCCTGTGCTTGCTGGAGCCTGCGCCTCCCGGCCTCTACCAGGCCCTGGGGGCAGGTCCCTCAGTGCCCGACTCGGTGCAGCCGCCTTCAGCGCCACTCAGGTAGGGCCCGGCCCAGCACCTGCCAGGGCCCGCACGGACTCTGGGAGCTGCCCAGCCGGGGCCTATCCTGGCCAGCCCCAGAGGCCGCCTTGCCCCTCCAGTGCCCGGAGGTCACAGGGGCCAGCGGGAATCGAAGGTCGTGAGCCAAGGGGTGGGGAGAGCGATAATCAGGTCCCGAGTCTCCTGTCGGGAGGCACAGGCCATGGCGAGAGGTGCACCAGGCCCTGGGGCCCACCTGGCGAGGGTGCTCACTCAGGCTGGGGCCGCGGAACCTCGAGGGTGGCCCAGGTTTGGGCTCCAGCACCCTCCCCACCAGCCTCTGCCTAGCCGTGCCCTGCGGCACCCATCCCTCCCGGGCCCCCGACTCCTTGCCTCACAGAGAGGCCTCCAGGCCCAGCAGCTCCCACAGCCTGGCGGGAGGGTGGGCAGGAGACCTGGGCCGGGGGAAGCACAGGCCGGGTAGGGGGTGCCAGGGTGACGTCCAGGACAGAGCCTCTGGCCTGCCGCGGGCATGGCCAGGTCCGGTGAACAGGCTGGGATCCTGGGGCCACGGCTGACCTGGACCCCAGGCTGGGCACAGACCTGCCGCAGCCCCGCACCTCCCCACCCAGGCAGCAGGAAACCTGGAGTGGAGGGAGCTGGGGCGTGGCGTTCTGAGCGTCTGACGGTGCCAGAGCCGCAGACTCTTGGGGCCCCCAGCCCCCCTTGGGAGGGACCGGGAGCCGGAAACCAAGAAAGAGGAACCCAGACTTCCGGCTTCCCGGGGCCAAACAGATGGCCGTGTCCCGGAACCGTCTGTGGAGAGCTTGTCTAGGGCCCCTCCTCACTGACCCTGCGCCCCCTCAGTCCTGGTGGGCCCTGGGGTGGGGGTGAGTCTGGACAGAGGGGTCTGGAGGCAGCAGCCCAGACCCGCCCAACAGCTCCAGCAAGGAGCAAAGAGACCCTCGCCAGCCCCAGGGGTCTGTTCTCAGAGACCTGCCTCTCTCGCCAGAACCCCAGGCTGTGGTGAGGGTCCCGGAGCTGGCACTGCGGAGCCCAGGCGGCCCCTTCCACCCACCCATGCCCACCCCACATGAGGCTGAGCCGCAGGTGAGCTGTCCTCACCTTGCTCGGGGAGTGGGTGCCGCCCGGCCGGCCGGCCAGTGCCACTGGAGGCTGAGCCCGTCCTCCCCCAGCACACAGGGCCAGAGGAGGCGGACTGGCCCCCACCCATGTCCAGCGATGCGCCCCCCCCGGCGGCCCCCAGCCGCACGCCCTGCTGCCTGTGCTGGTGCTGCTGCTGCAGCTGCTCCTGGTAAGAAGGGCCTGGGGCGCGCAGGCCAGTAGGGCGGGCCAGCAGCTCCTCGCAGCAGTGCAGGGGGCTGTGAGCACCCAGGCCTGGGCACGAGTGGCTCCCTGGGCCTGCACGCGCACCCGTTACCTCGGGTGTGGACTGCCACTGCCCTGGGTGGGGGCACGCAGAGTGGACCCTGCACTCCAGGTGGGGGGTATGTGGGCAGCGACCTGGCCCCGGCAGCAGCCCTGAGGGCCAGTGGGGGCAGGTCCTCCTGCGGGGAACCAGGTTTCTGGGCTGCATGGAGGCCTGGCCGTGCTCCGGCCTGCAGCCCCTGAGCATCGAGTGGACGGCACCGTGGGGCCCAAAGAGCAAGGAGCCAGCCAGTGAGCGCCCAGGGCCCAAGCCCAGGCCCAGACGGGAGGCCGCCAGGGGTGAGAGGATGGAGAACGCAAATAGCCAGACTCCAGGAGGCTGGCTGTGGGGCAGGGGGTTGGGGGCTGGCCCCGTGTGGGGCTGGGGTCCACAGCTGAGCAGTCCGGCTTGGGAGCTGAGGGTGGGCTTGGGAGCCAGTGCGGGGCCAAGGGAAGGAAGGAGGCCCCTGGGGGAGTCGGGACAGGCCTGTGTGCCTAGGGCTCTCCAGCAGCGTCCACGGAGCCTCTGGAAGGAAGGGGCCGGGCGCACGAGGGGGCCTGTGAAGTCCCAAGGTCAGTGGCAGCCGGAAAGGCCTGGGCCTGGGCGGAGAAGGGGCTGCGGTGCAGGTGCTGCCCCAGGAGGGGTGCAGACCCCGACCCCGGGCCCCCTCTGCCGCAGGAACGAGGAGCGGCGGCGTGCATGGCGGGCGTCACGGGAGAGCAAGCTGCAGCCCCTGCCCAGCTGCGAGGCCTGGTGAGTCCGGAGCGGCCGGGTGGGGCAGGGCAGGCGGGGCAGCCGGGCAAGGCTGACGGGCGCGCCTGCCCGCAGTGTGACGCCCAGCCCCGAGGAGGTGCGCAGCTGGGCACGGTCCTTCGACGCGCTGATGCGCAGCCCAGCGGGCCGCGGCGCCTTCCGCGAGTTCCTGCGCACGGAGTACAGCGAGGAGAACATGCTCTTCTGGCTGGCGTGCGAGGAGCTGAAGGCCGAGGCCAACCAGCACGTGGTGGACGAGAAGGCCCGGCTCATCTACGAGGACTACGTGTCCATCCTGTCCCCCAAGGAGGTGCGGCAAGACGTGGCCCAGGCCTGGCAGGCCCTGTGTGGGGGGCCCTCTGGGGACCTGATAGCACCTGGTGGGGGGCCCCTTCAAGGGTCTGGCCAGCACCCTGGGAGGCCGTGGGGTCTGACCCACGCCCCGCCCACAGGTCAGCCTGGACTCGCGCGTGAGGGAGGGCATCAACAAGAAGATGCAGGAGCCGTCGGCCCACACCTTCGATGACGCCCAGCTGCAGATCTACACGCTTATGCACCGGGACTCCTACCCCCGCTTCCTCAGCTCCCCCACCTACAAGGCCCTCCTGCTGCTGGGTGGCTCCCAGCCCTCCAGCGAGGCCTAGGCTGTCCGCGGACACCACCCTCGGGGCAGATGGCCAAGCAGCGCCTGGGGACTGGGCCTGCAGGAGCCGGACAGGGGCCTGGGCCAGGCCCCACAGCAGCTCCACCGTGGCCGGAGAGAAGATGCGCAGCCCCAGCCCCTCTCGGGCAGCCGGGCTGTGGAGACAGGACCTGCCTGTCCAGCTGTGTGGGGCAGGGACACCCCCCAGGGCCGTCTGAGCCAGCAGCAGGCCCAGGACCTGGGGGGCCAGGCGACAGGCCTGTTTTCTGCGTTCACTGGCCGTAAACTGGGACTCGTGCTCCCCCGCCCACCCCACCCCACCCGTGTGTTTTATCAGAAAGAAGTGACTTTATATTTATCTCTATTCCTCCTCCCCCAAGCAGGTTGTCTTATTGTGGAAGGTATTTCTAAAGCAAATGCCTCACCCATGCCCACCCTGGGGGAGGTCGGGGGTCAAGGAGCCCCATCCTCAGTAGTGTCCAGCCCTGCCAGGGTGATGCACCGTGATGGGCAAGTGTGGGCTTTGTGATGCCAGCCGGGCTGCCACCACAGGACACGGGGCGATGCCTCCCACCATTAGTCGGGCCCGGCGCACGCAGCCCCCTGAGCTTCCAGGACACGGGTCTCTGCCAGGCTCCGCCCGGGGCCGGCACCAGCACCCTGGGGGCCGCTGCCCGCACACAGCCCAGGAAGACCCAGGGCAGCAGGAGGCAAAGAGAAACATTTAATCTGTGGGCTACAAGAGGGTGGGGTGCGCAGGGGGCGGGGAGAGCCGGTGCGGGGCGGCCCTCGGAGGAGCTGCCATCGGCAGGGGGGCGAAGTGGCCTCGGCGCCAGCCACGGCTCAGCAGAACTACAAGAAACCCAGGCGGGGGTCTGCGCGCGGCACCCAGGACCCCGCGCCCGCAGCGCCTGGGAGGCTGGCGAGGTGGCCCCCATTCACCCCACGGGGCTGCGCGCGGGCAGGCTCGCCCCTACCTTCCAGCGGTTCCCACACTCGTTGCAGACCACGAAGGTGGTCACGGGCTCGTCGGAGCTGCGCGTCTGCACCTGTGGGCGCCCGGCTGGTCAGGCCGGCGCGGGGGCCGCGGCCCAGCCCGGCGCCCCCACGGACCGGAGGGCGAGCTCGGGCCCGCGCACCTGCGTGTAGGCGCAGTTCTTCTTGCGGCACTTGGCGCAGGTGAAGAGCCCGGTGTGCGCGCCGCCCGCGCGCGCCATCTGGTGCTCCCGGATGGCCTCCCTGGTCAGCGCCCGGCGCATCTCCTTCAGCTCGTCGCTCGCCATCTCCTGGGGCGAGGCGCGGCTTACCCCCCGCCCGCCGCGCGGGCCCCCCGCGCCCCTCGGGGCTCACCTCCGACGTCATCACGGCGATCGCCTGGGGCGCGATGGCGCCGCGCAGCACGTCCCGCCGCAGCGCGGGGTTGCGCGCGTCCCGCAGGTTGGCGATGCGGCTGCGCACGCGGTTCTTGTACTTGACGTCCGTGTGGCCCACGTCGCGGAAGATGCGTGCGGCACTTAAGGGCCGTCGGGAAGCGGGGCGCGCGCCCCCCCCGCCGGGTCCCCTCCGCGGGCCCGAGCCGTCCCCGCCGCCGCGTCCCCCTGCGGCCAGGGCCGCCTGCCCGGCGCGCCGCGACGGACTGAGACCCGCTCGGGGTCCGGAGGGCCTCCTGGGCGGGAGGGGCCGGCCGGCCGCCCGCCCCACCGCGGGACCCGCCCGCGGAAGCCCCCGCGCAAAGGATATACTCCTCAATCTGCGCTGACAGGCGCCCGCAGTCCACACCGACAGCCACGTGGTCGCCTGCAAGAGGTGGCCCTGACCCTCTGGCCCCGCGGGCTCCCCTGCCCAGCCCAAGCCCGCGGGGGTCCCGGAGCCCCCCCAGCGGCGGGCAGCGCGCCCGGCGGCCCCGAGGGCAGCGCGGCGCGGCCCGCTCACCGCCCGTCTGCAGGGCGGCCGTCAGCATCTCTCGGCACTTGTTGCGCACGGCGTCGCACGTGACCGGCACCGGGGGGAAGGTGGTGATCCTCGGGGTGGGCGGCACGCGGGGCAGCTCCGGCCTCCTGCAGCTGGAGGGGCGGTGGGCAGCGGGAGCCGGGCCCAGCGCAGCACCACCCCGTCCATCCGCCCGCCGGGGCCCGGGCACCGCAGCCTCCACACCGGCCTCACCCAGACGCAGGTCAGCAGCCTGGGGCGCCCACAGGCGGGAGGGGGGCTGGGGGGCGCTGCTGGCCGGCAGTGCGCTGGCCAAGGTGGCCGCGGGGCTGGGGCCCGCAAACCAGACCAGGACCCAGCCCAGGGCGGGGGCAGCCAGGGCCGCCTCACCTCGGAAGGAGGGGCTGGCCCACCCACGCGGGGCCCGGGAGAGGGAAGCAGCCTGGAGTGAGCCTAAGAGCCCCGGCCTGAAAATCACCAGGGCTGGCTGGTGCCTGGGGGCGATTCTGCCCTCCCGGCCCCAGAAAGTGCCCGCCAAGCAAGGGGTCCAGGGCAGGAGGGTGTGCACCTGCCTTCTGGGGGTTGCTACCTGGGCGCTTTGCTCTCAGACGCCTCCTTGGAAGCGCACGAGGGTGGAGGCGCACCCTTCCTCTGATCCCCGGCTTTGTCGGAAGCATCTGCAGGAGCCCGGAAAGGGAGCCGGCTGGCCCAGAGAACCAGCCAGAGGGCAGGCCTCACCCTGCACACTCCCCACACCCCTCGCTCGAGCAAGCCACCTGTAGGCCTGCGGTCCACCCAGCGGCCCCGGCAGAGGGGGCTGCCACCCCGCGCCCCAAGGTATGAAACGCCTCCCCCGTGACGGGCCCGCAGGAGCACAGCATCTGGACTCGGACAGAGGACAGTCTCCAGGGGCAGGCGCACAGCACTGAGCGGCACATGGCCAGCTGGGCCTCGGGGCGGACATGGGCTCTGGAAAGCCCAGCCTGCTCTGGGACTGAGCACCGGTGAGATGCCACGCCCGGCGGGACAAACCCCCGCCCAGCTCGCCACCGCGGCCGCAGCGGCCAGGAGCTCTCCGTCCAGGGCTTGGGTGGAGCCGGACGGCTGGGAAAGCAACGGCCTCGGGCGCCAGAGCTGGGCACATCTGCTGCGCTGTCACCCCACGGTTTCGGGGCAGGGCCCACCTCCTCACCCCCACTACATCCCCAGGTCCGGGGCTGCTCCTGCCCCATCCTCGAGACCCCCAGCTCTGTGGGCTTTTCCACGCAGCCCTTGGCCACCTCAGGCCCAAGTTACAAGGCCCCCAGCCCGCCCGGCCCAGCAGGACCCCACGCCCCTGCCCGCACCCAGGAGCTTCTTCCAGGACTTGATGAGCGACTTGGCCAGCGCAATGACCTCCTCGTCCGAGCTCTGCTTCCGAAGGGCGTTGACAGACATGCCGACCCGGGTAGACTGCGAGGCGAGGGGCCGGGTAGGGGCTGGGCAGGCCCCCATCTCAGGCAGACCCCTCACGGGCAGACCCTCTCACGGACAGACCCCCTCACGGGCAGACCCCCTCATGGACAGACCCCCTCACGGGCAGACCCCCTCACGGATAGACCCCCCTCACGGGCAGACCCCTTCACAGCAGACCCCCTCACGGGCAGACCCCTCCTGCCTCATGGGTCTGGAGAGACCAGGGCGGTCTCCGCGATGACAGACTTTCGCCAGCCCAGGCGTGGGCAGTGGCGGGGCACCTGGGGGTGGCAGCAGGGCCCTACCTGCAGCAGGGGCAGCGTGATGGGCATGGCCTTCAGCTCCCGCAGGAGGTCCACGGCCCCCTCCTGGAAGAAGGGGCAGTGGCATCAAGGACAGCCCCGCCACCCACTCCAGGCGGCCTGTCCCGCTCCAGGCATGGCTCCTCAGTGGCCCCAGGCCCCTTGCACGGTGCTCGCCAGGGACCTGCCTCCCTCGCCTGTAGCCCAGCTCAAATGATGGGCCCTGCCCACAACCCCCTTTGCTTCCTCCACAGACGAGGGCATGTCCGTGTGTGTATGTGTGTCTCCCCACAACGCGAAGGGGCCAGCGGTGACCGACCAGCCGCCCAAGGGTGAGCACCCAGCCACCCAGCAGGCCGGGCCGCCCCAAGTGACATGTCTGCAGGATGCACCCCCTCCTCATGGCCCCCAGCAGGCCCTGTCCAGGTGCGCAGCCCGTCCTGGGGAGCCCTCCCCAGAGGGGGCGGCACTGGCCAGCAGGTGGCCCTCCTGGCAGGCCCAGGCTGTGACGCGGCCTGCGGTGGCTCCAGACTGCAAGGCCTCACAGAGCGGACACACCCGAGGTGCCAGTCGCGGGCCCAAGGGCCCTGGTGCAGACAGGACGCCACCGGGAGCGGCCGCCAGCTCTGCGCTGGCCGCAGCGCCCCAGCCCCCCCCCCAGGTGGCGCCCCTGCTCATCTCCCCACTGCCCCAGCCCCCTCCCGGGCCCCCACCCCGGCCCTGCGGCCCCCAGGGGTGTCCGTGCTCCCGCAGTGCCCTGGCAGGGGAGGCGGCTCCCCCTCTGGCCGCCTCTGTCCCCTCGGCCCCCAGAGGCCTGCGCACCCGGGAGCCCAGCTGCCCACGACACACCCTCCGCTCTGGGCCGGGCGCCGGCGGGACCCGCCCGCCCGCAGAGGCCGGCGCCGCCCCCCAGGCTGCTCCCCGCGGAGAGGGGCGCGGGCTGGCAGGTCTCCGCGCCGGGGGCCGGGGCTGGCGGCGGGACCCCGGAGCCCGCCGGCCAGGGGGCAGCGCAGCCAGAGGCCGGCGCGGGGGGCGCGGGGGGCGGCCGGGCTCGGCCTTCTCGCGGCGGCGCGTCTCCACCCCCGCCCCGCGCAGCCTCGGGGCCCGGCTCGAGGGCGGGAAGGGGCGGCCCCGCCCGGGGAGCGGCGTCGGCGGCTGCCCCCGGCCACTGCCCTGGCGGCAGGGGCGGCAGCTCCAGGGTGGGGGGCTGCGGCCCCGGCGGGCGGCCGCCCCGGCCCCGGCGGCTCCGCGGTCGGTGCGCGGGGGCGGCCCCGGGGCCGGGTCCGAGTCCGGGGCGCGGCGCTGGCCCGGGCCGGGGGGCCTCTGCGGCGGTCGGGGCGCAGGGGGCTGGCGCGGGCCGGGGGCTCGGCCACCGGCGGCGCCTCCCGCATCCCGGAGCCCTGACGGCCGGGCCTCCCTGGCCCTGCGGGGCGGCGGGGCGGCGGGGCGGGGCGGGGCGGCGGGGCTCGGCGGGGCGGGGGTCCCGGCGGCCCGCGCCCCTCACCGCGCTCTTCTTGGTCACCATCTTGTCCAGCCTGCGGGCGATGCGCGCAATCTCCTTCTCCCGGCCCATCATCGCCTGGGGGGCGGCGCCCCCAGAGCCCGCCGCGCCAGCCTCCGCCCGCCGACCCCGACCCGGGCCCCGGCCGTCGCCTCCGCCCGCACCGGCCGCCGCCGACACAGCCGGGCCGCGGGCGGGAGACCCTCCGTTCAAACCCCGGCCCCGCGGCCGCCGCGCTGCATCCTGGGACGCGTAGTTCCTGCGCGCGCTCGCCCCACCCGCCACTCGCGCGCGCGCTCCGTCTCGGACCACAACTCCCAGGGGCCGCGCGTGCGCGCTCGGCCTGCTGGGAATTGTAGTCCCGGCGCCATCGCGCGGCGGGCGGGGGGCTGCAGCCGCTCGGCGCGCGACCCCCGGCGCGGAACGGCCGCGAGCCCACGGGCGCCCGGCGGGGCACCCGCGAGCCCGCCCCCGGCGCGGGGACGACCCCCTCGCCGCGCCCTGCCCTCCGGCGCCCCGAGGCCGCGAGGCTCCCGGGGGAGGAGGGAGCGGGGCCGGCGCGGGGGCCGCAGCCCGGGCGGGCTCTGTGGGCTCGGCGGGCTGACCCTGCCAGCCGGGACCGGGCCGCGCCCGGAGCGTCGTCGTCGTCGTCGTCGTCCGCCGAGGTCCCGGGGAAGCGCCGCGACCACGCGCCGCAGGGACGGCGCGCGCCCGCCCCCTCCGCCCGCCTCGACGCCGCCGGCGCCCCGGGCCGCTGGAGGGGCGGGGGAGGCCGGGTGTGGGGGGCTGCGGCGCGGGGGCCTCGGCTGAGGCCGGGTGAAGAGAGGCGTCCAGCCGGCCTGGGCGGGCAGTGCCGGGGGCGCCCGGGGCGTGGACGAGCTGTGACTGAGCTTCCTAGCGGCCAAAGTGAGAAGGGACACATCGGGGCCTCCCTGGGGGCGCATGGGCTGGAGAGCGGCCTGTGGAGCTGTCCGCAGCCTCCGCTGCGCGAGTTCCATCCCCATCCGGGGAGCTGCCCACGCGGCGCAGCGGCCCTCTCCCGTCTCCCCCTGCTCCCCTCAGCGGTGGATTTCAGGAGATCGGCCTGTTCCATTCCCCGCTCTGTCTCTGGTGGATCCTCTCACCCCCCACACCTCTGGCCTGTACCCCAGCTGTCGTATGCATAAATAAATAAGTCTTTTAAAAAAAAAAAAAAGCATTACTATAAAAAATAAATAAATAAACCGAACCATAGCATTCTGTTATATCATTTTTAAAAAAGAAAAGAAGGGCCTCCCCTGCTGGTGCAGCGGTTGTTGAGCGCTGGGCTGCGAAGCTGCCCGCAGCCTCTGCAGCGCCGGTTCGATCCCCGGCCGCCAGCAAGAGTCCCACATGGAGCGCAGACCTCTCCTGCTGCGCCCGCTGCTCTCCTCAGCACTGTATTTCGTCAGTCTGCCTGTTCTGTTCCCTGCTCTGGCTCTGGTGAATCCTCTCACCCTCCCGCGCTTCTGACTGTACCCAGTGCTTATATTTAAAAAAAAAAAAAAAACTGAGGTAAAAAAAGAAAAGAAAAGGGAAACATGGTCAGTTATGTGATTCCTTATTAGTCATATGGGAAAGGTGTGGAATTCCCCACAGCAGAGGTTTTCCAGGACAGACCCCTGTGGTGGTTGAACACGGCATCCCCGGTTTCCAGACCCAGCCTGATTCTGCCCTTCGCTGTAGCTCCGAGGCCAGCCCAACAAAGCAAGTCCTGTGGGCAGAATGCCACGTCCAAGCATGTGTGCAGCATCGCCAGCGACATACCCTTCAGCCCCCAGGTCCGTGGACAAAGGCCAGAGTAAAGAGCTGGCCAGGGAACCAGCAGGAACCCCAGAGAATACAGCCTTAGAGATCCAGGCTTCAGGGGTTTCAAAAGTGGCCCTGGGCCTTCCTGGTGGCTCAGGGGTTAAGTCTCAGCCTATGAAGCTATCGGCCAGGGAGTGGCCCACAGGGCGCAGCAGACCTCTCCTGTCTCCCCGCTGCTCCCCTCAGCAGTGGATTCTAGTGAATCCGCCTGTTTTACTCCCCGCTCTGTCTCTGGGGAGTCCTCTCACCCCCGCACCTCTGGCCTGTACCCCAGTTCTTGTATGCATAAATATATAAATAATGAATCTTAAAAAATAAAAAAAGTGGCTCCTGTGGAGGCTGCATAGTCAGGCCTCCCCAACAGACAGGGTTAAATTTGGAGGGACTCCCTCATGCTGGGGACCGCTAAGCGCACAGCCAGGGAGCCAAGGGTCAGCATGCAGCCCAACCCCACCCTCCAGAGTAGGCAGATGAGTGTCCAAGAGCCCCCAGACAGCATCACGCCCCCGAGAGGCCAGCAAGGGGAGGCTCAGAAGCATCCACTGGGCTGTCAAGACCCTGACCTGGGTGGAAACACCAGTTTCTAGGGCCAGTCTCCTGGTGCACCGGTCCCCACTGACCTGGGCCCTCCACAGGGTGAGGAAGCAAGACGTGCTGGGGAGGGAAGCAGACACCCCGGAAAACTCCGGGGACTCCCGCTGACCCAGTCAGACTGCATTGGATGTTCCAGGCCCCAGAGGGGTCCTGGGGCAGCGGCCAAGCAGGACCGAGGAGCTAGCTGGGCACAGGGAGCCCAGGGGAGGGCTCTGTCCAGGCAGAGGCGCCCCCAGCTAGCCAGGGGAGCCGTGAGCAAGGGCACAGAGGAAGGCACAGACCGCGGGGGGTGGTGTATGGCAAGGGCACAGAGGGCACCCGGAGCATAGGGATGCAAGGAATGGAGTTTGTGCCCCAGATCCTGGCCAAAGGACCAAGAGGAACAGGCAGTCACGGAGCGAAGACAGGACGGGGTGGGGAGACAGGTCTGGGGCCCAGGAGGGGGCAGGGGAGCTGGAGGGAGGAGCAGCAGGGACCTTCCCCTGCAGTGGGAACAGCCGCCTGCCCTTGGACCTCTGGCAGGAGCGTGGAGCTCCTAGCGCCCGTCCCACGCTCCTTGGCTCCTGGCTGTGCCCCCGGGGGCCATCCAGAGCCCTGAAGCCCACCCATTAGTCAGTGAGTCCATGAGGAGGAGCTTAGGAAATTCTGCAACAGTTGCTTAGGGGGGCCGCTTTGTCATGCCCCCTGCACCCAGGGCTGCAGCCGAGAGCTCAGCCCTGCCCAGCAGAGTGCAGACCCCACCAGGCCTTCCCCCTCCGCTGCAGGCCTGGGGGCAGCTAGAGAGAGCTCCGGGGCAGGTCTCCAAGGGCCCACTGAGGTCCTCGGCTGAGACAGAGTCCAAGACACGGTGGTGGCTGCAGGGCGGTGGCTGGCAGGGGGCGCATCGCACGGGGCCACAGTGGGGACCTGGTTTCCAGGGCGACACGTAACGGGGAGGAGGGCCAAGAAGAACAGGTGGGGGCAGAGGTGGCGGGCTGCTCTTCTGAGCTGGGGACCCGGGGCTCCTTCCTGGGACAGGAGTCCTGAGCCCTGAGGCCGTCCAGTCCGGGTGGAAACCGCCTGCAGGGACAGGGCTGTGGCTGAGGGCCGAGGGGCAAGGTGAAGTACCAGGCTCCAGGTGGCAGGAGCGAGCTGAGCCGTAGACTGGGCCACCCGGGCCGGCACAGGGGGCCCTGCGGGAAGCCAAGTGGGGGTGGCCAGCCCTGGAGGGAGGCCCTCCCTGTCTGGGGGTGCTGGTGCGTCCAGCCCATGCCCTCCAGGACTCAGTGACTGGTTGTGCGTTCCCCGCACCCAGAGGCTGCTCAGGCTGTCCCTGCGCCTGGGGAAGGCGCCCAGGGAGACACTGGTCTGGGGTCTCCTGCGGCATCCCTGAACCTGGCGGTACCCGGAGGGCACTCACCAGCTGGGACCCTCCGGAGCTTGCCTGTGCAGCTGCAGAATCACTCCCTCTGCCGTGTCTCCGCTGTGCCTTTCCCCCACCCCCCCAGCCCTCGCCCGCCCCCAGCCCCCACCTCCCGCTGGGATGGGCTGAGGTGGAGGAGGAGGACGGAGAATCCAGGGCAGGGGCGCCCACAAGGAGGCGCTGAGTCCAGGGGGCAGACCGGGCTTGGAGACTGTGAGCCCCAAGAACACGAAGGGCACGGGCTGGTGGCCTGCTGTGAATGGGGCGCAGGAAAGGACAGAGGGGGCCTGGGGCGCGGGGGCAGGGCCGGCAGGCCCTCCCAGACCACCCACCCAGCCCGGCACCAGCAGTTGCCCTGGGGCAGCCCAGCCAAGCCCCTGGGGGGGGTCCTCCCCCGCACCCCCCCTCCCCTTCCTCTTGGACTGGGGGCCTGCAGGAGCCCAGCCCTGTCCCAGGCCTGAGGACACCCACATGGGCGCCGGACCTCTGGCCGGGAGACCTGCCCTCCCCCGCCGCAGCCGGAAACACCGGACGCTCAGGTCATCTGTTTTGCTATTTGTGTCCCCCCAGCCGCCCAAGTGGGCCGTGACCCGTGTGGTCGCATCCGTCCTTCCTCTGACTGGGGCAGGGGCTTCGGTGGGAAGCCAGCCCCGACCCTACGCACTCACACTGGCCCTCCCCTGGCCCCACCCTCTCCTGCAGCCCCCAGCCCCCCCATTGCCCCCCCAGGCTGCAGCCCCCACCGCAGGCCTGTGGGGCTGGGCCCCCTGGGGTCCTGGCAGGGCAGGGGCTGTTGGGGCTGCCCCCGCAGGGGCCTCGGGCCTCGGGGCCCAGTCTGCAGAGCCCAGGAGCTGCTGCCTGCCTGCTCGGAAAGTCCCGGCCTGGCCTGGCCCGGCCCAGAGCCTTGGCTGGGACCCAGCTCCCTCCCCCAGAGGCAGCCTTTGGTGGGGAGGCAGGAGGCGTCCCCCAGAGGCCTGCGGGGGCCCTGGCGGCAAGCTCCCACTAACAATGCGCTTCCCCCACACAATTCCCAGAAACGCAGCCCTCCCTGCCCTGCCAGCCCCAGCCCGCCAGCCTGGCGGCCACTCCATCCTCCTGCTCCCCAGGGACCCCGGGCAGCAGAAGGGTCGGGGGCTATGGGTGAAAGGGGGCGGTCTGATGCCCAGGGAGACAAGGGACTGGCCAGGAGCTGTCTCAGGCTGCAGCAGCCGGAGCCGAGCTCCTGCCTCAGGGCCTTTGCACGCACCCCTCCTCTGTCCAAGGGCAGGCAGTGAGGCCTGACTGCACCCCGACACACCTGGCCCAGTCCCCGGCGCCTCTCCTCCCCCACAGGGGCTTGGGCCCTTGTGTTCACCCCCAAGTCCAGGCCCTAGCACAGATGGAAGTCAGTGACTCCTGCCCCAGCGAAGGGGTAGATGGCCCCAGGACAGCCCCCAGCCGTCCCCACCAGTTGGGTCATCAAAGCCACTTGTCGCCAAAGCCAGGGGAGAGACACAGTGGGGACTCCGACTGCAGGGGCTGGCTCCCAGGAGCTGAGGGCTGTCCCTGCGCGCGGCAGGGGGTGGGGGGCCAGCCGGCCCAGGGCCGGGGGGAGGGGGTCGCCCAATGTGCCTGCGTCCCTCCACCTGTGCCCCCTCCAAGAGCGACTGAGGAGGGCAGCGGCCCAGCCCCGGTGGGCGCAGGGGGTGCGGCGCAGCGGCGGGAGGGCCAGGCTATCCAGGCCGGACGGCGGGACGCACAGGGCTGGCGCCTGCTCAGCCGGGCTGGCCCGGCTCCCCCCTCCGGCTGCGCCTTCCTTCCTGAGCTGGGCTTTCCTGGACCCTCCCTGCTGTTGCCCGGGAAACCCGGAGCAGCAAGGCCCCAGCCCGTTCCCACGGAGTCCCGCAGCGCTGGGCAGGGCCCACCCAGCACGCGCCACCCTAGCACCCCGCACACCACCCCCGGGGCTCACAGCTGGCTGCCCAGCCCCGCCCAGCTCAGCACCCACACCTGCAACACCCAGATGTCGCATCCACCCTGCACCACTGTCCCTCCCCACCCACTCCCTGGGCAGGGCCTGGGGCACCCTGACGCCCACAGCAGCCCCCCACCCCCACGAGTCACCTCTGCTCAGCCAGCAGGCCCTTGGTGGCCGACCCGAGGCCCCCCAGCCCCCACCCCCGACCAGGCCAGCTCTGCCTGCTGCGCTGGTGCCTCCCAGGGCCAAGCCCACACGCAGGGCCCCACAGAGGCCCAGCACGCCGTCCTGCTCTGGCCCCGTGCGCCCAGGGCTGGGAGTGGGTGGCAGGTTGGGGGGAGCCCTCTGGGCCCTGAGGACCAGCCCCACGGGAGCTGTCCAGGCGGGCGCCCCAGTCCCAAGGCCCACGGGGAGCGCATGGGCAGCCAGGGGGCAAAGCCATGGCCTAGGAGTCCAGAGCAGCCCCGCTACCTGGACCTGAGTCCAGCAGGGACCCCCAGCCTCCGAAGCAGGAGGATCTGGCCCGAGGGTCTCACTAATAGGTCCCAGCCTCGCTGCTCCTGCACAGCCGGGCTGGGCGGGTGGGAGCTTGTGAGGTCTGTGCCCCGGGCAGCGCCTGGGAGGTCCGCCACCCGGAGCCCAGCTAAGCCCCCACCCAGAGCCACCAAGGGGGATTACCCAGCATCCCTTGCAGGCTTTGCGCAGAGCCTGGGGGTCTGAGCCAGGCTCTGGGAGGGTGGGTGGAGGGCAGCATCCCCAGGGTGCCCAGCCCAGCCCCACACTTGCAGAGAGAGCTCCCCCCATCCCTCCCGACCTGGGGACGCGGCCCTGAGGCTGGATGGAGAGCCCCTGCCTTGGAAGAAGAGGGGCCACAGCTTGGGGGCCGGAGAAATCTTAAGGGACTCCTCCCTCGGGGGCGTTGAGGCCAGGGTGTCCCTGAGCAGGCCCCAGCCCAGGCCTGTGGGCACAAAGTCCAGCCTCTGCCTGGCTCCCCAGCCTAACCCCACCTCACCCCACACCCAGGCAGACACACAGACCACACACAGACAGACAGACAGACAGACACATGCACAGCGGCCACACCCTCAGCACTGGGGCAGCCCGGGGAGTCCTCCCAGGCCTCCAGCTTCAAGGTCAGGGCCACCCCGATGGCTGTCCCCACCCCATTGTTTTCCCATCTGGACAGTGGGCCAGAGCTGCCAGGCAGGGGGAGGCGCCTGCCCGCCGGCCCCGCTCACAGGACATGACAGCCGGACACCTGAGCGAAGCTCAGCCAGGGGAGGGTCACCGGCTGGCGCCAGGCGACGCCTGCCCTGGAGGGCTGCGCGTGGGTGGTGAGGTAATGCCGGACGCTGCCCACTGCATCTGACCCACACCTGAAGCCCCTGGACCACTCTGGGCTGTGGGCTGCGGCAGCCAGGCAGGGCCCTGGGGGCAGAAGGCTCACCCCAGGGTGGGCCGGGGGCCTGGGCCTCCGCCCGGAGCTGGAAAACCACTGCCCCCGTCCAGCAGTCGCCCAGCCCGGCCAGGTGGCCCCGCTTCCGGGCTGTTCTTCGACCTGAGGCCTTCCCAGCTCTTCCCCAGGTCGGCCACCCGCCTGTCAGAGGCCCACGGGAAGGAAGCGGCGGCCTGGAACCTGCACTGCCCCTGGCTGCCCCCACCTCCAGCCCGCTCCCCAGGCCTTGCTCCCAGGGCTGCCTCCGGCGCTGGCTCCAGGGCATGGGCCAGCCCAGGACGCCCACCCCTCCCTCCTCGGCTGAGCAACAGCAAGCCAGGACCAGATCCTAGGTGGGACCGGTTGGACCCGCAGCCCCCAGGCAGGGGAGACTTGCGGGGTGCTGTGGGCCGCACCCCACCCACATGGGACTCACAGATGTGGCTGCGCCTGCCCTGGGGGCCGCAGAGCCCCCAGCTCCAGGGTGTGTGCGGGAGGGAAGCTGGTGCCACCCAGGGCGGCCAAGGGAGCTCCCTCCTCCCAGCAGCGGGTTGTGGGGAGACGCAGCTCAGGCAGACCCCGCGGACCCTTAGCTCCTGCAGCCCAGACTCCCTCCCAGGGCCCGGTGTGGGGACGCTGCCTCTGGACAGAGCCCCAGGTTGGTAGGCCCGGGCCAGGAGCCTGGGCAGCCCCTCCCTGCCCGCCGCGTGGGGCCTGGCCTCGCCGCCCGGCTGCCGTGGGGGAGGGGCGGGCTCAGCCTGTCCCTGCCGGGATGGCCCTGAGCCCTGAGCTCGCACCGCGCGGCCAGAGCCCCCGGGTGCCCAGGGCCGCACGCGCCTCCTTCAGCGTGGACAGGCCTGGGTGGGAGGCTGGAAGCCCCGGGTGGGCGCCGTGTCTGTGCGGCCCAGATTTGGGGGGCCTGGTGCTTCTGGAATTAGCCACGGCAGCTCCCCCAAGACACGGAGCGCTTGCTCGAGGTGCCCCTTACCTTTGAACTAGGCTCCAAGGAGGGTCACCGGCTGCTGGGAGGGAAGCCCCCCCAGAACTCGGGCGGACCGCCCCGCGCCCCGCGGGGGAGGGGGGAGGGGGCGCCCCTCCCGCCCGCGCCGGGGTCTGGCTCCGTGGGTGGGAGCGGCAGTTCCTGCGAAGGCCGCGACGGCCCGCAAGGACGCCCCTTCCGAGCGCCGCCCACGTCAGCGGCCCCTGCCCCGGGGGGCCGCGGGGCTCGCGGGGAGGCCGGCGCGGGGGGGGGGGGGGGGGGCGGGAGGCGCCGGCCCCGCCCGCCCGCCGCTCATTGGCCCCGCGCGGCTATATCAGGGCGCCCGGCCGGCGCGAGCCACCGCGCCCCGCGCCGTCGGACCTGCCCGCGCCCGCCGCCCCGCGCCCGCGCCCGCGCCCCGGCCGCGCCCAGCTGGCATGCAGAGGTCGCCGCCCGGCTACGGCGACCAGCACGACCCGCCGGCGCGCCGCGACTGTGCGTGGGCCCCGCGCCCCGCCGCGCCCCCCGCGCCCCCCGCGCGCCCCGCGCCCGCCTCGCCGCCCAGCCCGCCGCGCAGCCCCGCGCCGGGGCGCCATGGCCTCAGCCCGGCCGGCCGCGGCGAGCGCCCGGCGGCCGACGAGTCGCGCATCCGGCGGCCCATGAACGCCTTCATGGTGTGGGCGAAGGACGAGCGCAAGCGGCTGGCGCAGCAGAACCCCGACCTGCACAACGCGGTGCTCAGCAAGATGCTGGGTGAGCGCGGGGGCGCGGGCGGGGGCGCGGGCGGGGGCGCGGGCGGGGGCGCGGGCGGGGGCGGGCGGGCCGGGGCGGGGGCCGGGGCGGGCGGGGCGCGGGCCGGGGCGCGGGCCGGGGCGCCCTCCCTCGGCGCCGGCCCGCGCCGGCCGCCCTGACCGCGCCCGCCCGCGCCCCGCCCGCGCGCAGGTAAGGCCTGGAAGGAGCTGAGCGCGGCGGAGAAGCGGCCCTTCGTGGAGGAGGCGGAGCGGCTGCGCCTGCAGCACCTGCGGGACCACCCCAACTACAAGTACCGGCCGCGCCGCAAGAAGCAGGCGCGCAGGGCCCGGCGGCTGGAGCCCGGCCTCCTGCTCCCCGGGCTGGCGCCGCCCGAGCCCTTCCCCGCGCCGCCCGGCCCGGCCCGGGCCTTCCGCGAGCTGCCCGCGCTGGGCGCCGAGCTCGACGGGCTGGGGCTGCCCACGCCCGAGCGCTCGCCCCTGGACGGCCTGGAGCCCGGCGAGGCCGCCTTCTTCCCGCCGCCCGCCGCGCCCGAGGACTGCGCGCTGCGCCCCTTCCGCGCGCCCTTCGGCCCCGCCGACCTGCCCCGGGACCCCAGCGGCTGCTACGGGGCGCCCCTGGCCGAGGCGCTCAGGACCGCGCCCGCCCCGGCCGCGCCCCTCCCGGGCCTGTACTACGGCGCCCTGGGCGCGCCCGGCCCCGGCCCGTACCCCGGCCCGCTGTCGCCGCCGCCCGAGGCCCCGCCGCCCGAGGGCGCCGAGCCGCTGGGCCCCGCCGCCGCGCTGTGGGCCGACGTGGACCTCACGGAGCTCGACCAGTACCTCGACTGCAGCCGGACTTGGCCCGACCCGGCGGGGCTGCCGTACCACGTGGCGCTGGCCAAGCTGGGCCCGCGCGCCATGTCCTGCCCGGAGGAGAGCAGCCTGATCGCCGCGCTCTCGGACGCCAGCAGCGCCGTCTACTACAGCGCCTGCATCCCCAGCTAGGCCGCCGAGCCGCCCCGCGGCGTGTGTCTTCTAGACGCGGGCGGGCCGTTTTCGCCCGGCCCTTTTTATACGCACAATACATGTATTTAATTTTTAGCCACACTTGCAAACTTTTCCTTCCAAGGGGCTTCCCTGAGCCAGAGCGGGGACTCTTCAAGCAGGATTTAAAAATGATTGTTCGCTGTAAAGGAGGCGCTTGAGAGCTGCCTGGCCCTGGTCTGGGCTTGGGGCAGGGGCGGGCAGTTCCCGGGCGGCCCCCAGCTTGGGCCCTGCAGCACCCAGTTCCCCACCCTCCAGGACAGAGTTGGTGGGCGCCCCCAGGCCCCCAGCCTCCCTTCCCCTGCTGTCCCACCTGCCACGCCAGCCTGACAAGTCAGACCATGCCCAGCAGCCCGCCCCCTCCCTGGGTCTCATGTCCCCCTTAAAACCCCTCAAGGCCAGGGACTGCCGAGGACAGGCCCTGTCTGGGGCCGGCGCCCCCCAGCTGCTCCCCAGGGTGCATGTCCAGGTCCACGACAGAGCAGGCCAGGGGCTCAGACCTCAGGTCTCAGACGCCCCCAGCTCTGCAGCTGTGTCCGTCCTCGGAGGCCTGGACTCTTCCAGCCCCTCCCCAGCCCCCACCCCTCTCGTGCCTCCACCGGGGAGCCCGTGGGTGGCTTGGGGGACGGCAGCAACTATCACTTTCTTTGGAGACGGGTCTTACACACCCCCAGGATGAACCCCGCACCACACCAAGAGCAAGCAGGCACCCTCTGCCCTGCCCAGCCCCTCCCTCCCTGGCAACGTCTTGTGGAGATGACGGGCAAGCCGGGGCGGGGCTCTGGGGTTCCAGGGACTCCGGGCCACTGTGAGGACGGTGAGACTGAGTTTGCGTGTGGCGGGAGGCCCCGGGCCTTGAGCTGCCACAGGGGCTGCGGCCGCTGCGAGGTCACTGAGATGGCCAACTGGCAGAGCCAGGGGCCGCGTGTGGGGGCGCAGTGCACAGGTGGTGGCTGTCACTGGTGTCCCGGTGATGGCCTCTGTGAGGGGCCACAGCACCCCCACCCTGCCCAGATTGGGGAGCGCACCTGGCCCCACCCCGCCACATGGGCAGCAGGCCCAGGAAACTCAAGACAAGAGCAGGGAAGCAGACGGGCGGGAGGGCTGGGCTCCGCGGGAGCGAGGCGCGGGCATGGGGGACGAGGGGCTGCAGGGCACCAAGGCCATGAGTGCTGGCACACAATAGCCAGGCGGGGGGCGGGGGCTGCAGGCCTGGCCCTGCCGGGGAAAGGGGCACGTGCCCCAGGAGTACAGGGGCACAGCCTGGGCCCTCCTCTCTGGATCCACCCCTGGGGCCCTGGGCCCAGGCGAGGCCCGGTCTGGGGGCAGCTGGGCCTCCCACCCCTCACCTGCCGCCCGGCAGGGCCTGGCCCGGGGGTCTCAGACACGCCACCAGAGGTAAGGACCAGGACGGGTGGGGGAAGCAGGCAGGGCAGCGACCACCGCCCAGCAGGCAGCGGGAGCCCACACCCCCTTCGGAGGGCCTCGCCCCACACCAGCGCACGCAGGGTCGGCCCCAGGGATCAGTGGGCTGGGTGGCACGGCAAGGCTGGCGGAGGAGGCAGAGCAGAGGACCCCAGGAGACCCTCCCCCTGTGCCAGGCGGGGCCCACTTTGAGTGAGCCCCAGAGCCAGGGCAGAGCACGGGCAGGCTCTCCAAGGGCAGCTCTTGGAGTGGCAGTGGGCAGGGGTCTGCTCGAGGACCCTCCGCCCAGGTGGAGGCCCAGCCCCCCCAGGCCAGAGCCCCAGGGCCGGGGGCGCTTCCCACCCCACTCGGTTTCCCACCCCACCCCGCCAGCCTTCCCAAGGGTCTGGGAAGGGAAGTCCCCACCCCCAGCTCCCGCTGAGTCAAACCGGCCAGGAACGGACCCCAGAGGCCCAGCTCCTGGCGGGAAGTTTTAGCAGCCCCGCCTGGCACTGGACCAGCCTGTCCCTGGAGTGACCCTGGACATGGAGTGGGGTGCTGTGCCCACATCCCGGAGGGCCCACTGGGCACTGGGAAGGACCCCCCCCCCCCACCAGGACTCTGGCTCACATCCCACAAGGGCTGCAGCTTCCAGGCGGATGCTCCAGTGGGTTTTAGTGCTGCCCCATTGCCCCAAAAACAGACTCCTGCCCACGAGTGGCCAGCCTCATTGCCTTGCTCCCAGCCCAGGCTGCTGACCGCTGGAGCCAGGCACCCCTAGCCGGGCCGCGGATGGGGCCGCACAGGGAGGTTCTGGCGCGGGCTTGTCTGTGGTGCCAAGAGACCGCAGCGCCCAGGACCAGAACCAGGTTCTCAGCACTAACCGGTCCACCCAGAGCGCTGCCCACGCAGCAGGCCTGGGGACCCCACGGCGCCAGGGCGTCTGTGGGTGCAGCACAGCGGAGGCTCCACAAGAGCCACAGACGCAGCGTGAACCTGTGTCTCCAGTGACCAAGTCCAGCAGGTTGGTCAGGTGTTCTGAATCCACAGGCCGGGAGGCCAGCCTCCACCCTCAGCGGACCCCCCAAACCAGGCCCTTCCCCGCGCCCCCTGGCCTGAGCCCGGGCCTGGGCGGGCACCAGCAGCCCCTCTCCTCGCGCGCTCTCCACCTCCGCAGCGGAGCCTGGCTGCGCGCGCCTGTGGCCCTGCTCCGGCCTGGCCCGGCCGCCCACCGCACGGGAAAACAGGAAGGCGCTGCCCGTGGCGGGAGGAGGCGCAGGAAGCGGGCGGCGGCGGGGCGCTTATCTCCAGCCGCAGCCAGACCCCTGGCCTTGCGTTCCGAGCACAGGACTGTGCGCAAGGCGGGGGTGGCGGCCCCAACAGCGCGTGCGGCCCCGGCAGGCCGCGGCGGTCCGGAGGGAGGCCACAGGCAGCGAGAGGCCTGATGTGTCTGGCCTGGCCTCGGGAGGCCGGCAAGGTCCGCTAGAGATGGCCCCAGAGGCCCCACACCGCGCCACACACATGGCGCTCCCCACTTCCCGTGCCAGGTGCGGGCCCCGGCCGGTCTTGGGGGGGGCGGGTGCTGGTGGCTGGTCCAGGGTTTGGGTCTTTTCCTCCGGAGGGGCAGGATGGGGGCGGCCCGGGAGCCGCGCGGGCCTCTGGCAGGGACAATGGGCTCCAGCGCCCTGAGTACTTGCTTCCTGGCGCGGGGGGGCGGGGGGGCCTGGCTTGTTTCCGCCTCGGCCACAGCTGGAGCCTCGCACACCTGGGCCGGCTGCGCTCAGGCACCAGCAGGTGCTTCCCCTGGCGGCCAGGCCCAGCCTCAGTCCGGTATGGCGGCCTCGGGGAGGGTCTGTGGGCAGTGTGGGCGCCGGGCCAGCCCGCTGGGCTAGCAGGGTCCTCAGGCCCATGGCCCGCCCGTCCTGGCCGCCTGGGAACTCGGGGGTGGGGGGAGAAGCTCGAGGGCGGGGCGGGGCGGGGAACACACAGGCGGGTCCTGGGACTAGTTTGCTGGCGTCCGTGCTCCAGATGTTCTCCCAGAGGCCCCAGCCTGGGGAGGCCGCGGGACCCACGACCCTTCAAAGCCTGCCCGCCCGGCTCTTGGCGCTGCGCATGGGGGGCCTGGCTCCCGGCTTGGGGAGTTGCACAACCCGGCCAGTGCCTGGGGCCGCATCTGCCACCCTGGCACAGCCCTCCTCGCCCAGCCCCTCCCGGCAGCAGGGCCTGAGGAGGCACGTGGGGGAGGGCACCACGGGCCCGGTGGCCGCCTGCGCCCAGAACGTGTCTCCTGGTGGGCCCGGCCCCACAGGGAGCACACAGGTGTCCCCGCCCTGCCCTGGGCCCCACGGCCACGTCTCCACCTCGGCCAGCCACGGTTGGTTCCAGCCAGCAAGCGTTTATTGCGCAGGCCGCCCACACTGGCCGGGAGGCCACCCACAGCCCGGCCCCAGGGAACCCTGGTGGGGTAAACAGTGCCCCGGCCTCCAAGAAGTGCCCCCCGCCACCCAGAACCTGTGAGTGCATCCGACTTGCAGAAAGGCTGGGGGCAAATGGGCCTGAGACAAGAGGCGAGGCCGTCTGGTGGCCCCGGCCAGGGGCAAAGGCCAGGATGCAGGGAAGGCAGGCACCGGCCCCGGGGCTGTGGCTGAGCTGAGTGCAGGGACCAGCACTGGGGTGAAGGGCCGCAGGGCCCAGGCTCCCGGAGGACAGAGGCAGAAGAGGGTGCAGCTGGTGGGCAGCCCACCCCTAGGCACGTGGGCCTGGCCCACCTCCAGGGGGCAACAGTGGGGCCAGGGACCCCAGAAACCCAGGTACCCCTTGAACCTCCCTCAGGTGTGCTGGGCGGAGGGGCCACCCCGCCCACCCTGTCCCCCAGCGAGGCCACGGCAGCCCGGTCCTGCCAGGCCCCCCGGCAGGGGTGCTGGCCTGGGGAAGGCGGCATGGTGGGGGGCCCTGGGGGACTCCCTGGCCTCCTGACCTTCAGCCCTGCTCTGCTGCTGCCGGTGGCCTCCGCCCCGCTGGCCCGCGCCGGCTACCCAGCCCCTCCCCTCAGCACCCCAAATTCCAGGTGGGGGCTCCCTGGGGTGGCCTGGATCTCCCCTCACCATGGGCCACCCCACTCAGAGCATGGCCTTGGCCCTCATACCAGCCCCAGGGCCTGCCCCGCAGCTCACAAGGGTGTCGGGCGCGACTGAGCTGTCGGCGCGGGGCGGGGGCCTCTCTGCGGCGCCCCCCACCCTGGTGGCCTTGCCTGCCGCCCCGTCCCCACCCAGGTAGCTCCTGTCCACCTGTCTTAGGGGCTGGAAGGCGGGTGTGGGGTCCACCCTGCCTTGGGGGCTTGGTGGCCACCCCCGAATGCCTGCCACTAGGGCGGGCCCACGGGGGCCCAGGGTCCCCCACACCCTGCCAGGCAGAGGGGGGCTCCGGGGCACAAGACAGTGGTCCCCTGGCTGGCTGGCCAAACCCCCCCAGGGCAGGAAACGGCCTGGCCCTGCCTGCAGACCGGCCAGGGACTGCCTTTCCTTCAGGCCGTTTCCTTCATCCTGTTGTTGTGCCGGGCGCTGACGGCCGGCCCTCTGCCCTCCACCGCCATCCTCCCTTCCAGGGCCTGGCCCTCCCTGCCCGCCCTCCCCAGCCCAGCCCCAGGAGCCCAGTCCGGCAGCCGCAGCGCCCCCTGCTGCCCGAGGCCGGACGCACCGGCTGCTGTGGAAGCTGGACAGAGGCTGGCGGGGCCTCCGGCCGCAGCGGGTGGCGGTGGCCGCCTCTGTCCACCGCATTTCCGCGTCCTGGAGAACAGGCGCCGCCGCCGTGCAGGCGTCCCGGGCCCTGCACATGGGGCAGGCCGGGCTGGGGACTAGGCGCCCCCCGGGGCCTCAGCCCACAGCGCAAAGAGCTTCTCCCAGCAGGCAGCCAGGGTGGCGAGCGTCCGCAGCAGCAGCCTCCGGCCGGCAGGGCGCCAGGCCCCGCGGGTCTCAGGGCCCCGGTGCTTCCGCTGCTGGGACAGGACAGGACGACGGGACGGTGTCAGCCCCATCCCTGCCCCAGGCACCCCCGAGGGAGCCTGGTGGGAAGAGGGTCATACGGGGGAGGGGGTGGGGGTGGGGTCGGGTGTGGTTGGGGCACGAGGGGTGTCGGGGAACACCAGGGGCAGGGGAGGGTCGGGCACCTGGGGCAGGGGAGCCGTCGGGGCACACCTGGGGCAGGGGGCTGAGGGCACATGTGGGGCGGGCAGAGTTGGGGCACATCCCCGGGGAGCACCTGTGGGTGTCGGGGCACATGGGGGGGTCAGGCATACCTGGGGCGGGCCCCAGCAGTGACGCTGCATCACGGCCTCCGTGCGCACAGCCACAGTCCATGCCGCCCTCTCCAGCACCCCATTCTGGCCCCCAGCCACTGCCCCTCGCAGGGTCTGGCCCAGGGACACGATGGACAGCAGGATGCTGCGCTCCTGGGGAGGGAGGACATGGGGGTCAGGGGAGGAGTCGGGGGGGCTGGCGGCGCGGTGGGGTGTCTCCTGGTACCTTCTGAGCGCTGCAGGAGGCTCCCACCCGTCCTGACTTCCCAGCAGTGCCAGCCCCAGTCAGGTTGCTCTGACTGAAGTGGGGGGGTCTGGAGCTCGGAGGGGTCCCTTCGAGGCCTGGTCCGCCCCGCCTCACAGCAGCCTGCAGGTCCGGGAAGATGACGGCGCGGTAGTGGCGGAGCACGTCGGGGACACGGCAGGCCCGGAGCCCGGCCCCGCCGGGGGCCAGCCCCAGCAGCACCAGCAGCGGCACCCACACCACCGGCTTGGGGGGCACCTGGAAGGGGTACTGGTCAGGGCGGGGCGTCTGGGCCCACGGGGCGCACTCTGGGCTCTGGGGCTGGCAGGCCCACCCCAAGTGCCCTGGGGAAGGACGGGCCTGGATGCCAGCCGTGCCCACCTGCGGGCCGGGGAGGCAGGGCCTGGAGGGCCAGGAGGGAGTCGAGGGGCCGGCAGCAGTGCTCTGGCTTGCGTGCGGCCTGCTTGGGCAGTCAGGCCACAGGGCCCTGGAGACAGCGGGAGAGCGGCCGGCTCCTGGCCACTCCCCGACCCCAACCGTCTCCAGGTGCGGCCCCCACCAGCACCGCGCGCGCCTGCCGTCCGCCACGGGGACCCGAGGCGCGACCCGGGGGCTCGGGGCTCAGGGCCACACCCCAGCGGAAGGGGAAGGCTTGGGGAAACCCCCAAAGGCAAAGGGAGGAGGACGGGGCCCCACCAGGCCTCGTGGGCCCCCAGACAGAGGGGCTGGCTCTCTCTGGGAAGAGGCCCCCCAGGGGCCCTCAAATCAAGGAGCCGCTGGCGCCCGGCGCCCAGGCCCACCCACAGGCCCCGGACGGAGCCCGGAAGCCAGCCATGCGCAGCCAGGCGGACACGGGACTCGGCCACCCAGCCCAGCCAGACGCGCACGCAGGCGGCCGGGCCCCTCCCCGGCAGGCTCCGGCCGCTCTGCCTGGGCAGGCCAGGGGTCTCGCTGAGAACACAGTGCTCGGAGCTGGAGGGTGACCGGCAAGGCCAGCGACCGCCCGGGGTGCTGGAGGACGGCGGGTACCCTCAAGGGGCCTGAGGTGCCCTTGGGCCGGCGCCCCAAGGGTGCAGGTCCAGGCGAGGTGGTGCCGCGGGGCCCACTTCCAGGCTAGGAGGGCTGGGCAGGGGCACCCGCAGCAGGACACGTGGACACTACCTCCAAGCGCTGCCCCCAGGCGCTGCCCACTCCCCCAACCCCCCCTTGGCCAGAGCTGCTCACCATGGGCCTCTCGGACAGGCCCTTCTTCATGCCCACCAGTGGGCCTTGCACATGCTCCTGGGGTCCCGGGGAGCACTCCAGGCCAGGGCGCCCGCTTCCCTGGCGGCACGGCCGCGTTTGAAGTTGGCTCCTCCAAGCAGGGGAGGGAGGGAGCTGGAGGGCGGCCCCGCAGGCCCCGGCCCTGCCCCGCCCCCACCCCCTCCCACTGCGGCGCCCATTAGCCAGCCCTGAGGCCCACAGCAGTGGGGCTCCCCAGCCAGGGGGTCTCCAAGGGGGCCGGCGCTGGGGAAGGGCTGCTCAGCCAGGGGCGCCCAGTGGGCAGAGGGCCTGCGGGCCTGCTGGGGGGGGCGCCCCAGGCGGCACTTTCTGTGGTCAGCAGCCCTGCCCTTGGCCAGCAGAACAAGGTGGGCGGGACCCCTGAGGCGGTTGGGGTCCTGCCCCAGCAGGCCCCAGCAGGGGACTTCCCGGCCCTGCTGGCGGGGAGGGTGAGGCGCCCCAGCCTCGGCGGAGGGGCCGTGATGGCCACCAAGCAGCGCCTCAGCCCAGGGCAGTCTGTGGCCCCGACTCTCCAGAGCTGGAGCAGGAACGTCCTGAAGACGAGACCAGGTTTTTCCCGTGGAGAAAAGCAGCTCAACGCCCTCAACGCCCGAGGAAAGCCCCCGCGAGGGACCGGGGTCTCCTCTGGGGGCTCTGGAGTGTTGGATGTGCACAGGCCAGCCACTCGGCTGGCCCTTCGCCCCCGGGGGGCAGGCTGACTCGGCACCCCCGGAGCTCAGGCTCTCAAAGAGCAAGGACCACACCCAGCACCTCCCACTGGGGCTCCGGGACGGCCCAGGAGGGGTTGTCCCAAGCAGGCAGCGCGTCCAAGCGGCAGAGGGTGGCCCAGCAGACCCACTCGGCCCCGGGCCTCAGCCACAGCCCTCGCCCGCACCGCCAGGCGCCATGGGCCCCTCTGGGGTGTCCTCTCGCCACCATCTCCCTGCCCACAGCCTCGGGGTCCCCATGACCTTGGGCAGCAGAAACCCGCTCCCGGGGCCCACTGTCCCCCAGGTGAGGACGGTCAGCGTGCTCTGCAGGCTGGCGGCTGGTAATCAGCAGGATGCCTGCCTGCACGCGAGAAGCCCCGGGAAGGGCCGGTGGCCCTGCGCCAGGGTGGCAGGTGCCCCAAGGGGCAGAGAGGCCAGGAAGGCGGCCTCACCACCACCTCCCTGGCCTGGGGGGCTGAGCAGCTTCAGGGTACGGTCGGTGGCGAGCACCCCACAAGAAGACCCAGCATAGAGCCAGTGCGCGTGGGGGCCGCGCCGAGGCGAAGGAACCAGCCAGGACACAGGACACACGACACAGAAGCCTTTAATGGGGCAGGACGGACGCCCGGACCCCACAGCGCCGGCCCTGGGCCTCAGAAGGGGTTCCTCACGCAGGCTGCCACCAGGACCAGGATCTCCCCGACCTTCCGCTGCCAGTGGGCGATGTCCTTGGACACAGAGCACCACAGCTCCCCATGCCGGGGCTCCGCGTTCTCACAACGGCGCCGCACCTCCTCACGCTGCTCCTGTGGGGGACGCGCTCGAGATGCCCGCAGCCCCGCATCGGGACGCGCCTGAGCGCAGAGCCCACCCGCGCAGCACAGCTCTGGAGGGCTCTGCCCAGCCCGGCCCAGCCCGGCCCCGCCAGACCCGCCCGCCCGCCGGCTCTGCGGGCAGCCAACAGGCCACCTCACAAGGTGAGCCCCCGTCCACAGCCTGAGGGAGGGAGGTGCCCTCCCGCCACCGCCCGCCCAGAGCCCCACTCAGCTCACCTCTGAGCCGTGCTGTAGCTCGAACTTGTAGAAGAGCGCCCAGGCGTCGCCCAGGTCCGCGTCGATCTTGACCGTGCGGTGGAACCACTCTCGGGCCTTGGTGATCTTGCGCTCACTCCAGAACAGCCTGTCCAGGCAGGGCAGGGGGTGGGACGGGGGCCACCGGGCGGGCGGCGCAGGTGCTGGCCCCAGGCCGAGAGGGGGTACAACGGCCTCCAGAGGGGTGCTGGCTCGGGCAGGGGACCGGGAGGGGCTGCTGCCCGGGAATGGCACCAGGCCACAGGACCCCCGCAGCATCCACGCGGGCCCCTTCCCGAAAGACCCTCAGCGGGAACTCGCAACCCCACCGGGCTGCTCTCTTCAGAACAAAACCTGAGAAAAACCAATTCCAGGCTTTGCCTAGAGACACTGGGCGGGTTCAGCCTCCAGCGAGACCCAGGTCAGTGAGTGGGGGGGGGTGTGACGACCCAAGGCCGTTCCCCAGTCTGCGGTGGCACCTCAGGCTGACAGCTCGACAGTTTGTTAATTTGTTAAAGCCCGTGGTGTCCGTAATGGCCCCCGGGCCAGATAAACTGGCTGAAGAGCACGCCCTGAGATAGCAGGGCAGGAACACTCGCCTGGGAACAGCCAGGAGGGACGTATTTACTTTACAAAGCCTTTTACGAGGTTTTATGGCAGCCCTATCTGCAAGGCAGCCCCCGCTGGCCCATCTGGGCCTCAGGAGCCCATGGGAAGACCCAGGCCGACAGCGCTGGGGGAGGCAGCCCCCCAGCCCCCCAGGAGCAGTCCGGGAGCATGGCCCAGGGCCTCCCCCACACAGCCCCAGCACCTCTGACCACAGCCAACCGAGAGCAGGGCGCCCTGCACACAGCTCCACCCCACCCGTCACCCAGGCCCCTGCACCCCCTCCCCTGCACCCTCTGCCACGCCGCTGACCGTTAATGCTCTGACCACCTCCCCAGAACCCCCACACCCAACACACAGGCTCTCGGCGTGGTCACCTTCTGGCTGCCCCTGCTCCTCAGCCCACACCCCCAAAGAAAGGCGGCCTCCGGCATAGTCACCGCCACCCCTCGGTCAGCGTGAGGCTGGGGTGACCACTCCCGAGAGCACAGCGGGAAACAGCCCACTGCTCCCTCGCACGATGAGCACGACCCGCTGCTTGCTTAACCCAGCGGGCCAGAGCCAGCCTGCTACTGTCCGGCGACCCGGGACAGCAGGGGTCAGCGAGTGTCCCCAAAGGCCCGGGGAGGGGAGGCCGCCACTTACTTGGCCACTGCTAGGAGCACGTGAGGGTCGTGCTCGCACTTCTTGAGGGCGTCGACGCTCTTGGTCCTCCTCTGCGGCCGGGCCTCCAGGAAGATGGCTTCCGACCACAGCACCCCTGCGCACACACTCTCCTCAGGCCTGGCCAGGGGCACCCCAGCAGGGGCAGCCCTCGGTCACGGGCGCCACCACCCCGAGGCCTCAGCCCCACTGTCCCGGGGGTCCCCCATGTGACACACAGGCCCACCCGCCAGGGCACCCTGGCAACGCCAGACCAGAGTGGCTGCTGGCGGGGCTGCCAGCCTCCCAAGGCCACGCGCTGGAGCCAAGGGTCGACACTCAGCAGCGACTAAAGAGTCGCAGAGATACTCGGCTCTGGAGACCAAGGAGCAGCACAGCACCGGCGCACACTCTGGGTGTGAACAGAGCCACTGCCCCCCTCACGCCGCCCAGAGCCCCCCACGGGCCTCACACGCCCCTTGGCTGGACCCCTCAGCAACCGTCCCCCAGGGCACGCCACCGGGCTGGGCCCTGCCCACCGCCAGAGCCTCACCCGAGCTGGGGCACTCCTGCAGCGCCTTGGCCATCAGCGTGTTGGCGATGTTCTTCAGCCCGGCCCGGTGCTCCAGCCGCACGGACTCCAGCCTATGGAGTGGTGGGGGTGTCCAGCACCCACCCACATCCTGGGGAGAGGCCGGGCGGGGGGCACAGAACCCACCCACAGGCCGAGGACACGGGAGGGCGGCCGTGGGGAGCCCATGGGACATGGGAGGGTGGCCGTAGGGAGGCTGTGGGACACGGGAGGGCTGAGAGGGCGGGAGGGCCGGAGAGGACCAAAAGGGTGACTGGGCTCACCATAGGCCCGGGTTCTTGGGGTTCTTCAGGCGAGACTTCTCCAAGATGGCCCGCGCCCGGGTGAGCTGCCCAACCTTCTCCTCCAGGCGGGAGAGCAGGAGCCACAGGGGCGTGGCGTGGGGGCACTTTTTCAGCTGCAGCCAGAGACACAGAGGGGATGTCTGAGTGACTGAGCGCGCACGCCCCCAGGGCCAGGCATGAGTCTTGCAGGAGGACAGGGGAGGGGCCGGGCAGCCCAGCCCCAGACGCACCCCCTGGCTGTAGGCCTCCCGGGCCTTCTCCACGAGCCCCTCCTGCTCCTCGATCTGCCCCTTCATCATCCACAGCTTGGGGAAGTCCTCGTAGTGCCGCAGCGCCTCCTCACACAGCTCCTGGGCCGCGGCGATGCTGCCCAGCACCCACTCCAGCTTCACGGACTTCATGAAGACCTGTGCACAGGCAGACGCGGTCCTGCCCCGCCCTCAGGGCCAGGGGCCGCTGCCCGCCCAGGGCCCAGACCTCACCCTGGCAGTGGGCGCGCTGCTCCGCGCCTTGGCCAGCAGCCGCCGCGCCCGCTCGTACTCGCTGTTCTCCGACTCCAGCTTCACAGCCGCCAACCAGATCTCCTCGCTGTTGGGGTTGGCCTGAGGGGAGCACGGCGGCGTCGGGCAGGGCAGGGACAGAAGTGACCAGGGCTCGCTGAGAGCCACTGCACCAGGTGTGTCCCAGCCACCCAGCAGAGCCTCTCGGCAGCTGCAGGAAACCCTGAGCCGCAGGGCCTCCTGCTGCCCGGCGCAGAGGCTCATGCGCGCCCTGGACCAGCCGTGCCAGCAGCTGCCAGCCGAGCGTGTCTATGCGGTAGAACAGCAGGCGGCTGGGGTGTCCCGATGGGCAGAAGCACAGCCTGGGGGTGGGGCTGGGCCACGTAGGATCCAGAGCCTTGTGCACATGCAGGTGCTGCTAACATGGGCTCCTGGTGCCACGGTCGTGGGGAGCAGGTTCACAGGGCAGGCCAGGAAGGAGCCCCTTGGGGCTGGCAGCGGACAGAGCACAGAGCAGGCAGCTCAGCGTGAAGGACCAGACCAGGCCAAGCACGCTCAGCCTCACCCGAAGCCCTCAGCTGGCGGTGCCGCATGTGGCCCTCTGCTGCTGGCAGGCCAGGGCACCCAGTGGGGTGCGGCTCCACCCAGCCAGGGGCCAGGGCAGGCAGCCTGGGGCCGATGGGCAGCCCTGGCTCAGGGCGTGGACACAGGCCTCGACTCCCGGGTTGGCGATTCCCTGCGGGGTGTGGCTGTGTGGTGGGAAGGGGCCCCACCCACCCCAGCCCCGCCCCGCGGGACGGCTCCTAGCATGGCTGACCCTGGGGGGGGGGGGCAAGCCCCCCCCCCCTTCCGCAGCTGAGGCGGGAAGGGCTGAGGCGGGAGGCGGGAGCAGGGTGTGCACACGCAGCCGCGGGGCCGCGGGGCCGCCGGCCTCACGCACCTGGAAGGCCAGAGCCAGGATGCTCCTCGCTGCGGGAACGTCCCCCGCCAGCCACTTGGACTTGGCACCCATGAGCCACAGCACCTCTGCCTTGGGGCAGTGGGCCACGGCCCGCTGCAGCAGCGCCTCCAGGGACTCCCTGTGGGACAGACGCCACGGTCACCAGGGCAGGCCACCCATGCCCAGCGCTCGCGGCCAGGCCGGCGTGGAGAACACAGTTCCTACTCCAAAGTTCGCCGCCGTAAATGATTGGCCAGGTTTTACGATGGGGAGAGCGTAGGGAAACCTTTCCTCTCCACAAAGGTCCCGGGGCCGCTGAGGAGCGCGACAAGGCAGGGCATTGTGCAAACAGCAGGCGGGAGGCGCAGCTGGGAGACCCCGCACAGCTGCGCGCCCTGAAGAAGAGATAAGGCCTGGTCCGGGGGAGCGGCCTTTCATCTCGGGCCGCAGATGCGCTGATAAAGAGTCTGCTCTTCGGCACCCAAAGACTGTCTTGCTGGAAGAGTCATTTTAGGTCGCCATTGAGCAAGAAGAACGCTGGTCGGGTATTGGGGTGCTGCCTGCTCGCCGCCAGCAGCCTCCCCTTGCCACCTGCCGCGGCGCCCAGGGTGGGACGGCTTCCTGGAATCGCAGGACCCGCTCTGGTCATGCTCCTCCTCCCCGAGAGGCTGCCAGGCAGAGGGCATCGGGGCCCGGGCCCCAGGGCAGCAGACCTGGGGGGGCTGGGGCAGCAGAAGGACTTGCTCCGGACCTGGCCCGAGCCACGAGTGTGGCCAGCAGCGTCACCGCTCTGCCGCCCGGCGCACAGGCAGACAGACCCGAGACCAAGGCGCGGACCCCGGGCAGAAGCGCCTCGCTGAGCACCCGCCAGGCCCTCCCCACATGCAGGCATGCCCGAGAGGGACCCAGAGAGCGAGGAGGACAAGGCTGGAGTCTCGGGGCCACCCATTTCACACCAGAAGTTGCAACACCTGGTTCCACAGGCGCTTCCAGCCACGCGGCGGGCCCAAGGTGTTTCCAATTAGAGCACAGGCGCCAGCTGCCAAGCGCCTCCTCCGGGAGCCGGGACCAGCCCAGCCCCAGGCAGCCCCGCTAATGGGAACCAGCCTGCCCTGCCCACGCTGCAGCCCGCCCCCCTCTGCCCCAGGGCCACTCTTGGGAGGCACCTGCGCAGAAGCCCACGTGACACACACGCGCCCTCCCCGCGCTGGCAGGAGCAGGCCCCGACCCTCGGGCGCACCTGGTGCCATGGTTCTTCTCAAAGTAGGCGGCGCGCAGCCACACGCTCTTCTTGCTGGGGAACACTTGCAGGGCGTAGGCGTAGATGGCGCGGGCACACTCCAGTGCACTGTGGGCCACGCACTGGGGTGGAGAGGGCGTGAGGGCGGCTCCCGCTGGTGGCCTTTGCCAGACCCGTGTGGGGTGGGGGGGGCAGCACAGTCGCCCCGGCGGGAGCCCACAGGCCAGGGTTGGCCTGAGGTCACATGCGCAGTGGCCTGGAGCCGCGTAGGCCTCCGGCAGTAGCCAAGCACCCCCCCACCCCCACCCCGGGCCACTCTGGGGCCATCAGGAGACTTCCCTGCGCCTCCCGCAGGCCAGGTGGCGACCTACACTGTCCGCGTCCTCCATCCAGGTGTGCTTCCGGTCCTCCTCCTCGATCCCGATGCCGATCACTGCGCGCATGACGGCCTGGCAGGTGGCTACGCTCCCGGCCTTGTCGCACTCCTCCGCGTCCTGGAGGTGGACACACGCTGAGCGGCCGCTGGGAGTGGGGCCTGCCCGGAGCCATCCAACCGCAAGGCCATGGCCATCCTGCCTACTGGCAGGCCCAGCAGTCACGAGAGGCTCCTTGTCAAGGATCCTCCAGAGCAGCTGTGACGATGGCTCAAGACCGACGAGAAGGAGCCTGTGACCCGCAAGCACATGGCCGCAGGGTGCGGGGGTGGGGGGGGCAGCGCCAGGCGGGGCCAGAGGGCAGGGGTGGGCTGAAGGCCGGGAGCACTGACTTCAGAACAGACACAGACCCCACACAGGACAGCTGCGCCCACCAGCAGGGAGGGCTGGTCAGGGAGCGCGAGAGGACCAGGATGGCTACGGGAGGGGACCCTGAGCCACGCCCCAGCCAAGCCAGTGGCCGCCACGTGCATGCCCAGCAGGACCCGGGGCAAGAGGCAATAGCAGAGCCACCGGCCTGTGAGCCAGCCCGGGGAAGGTGCTGGGCACATGCCTGAGAGGGCAGGCGCAGGCCAGAAGTGCCGGCCCGGCGGGTCCCTGCGGCACAGGAGCCCTGGGGCTCTGCAAGAGCCTGCAAAGCCCCTCGGCCCCTGGCGGCGCGGAGGGCGGAGACAGCAGGCAGGGCAGGCGCTGACATGGAGACAAGAGTCCCAGGGCTGCAGGAGGCCCAGCACGACCAGCGAGCAGGACTTGGGCACAGAGCGGACCCAGACCCAGAGGGCCCGGCCTGCAGGAGTGAAGCGTCGGGCGGGGACTGCGCCGGGAGCACCTGCCTGCCGGCCAGACCGCATCCCCCAAACCTGCAGGCCAGACTGCATCCCTGGGCCACGTAGGAGGCCCGGGAAGGAGGCCCAAGCGGCTGCCGGGGTACCCAGCGGAGGCCCAGAGAGTCCAGGCCACATGGAAGCTGCCTGGCGTCGTGGCATACGAGACTGCAGCGTCCACAAGCAGCAACCATCCCACCCCCCGTGGGGAGTCCGGGTCCGGCCCCAGATCAGAGGTGAGCAGGCGAAAAACGAGGGGCGCGACGGGAGACAAGGGCGCCTGCCGGCTCCCAGGCACCCCACGCGGACAGCCGACACAACCGCACCGCTCGGGGTCTGGCTGCGACACAGGCGAGCCAAACACGGACCTTCTTGAAAGGCCAAAGTTTAATTTCCAGAAAGCAAAACTTCAGGTGCGAGGTGGAAAACACCCTAGTGAGGCCCACGGCAGACCAGACCTCACGGGAGGACGAGCGGAACCTGAAGACGGAGCAGGAACAGCCGAGCGGAGAGAGACGGCAACATCAGCCCCGCACAGGCCTGGCCGCCGTGGAGCAGCCCAGAGCGCGGGCAGCAGACATGGCTCCGCACGGAGTCCCTGGCCAGGGCGGTCAGACAGAAACGCGAGCCCCCGGGGTTGGAGACGCGGGAGAGAAACTATGTTCACAGCGACGGGACCGGGTGCACAAAAAGCCCCAAAATGTCACCAAGAGAAGCGGAATCTAACATGCAAGCTCAGCAAGGCCGCAGGGCTCAGGGTGGACGCTCAAAAATCGAGCGTCTTCAACGAGCGACAACGGGCAGCCTGAAACGGAACTAAGGAAACAGGAAACACCCCCCCACCCCCCTGTACCAGGCCGCAGCCGCCGAGGCGCGGGGCGGGGGACAGCGGCAGGTGCCCCTGGAGCTCGGCCCCTCCCTCCCGCCCCCGCAGCAAGTGACCTGCAGCCCACAGGCAGCTGCGAAGGCCGGCGGTGGCGGCGGCAGGCAGCAGGGAGCTGGGGCGAGACATGCGCGGGGCCGGAGGAGCCTGACCTTCAGGCCAGCCGGGGCCCGCGCTAGTGCCAAGACCGCTAAGCTGGACGCACGCAGGCGAGGGCAGCCCCATACTGCACACCGGAGCCCGCAGCCGCGCCCCGCAGAGCCTCCGCGGCCGAGGCCTGTGCCCAGCGAGGGAAGGGCCAGAGGCGATGCCGCGGTACAGAGGACAGCGAAACTGCCCGGGCCGCGCCACGTCAGCCCTTGCAAACGGCCCAGGGCCAGGGTGGGCGCTCCAGCCACACAACTTGGGGACTGGAGCTGCGCCCACAAGCCTCGGCAGCTCCGCGGGAAGTGGACATACGGGGGCGAGACGAGCTCACCGTCCAGATGCGCAGCAGACCCCGGCACCCTGTGGGCACCGCCCCCCCCACCCGCCCCTGCAACCAGACCAGCCACAGGCCACAGCAGGTGACTCCTCAGACACCCGGATGGAGACGTGACAGCGACGAGAGGTGGAAGAGACAGAGAAGCAGACAGGGCAGGGGCGGGGCTCCATCGGCAGTGACTGGACGATGCTGCCCGAGCCAAGCGCCCAGGCGCACCCCCAGGCCCCCACGACCACCAGCCACCACTCATTGTCCCCTGATCTGACAACCAGCGGCTCTCACCCCCACCCCTCACTCCCCCCGCCGACGCAGGAGATGGTGGTGGTGCCCGCGCTGGGGAGGCAGTGGCTGGAGAGACAAGGGCCGCCCCACCAGGCCAGGTGGATGCCGAGACGGCACCCGAGGCCAGCACAGACCGCCCGCGCGCTACCAAGGGGAGATCCTTGCACACAGCCTGACGGTTTGTGGCTCAAACTCTCAAACGCTAACCCCCTCAAGCAGTGGATTTAACTAGCTCTGCCTGCTCTGCTCCCCACTCTGTCTCTGGGGAGTCCTCTCCCCCACCCCGCACCTCTGGTCCGCACCTCAGCTCTTGTGTGAATAAGTACATAAATCTCAAAAAACAGAAAAGAACAGACAAAAAAACTCAGCTGCGGTTTTCACAAAATGACAAGACTACGACGGCGAACAGAAACGAGGACGGCGGCGGCTGTCCCGTGAGGCTGGGCCTGTCGGCCGCGTGGCAGGCAGACCCCGCCCAAGCCCAGCCAGCTGGCCCAGACACGGGGTGGCCGGCTGGGAGCCAGATCCACACGCGGGGTCACAGCAGCTGCTGCACAGAACGGGGTGCTGCTGCAGCACACATGGCGGCACCTTTAAAAGCCACCCAGAGGCCTCACAACAGCCGTGGAAGGTGGGTCAGGAGGCCACAGCCCCACACAAGCGCACCAAAACAAGGCGGGACGCACCCTCAGAAGCACAGGGCGGCTGCTGTGTCCTCACCCAGAGCTCCATGGGTGGGGTGGAGGCAGAGAGGGCACCCCTTGGCAGGGAGCGGCAAGGATGCTCCCTGGGACGGAGCCCCTCCCCTGGAAAAGCAGCACCGCCTGCGTCTGCCCTGGGACCTTCAGCGGCGTCTGCCCCAGGTGTGCTCGTGTCCCGACCCAGCACAAAGTGGTGCTGTGGAGAGGAGCAGCCCCTCCTGGCCTGCCGTTCACCTGGAGGGACTCCCGCTGCCTCACCTGGATCCACTGCTCGCGGTTGATCTCCACGCCATTGGCCCGGAGCGAGGTGATGGCGCGGTCAACAATCTTCTCCACCATCTGTGTGTTCCCGTTGGCCTCCTCCAGCTTGGCAGCCGTGATCCAAATGTGTCGGTCCGTGGGGATGTTTTCGCGGGCCTTGTTCAGGACCTTGCGGGCGTTCTCGTAGGTCTCCAGCCTGGCCAGGGCCAGCCAGAGCTGCGGGGCGCCGGGGAACAAGGGCACCATGAGCACCACCCACCACGGCAGAGGGCGAGCCCTGGGGTCTGGGCTGCAGCCTCCCTGGTCTGGTCACCGCTCAGCTCCTGCTCAGAAAGTGGCCAGGCCCCGGCTGGCGTGCAGCACACACAGGTGCCCTCACCCAGGAACTGGGGAGGACAAGGCGTGCCCCCTCCTCCACCCTTCTCATGCCCCACTGTGGGGTCTGCAGCCTCTCACCCCCAAGGGTGCGAGCCCCGTTTACTCTCACGCAACTGAATCGAGAGTGACCACATGTGGAGATGCTGCGGCACCGGTGGAGTAACTACAGACGCGCTGGATGTTACAGCGCCCAGACGGGAAACAGCCGCACGGAGACGGAGGCTGCGAGCCTGAAGCCCCCACCACAGGCCCCAGCCTGGAGGCACAGGCTGCTCTCACTGGGGGGCCCTGTTAGGGCCATACAGACGCCAGGCCGAGTTGGGAGGGGCCCCAAATTCTCCATGACCCCCAGGAGCACAGCCGGCGCAGCAGGCCCCCTCACCTCCACCCCAGTGGGGCAGCACCCCCCTCACCTCCATGCCGGTGGGGCAGCCCCCTCACCTCCACGCTGGTGGGGCAGCACTCCACGGCGCGGCTGAGCATGATCCGCGCGTCCTCGGGCTCCTCCAGCTCCACAGCCGCCTTCCATAGCCGCACGGAGTTGGGCACGTGCTCCAGGGCTGGGGACGGCAGACGGGGCCGGTCACGGCGGCAAAGGAGTGACGAGGGGTGTCTTGCGACGCAGAGCAGAGGTGGGGGCGGTGGCGGCTGTGGGGGCACGCGCCTCTGATGGCCGCTAACAAAGACCCCAGCAACCATGCACCCGGGGTAGTCGCCCCCGGAGGAGCCGGTCCAGGAGGCCCCACGAGCGCGTGAAAATGCTGGGAGAACAGCCAAGCCCAGGACGGCGCCGGCCGGGCCAGGGGGCCCAAGTCCAGGAGCGCCAGGAGCAGCGCCTGGTGGGCCTGGTGGGCCGGGGCAGCCCACATGGAGTGACCACAGGGCAGGAAACAGACCCCCAGGAGAGGACTCCACCTCACGTGATCCAGAAACCTCCAAACCTCCTTATTCAGCAGAGCAGCTGACACAGAGCCCGAAACACGGCGCCTACGTGAGCGGCAAGGGGCCGAGCGTCCAGCCGCCGCCCACGAACAGCCCCCCCCCGCAGGGCGGCGTCGGCTCACCTTTCCTGAGCACCCGCTTCTTGGCGCGGGTGTCTGTCTCCAGCTCCGCCGCCCGGATGTAAATCCTGACCGACTGAGGGAGGTGGCGGACAGCCTGAGCCACCACAGCCTTGGCCGTGTCCCCAGGCTGCAACCTGGCCGCCTCAAGCCAGACGTCTTCGCTCTGCGGGCACAGGGGGACTCAGTGCTGTGCAGGCGGCGAGGGCCCACGTTCCACTGGCTGCGAGGACGAGCAGGCCACCCTCTAAAGCTCCCCTGGGCAGGGAGACCAGAGGGCCGCATCTGGCGTGAGACCCCCCGTCTCCCCAGGCTGCAGCTGCCGGGGTTTGGGCCCTGGCCTGTGTGCGAGTGTGGCCACCAGGGGCTTCACTTCCCAAAGCCTGTGCCCTCGCCCCGCCCGCAAACAGCACTGCACACGCCCGTTGGGCCTCCTGCACATGGAGGTGGAGGGACGCGCCGGCCAGTTCGGCCCCCGTTTGAGGTCTCCCCCACAGCGAGGGTGACTGTCAGCAGAGAAGCCACCAGGCTGGGACTGAGCTGCCGCTGCACGGCACAGCCTGGAGGAACAGGCTGCTCGCGCCTACCCCAGGGATGTCTCTGCCCCCTGGTGACGAGGCCACGCGCCCCACCTTAGGGCACATCTCCGTCCCCTTCATGATGAGGTTCCGGGCCACCTGCAGCTTCCCAGTCACCTCCTCCAGACGGGCCGAGGCGATCCAGGCCGGCGGGTGATGCGGGTTTGTTTCCCGAACAGACTTGAGCAGCAGCCGTGCCTTCTTGATGTCGCTGCCGTGAAGACGCGTGGATAGTCTTGACGGCCCCAGCGCCCCCCACCGCACCCACAGGCCTGCGCCCTGCTGGCAGAGGCTGTGCTGCCCGGGGTGCCACCAGCAGGCTGCTCTTAGCTAGCTCGGGCAAGTGGGTCACGTGCAAGGTTCAACCCTGCAGGATGGAGGCACAGCCGCGCAGAGCCAGCCCCATGCATGACGCCTACCCCCTGCGCTGGCCACGTGAGCTTCAGATGCATGCCCCACCCGCTGGCCCGCGGGCACTCACTTAATGTCCCCGCCATGCGTTGGGATCATGGAGTTCAGATCCGTCAGGTAGCCCTTGGGGTCGACCACGGTCTGCCCACTCACAGAGTCCGACACCTGCATGGCACAGATACAAGGTGTCTGTGAAGCCGCAGGCATCTCAGGAGATGATAACGTAAGCTGAAGGGGGGCCGTGATGGGAAGGGCCAGCCTCCGGCTCCGGGCAGCAAGCGCCTAGCTGGCCGCGCGCCCTCCTTGGGTCTGCTTGTCAGCTGCCCGCTGCCTTGACACCCCCGAAGGAGCCTGGCTGGCCTGGGTAGGGCTGTGCACACCCACGGGGCGGCGCCCACCAGCCTACAGGTACGGGTCCCACCTGGGTCAGAGCTCCAGGAGCCAGGCCTCCCCCAACAGCCACCACAGCCGTACCTGGCTCAGCCGCATGTCCATCAGCGTGTTCCTGGCCTGCCCGATTTTCCTCATGTCCAGCTCCCCTGTGCCAGGTGTCATCAGCCCAGGTGTCATTCCACCGGGATAGGGGGTGTTCAACCCACCTGGGTAGGGTGTGTTAAGACCTCCAAATTGCTGAGAAACAAGAATAAGGGACTGGCTCAAGCCCCCAAGCGGCACGACCTGCCCGTGGTGTGCCCCCTGCCATGGCGCAGGCAGGCAGGCTGTGCAGACAGGGGCCCCCGCAGGCCCCGTCCTCCCAGACCCCAGGCTCACCGTCTGCCGGGGGTCCACTGAGGTGTGGTTCTCTCCAGTCTGCAGGTGTTTGGCGAAGAAGCTGTCGGGCACGGGGGTCAGCTTCTCGTAGCGAGGGGTCCGCTGGCGCTTGTTCCTGGCATCGCCGACCTCAGGGATGCTCAGCCACTCCTCCTCCGTGACTTCTGCTAACTTCCTCTGCAGGAACCCAGCCCACACACGTCACCGCCGGCTAAACTGCATGGGCACAGCGAAGACTGGGGGCTCCCTGACCCCAGCCCAAGGAAGCGGCACAGAAACGCCCGCTTCCCTCACCTCCAGCGTGGGGCCCTGCCCAACCGAGGCTCAGGAAACCTCAGGTGGACGTAGTAAGGCCACAAAGGGGGGGCGCCCTGCTGTCAGGCTCATGATGGGGTGGAGCAGCTCCCAGGTGGCTCTGCCCAGCTGGCTGCGGGGTGGGGACACCCGACTTGCCTTGAGGTCTGAGAACTGCTGCTGGATCTTGGGCCGCTCCATGCGGTACTTCTCAATCTCCTCCTTCTCCCTCTGCTCCCTGGGAAGTAAGAGCCGGTGTCAGACACACGCCATCTACCCAGCGGCGTGACCACAATGCCAAAAGCACAGGCCAAGGTCAGCTGCCAAACGCCGCGTCTGAAGGCAACAGAATCTGCTCACAAGCCCACCTGGTCGCCCCAGATGTCTAAGAGAAGCAAGCTGTCCCCGGACAGGTGCCCCCACCACGGGCGGCCAGGACACGGCCCACAGCGCAGCCCCATGAACAGGTGCCATCAGACACAGGTGCGGGTCCGGCACCGCCGGCCCCGCCAGACCAGGGCGGGCATCGTGGCTGAGCACCCGGTCCCCGGCGACAGGGCTGCGTGTCGCGCTGAGAACGGCCGCACCCTCCAGAGAGCCACGCATGCTGAATGAGAGGCCTGCCAGCTAGGGCAGGTAGGCAGGGCCGAGGCGGACGAGGTAAGGCTCTGCCCCCAGGTGAGGCGATGCTGTCCTCAGTGTCCTCAGCAAAGTGCTGAAGAAGACCTGTGCCTCAGGGAGTGGCTCTGCGACCTGCATGGCCAGGCCCTCGCGCATCACATGGACAGACATCAATGTCACTGCGGCCCTTTCAGGCGGCGACCCTGCTGTCACCTGCCATCGACGTCAAGAAGGCAAACGTAAGCGAGGGCGGCCCGCAGTAGCATGGCCGCGCCCCACGCAGCTGACACAGACCCAGGCCTGGTGGCCTCAAAGCGAAGCAGGGACACAGGTTATTCTCACCAATATTCGAAGGAGAGAGAAATCGGAAAAAAATGAATATAAAGGTAAAAGAAGTTGAAAGCGGAGAGGCTGCAACAACGCATCCTCCAGAGCCAGATGAGCAGGGTGCGGACAGTGGCAGAGCCTCACCTCCTCTCTTTCCTCCTCTCGTCCATCCTCTTGTCCAGAGCCGCGTAAATGGCGTCGGCCTCCTCATCATCCTTCTCGTAGGGCCCGCTGGAGAAGAGGCTCCCGGCGTAGCCGTTGAACTGAAAAGCAAAGCACCGGCTTCAAGGCTGGCTCCCCAGCCAGCCCGCTCATGGCGGGCACAGGGGCACGGAGGTGAGAGGACCAGGGGCAGGAGGGGTGGAGGTGCGGCACCGCGGGAGACCTGGCCAAGGGCAGCTCAGGTGCTGGACCAGGAAAACAACATCCATGCCAGGAAACACAAATTCAGGCGAGAGCTACAGGTCACTTCATGCCACGGGGGCTTTCCTGGCCTCAATGCCCAGGCCAAGCAAGATGGAAAAAGCTTAAAGAGAGCTTGTGGTAAGGCGCCACGTTGCTTTTGCAACTTCAAAATTGGGTTTACTCAAAACTGCTTTATTTTTCTTTCGCAAAAGCTATATTTAGGGCCTCCACGGTGGCGCAGTGGGTTGAGTGCCGCGCTGTGAAACTGTCTGCAACCTCTGCAGCGCGGGTTTGATCCTGGCCAGCCAGGGACAAACCCACATGGTGCAGACCTCCCCTGTCTCCCCGACGCTCCCCTCAGCAGTGTATTTCAGTAGCTCTGCCTGTCCTGTTCCCCACTGTCTCCGGTGAATCCTCTCACCCTCCCACAAATCTGGGCGGTTTTCATATGGACAAATGAATCTAAAAAAAAAAAAAAAAAGCTATAGAACCTCCCCAATGGCACAGTAGGTTGAGCGCCGCGCTGTGAAGCTGTCCATAGCCTCTGCAGTACGGGTTCAAGCCTGGCTGGCGAGAACCCCACATGGCGCGCTTGACCTCTCCTGTCGCACCTGCTGCTCCCCTCAGCAGTGTATTTCGTCAGTCTGCCTATTCTGTTCCCCGCTCTGTCTCTGGTGAATCCTCTCACTCTTCTGCACCTTCAGCCTGTACCCTGCTCTTGTATAAAAGTAAATAAATCTTAGGCCTCCCCGGTGGCGCAGCGGTTGAGTGCTGGGTTGCGAAGCTGCCCGCAGCCTCTGCAGCGCCGGTTCGATCCCAGCCGCCGGGCGAGGGTCCCACATGGCGTGCAGACCTCTCCTGCCGCCCGCTGCTCCCCTCAGCAGTGAACTTCGTCAGTCTGCCTGTTCTGTTCCCAGCTCTGGTTCTGGTGAATTCTCTCATCCTCCCGCGCTTCTAACTGCACCCAGTGCTTACGCAAAAAAATAGATAAGTCTTTAAATAAATAAATAAACAAATCTTTAATAAAAAATAATTCAAGAAAGGTTTTTCGGTATTAAAACACTTGGATGCAACCAGAAACACGGTACGTGCATGTTTGCGTGTGTGTGTGTGTGTATATGGGAGGAAATTCCCCAAAGACAGAATAGGGAGAACAGGTGGACCCACTGAGACACACTGCTGAGAGGGCAGCGGGACACAGGAGAGGTCTGCTGTGCCCTGTGCGTAGCTCCCTGGCCAGGGATGGACACAGGCTGTAGCAGTGACAGCCTGAGACCCGACCCCCAGGAGGCTCCTGCGTGTGACTTCAGGGGACAGGCCCACAGCACCTGCGCACCCGGAGTCCTTTACCCTAAACCCCGGGTCGCTCCCCTTCAAGTGTCTTCTCCCCTGAACATCACTGAACAAGTTTGAGCTGCAGAAGCTCCTAGACTGGAAGTCGCTGCCCTCCGGAGGACCCGCGGTCACCTCGTCATAGTTGGTGTCATTCAGGTCCTCATCATCGTCGTCTGCGGCCTGGCTCTTCTTCATCTGGTCCCCCACAGTCCTCTTGCCTGGCGGCGCATGGCGGTCATCCACGGGGTCATTGGCGTCCCGGGCAGGCCCGATGTCCGAGCGGGTAGTGAAGCCGGTGGCGCTGGAGAAGAACCGAAAGCTGTTTGTCTGGGGCCTCACTTATTGCCGCCCCTCTCCCAGACTTCCGTGAACCTCGAGGATCCTAGTGGTAGTGAGCTGCCCCCACCAGCTACACGCACCCAATGCTTTCCGGGTAGGAAGTCCCGACAGTCACAGGACCGCAGACCTCCCCCCAGGCCTGCTCCAAGAGCCTGCACCCCACTCAGGGCTCCTCCTGGGGCTGTTTCAGGGGGTGCCTGCAGCGTCCCAAGCGCCAGGCCCCCTCTGGCCCCTCGCCGCCAGTCTCCACTAGCCTGTCCCCTCCAGACCACCGCACCTGTCACCTGCAAACCCGCCCCTGCGCCTGCCTTCCCCGGCTTCCAGGAGCCCCGGCACTGAGCCCCACTCCGCTCCCCTCCCCCACCCCCCCTCGTGCTCCTTCACCTGTCTGCTCGCCCGGTCTTTCAAGCTGCCCACGGTCAGCACGCGGGACCCTCCCCCAGCCGGCTGTGCCCCCCCCCCCCCCCCCCCCCGCCCCAAGCCCAGTCTCCCCTCCTCCGCCCCGCCCCCCGGGCCCCGGCCCCCCGGGACTCCCCCGCCGCCCGGCCCTGCCCCGCGCCGGCCCCGCCCCGCCCCAGGGCGTGGTCCCGGGACCAGCTCCCCGCCGGGACAGCCCGCCCCGGCCCGCCCCGGCCCGCCCCCGCCCGGGCCCCAAGCGCGGCGCGGCCCGCCCGCCCCCGCAGGCCTCACCCACGGCCCAGCCCCGGCACGTAGCCAAGCGGCGCGGGCATGCCCAGGAAGGGCTTCTTCTTCTTGTTCATGGCGCCGGCGACGGCGAGGGCCGAGACGGAAGAGACGGGGGGCGCAGCCGGACCGCCGCGCACGGACGCCCCGGGCCTCGCTGTAGGAAGTTGTCGCGGGCGCGTCGCCCGCGCCCCGGAAGCAGAACCCGCGGTCTCCGCGAAGCCCCGCCCCCCGTGCCCCCCGGCGGAAAATCCGGAAACGCGCCGCCCTCGACTTCCGGTCTTTGGCTAGACGCGGAGGGGCGGCCGGCGCATGCGTGGGAGCGCCAGCTGGGGGTGGCCGCGCGTGGCCTGGCGGGGGGGCGCGGGGGGCGGGGCGCGGGGGGTGCCGGGACGGGGCGCGGGGGGGAGCCGGGGCGGGGCGCGGGGGGGTGCTGGGGCGGGGCCCGGGGGGGTGCCGGGGCGGGGCCCGGGGGGTGTGCCGGGGCGGGGCGCGAGGGGAGCCGGGGCGGGGCGGGGCGGGGGGGGGGGGGGGGCGGGGCGGGGCCCGGGGGGTGTGCGGGGCGGGGCGCGAGGGGAGCCGGGGCGGGGCGCGGGGGGGTGCCGGGGCGGGGCGCGAGGGGAGCCGGGGCGGGGCGGGGGGGGGGTGCCGGGGCGGGGCCCGGGGGGTGTGCCGGGGCGGGGCGCGAGGGGAGCCGGGCGGGGCGGGGCGGGGGGGGGGGGTGGTGCCGGGCGGGGCCGGGGGGGTGCCGGGGCGGGGCGCGGGGTGTGCCGGGGCGGGGCGCGAGGGGAGCCGGGGCGGGGCCCGGGGGCGTGCCGGGGCGGGGCGCGGGGGGGGTGCCGGGGCGGGGCGCGGGGGGGGGTGCCGGGGTGACCCGGTCCGGGACGGGCCCTGCGGTACCGCGAACCGAGCCGGGCCCCCGGCTCCCTGAGCGCCCTGGAGCGCCCGCGGGGACGCCCGCGGCCCCGGCCCCGCGCCCCTCCCGGCCGGCCCCGAGCGGCGGGGCGCGCGCGAAGAGGGCGGCGGCGCGCATGCCGGGCGTGCGGCGCGGGCCGGGCTGCTGGGCGCGCGGGCGGCCGCCCCGGCGGCTCGCACACGCGTGGGCCTGGCCACTGCCCCCGGCCCCTCGGGGGCGGGTCGCCCCGCGCGCCGCCCGGCCCGGCCACGAGCGCGGCCCCGCCCCCTGCCGCGCCCGCGCCGCCCCCCCGCGCCGCGCCGTGCGCCGAGCCGCCCGGGGCCGCGGCGGGCGGGACCGAGGCCCCGGCTGCCCCGAGCCCGGCGGGGGCGGGGGCGGGGGCGGGCGGCGCCGGCGGCCCCCCGCGGGCACTCCCGGGGGCGTGGGAACACAGGCCGCGAGCCCGCCCGCGAGGCGGGGGAGGGAGGGGTGCTGGGGGGCGTCCGCACCCCGCGGGCCGCGGCCCCGAGCAGGTGGGGCGCCCGCGGCCCGCGCGCCGCCGCCACACCTCGGCGCTCCCGGAGCGCGCCCGGCGCGGGGCTCGGCGGCAGGTGCCTCGCCGCGCAGACTCGGGGGCGCGGGGACCGGCTCGGGCGCGGGGCCGGCTGGGGCGGGGCGGCGGCGCGCGCTCCCCGCCGCCACTCGGGCCGCCTGCGCCCGGCGAGGGGCGTGTGCTCGGGCCGGGCCCCGCGGGCCCCATGTTCACGGAGCTGCGGACCAAGCTGAGCCCCCCGCGGGGCCGCGCCGGGGCCGTGCGCGCGGGCCTCGGGGAGCGCCGCGATGCGGACGGTGAGCGGGGCGGGGCCGGAGAGGCTCCGGGACCAGAGGGTCCAGGTCGCCACCCGGCGGACTCGGAGCGGCCGCGGCGGGTGGAAGCGGGGCGCGTCCTGGCCGAACGGGGTCTCCGGTATCTTTGTCCTTTCCGGGGGTGCGCAGGCCTTGGGATCAGCGCGCCCTTGGCTTGCGGGAGCTGACGGCGCCGCCCTACCCCGGCTGGCTCCACACTGCGGCCGCTTCCCCTGCCGTGGAGAAAACCGCCCCTGCTCGGCTGTGGGGCCGACGCCGGCTTGCGCGCCCCCGCCCCCTTTGCTCCTGGCATTGGGCGTGGGGTCTGGGAGGGACCCAGGGAGGGATGGCGACCCCCTCCCCGAGGACGAGCAGGAGATGGGCGGGGCGGCTGGCAGGTGGTGTGACCCCGGTGCCTGTCCCAGGGTCCCTAGAGTCCGGGAAGTTGGGGGGGCAGGAAGCTGCTGTCTGAGGTCCTGCCCGGTACCGAGGCCTGTCAGGCCCAGCCCCAAGCCCCTCAGGTTAGGGGGGACTGTGTCCTTGGTCTCTCCACTGCCCAGAGGACACTGCCATCTGCTGGGTGACGGGGAGGCCAGGGCAGCAGGGCCCAGAGGGTCAGCCAGACGTCCCCCGAGGAGTGTGAGGACTCGGAGGTGTCCTGGGGCGCTGGTCAGCGTGACTTAAGATGCTGCTAGTGAGGGACCATCCTCAGCTAGGGGTGCCCCCAGGCATCGTGCCCACAGGGTCTTCCTGCCCCAGGGGGCCTCCCGGACACAGGGCTGTCCCCAGCAGGTGGCTCCTGTGTGCGGCCTGGCCTGGCCTGTGGCGGCCGGTGGGCAGGAAGGCCAGGGCGCTCCGGACAGCCCCTTGCCTGGCGGAGGCTGGCCAGGGCAAGCCGTGCTCGCCCGTGGGGCAGGATCTGCTGGGAGGGGGACCGCTGCGCACTGGCCCTGGCGCTGGGGTCCCCCAACAACTCTTGCTTGCACACCACGTCCCTCGTCCTCTGGGGGCTTGGGAGCCCCCACCTGGGAGGAGCTCTCCTTGCGGCGCAGGGAGCTGGTGGAGGGACCACGCCCTGCCCTGGCACCCACTTCCCTTGCTCCGCAGCCGCCACCCACTTCAGCTTCTGCCGCGCGCTCCTGGAGCACACGGTGTCGGCTGAGAGCATCCCCCGGCCCCTGCCGCGGACCCCGGGCACCAGCCTCACGTGGCACGACCCCCGAAGCCAGCGGGCAGCCGGTAGCCGGCCGGTCAAGCTCCTGCAGCAGCCGGGCACCGAGGCCGCCCAGGTACCCGCCTGCCGCCCCCCCCCTCGCCCGCCCCGGCCGCGCCCCCCTCACCGCCCGCCTCCCCGCAGGGCCGGCTCTGCCCCGACCACGGCGGTCTCTACCACACGAGCCCCTCGCTGGGCAGCCTGACGAGGCCCGTGGTCCTGTGGAGCCAGCAGGACGTCTGCAAGTGGCTCAAGAAGCACTGTCCCCACAACTACCTCGTCTACGTGGAGGCCTTCTCCCAGCACGCCATCACGGGTGCGCCCCGCGCCCCCCAGGCCGGCCCCCCGGCCCCCCACCCCGCCTCCCCCGCCCGGCCTCGGCCTCAGCCCTGCCTCCCTGCCCGTCCCCTGCCCTCCCCTCCTCCCCCCCCTTCCTGTCCCCACCCCCCCGCGACCCGCCCCCTTGCGGCCCCTCTGCCCTTTGACGCTGGCTCTGCCCCCAGGCCGGGCCCTGCTGCGGCTGGACGCGGAGAAGCTGCGGCGCATGGGGCTGGCGCAGGAGGCGCAGCGGCAGGAGGTGCTGCAGCAGGTGCTGCGCCTGCAGGTGCGCGAGGAGGGGCGGAGCTTGCAGCTGCTCAGCCAAGGTCAGCGGGGGACCAGGGGCGCCCCAGGGGGGCTGGGAGGTCCCTGAAGAAGGGTGGGCGGGGCTCGCGGGCAACTGTGGGGCCCTGCAGGGCGCGCTGGAGAGCCGGGCCGCTGCTCACCCCTGTGCGCCCCGTAGCTTCCTTCGGAAATGCGTCCTAGCCGCCGCCGAGGCTTGGCCCAGACCCCAGCACTGTGATCGGCGCCCACGGCAAGGACCGGGCGGACCTGGCTGCGCGGCCCCCACACCTGCAGGGGCCCTGGGGCCGGCGCCAAACACAGCCAGGTGGGATGGGGAGGGTCGTCTCCAGCCACCTCTGCCCATGCCCTCTGGGCCGTGCCTGGGATGGGGGCGGCTCACAGGGCAGAGCCGCAGCCCCGGTGCTGGTGCTGCTGGCAGCATGCAGGCGGTCACCTGGAGCCAGAGCTGGGTTCAGCCGCCCCCCAGACCCCTCCCCGTACCCCCAGGCCTCGTGCCTGCTGAGACACGTCCTCTGGGTGTCCACCCTCTCCCAAGGCGGGTGGCCTGCCTGCCCTCCCTCCGGTCCAGCTCTGCGCCCTCCCTGGCACCCAGAGGCCTAACCACATGGGTAGGACGAACTGCCCAGACACCCTTTGGATTGTGCTCCTCTCCTGCTCGGCCCTGCAGCTGCTACAGCGAGGTCTTCGGGCAGCTGCCGGGCGCTTCCGCCCACAGCTCACAGAACCCAGGCCAGAGGGGCCCAGGGGTGCCCCAGTGCCCGAGACCTAGTGGGTGCAAAGGGGCCCGGCTCCGTCAGGTAGGTCTCCAGATTCACAGAGACCACCTTTGGGGCACAGTCCTGGGTGGGGGTTCCCACTGCCCCTTCCCAGGGGAAGCTGGTGGCGGAGCCCCGTGCCCCCACCCGGCAGCTGGGTCTGTGGGCCAGCTGCAGAGGGACAGGGAGGGCAGCGGGCGGTCAGCTCCTCTGCTTCCTGCTCCCACTGGGGCCGACTCTGGAAACCTTGGGGTGGGCGTGAGGCTGAGTCCCGGCCCGTGCCTGGAGCCACCAGGAGGCTGGTCAGTGCCGCTGGACACCTGGCTTGTGCCCCCACCCATCTGTCCGCGGGAAGCCCCATGTCCTGGCGTCCTGTCCGGCTGCCGTGTGGCCCTGCCCATGGTGCCCACGTGCCATCCCTCCCCGCGGCCCTTGCTGTCGCTGCTTGTTCCCTCTCCTGTCTTGACCCAACTCTTTGTTCTATGTCGCTTTTTTATATTCTGAGAACAAACAAGACTCCAGAAATAAACGTGGTTCTTAAGCGCCAGGAGTGTGGTGTCTGGTGGGGGGGAGGTGGGAAGGAGGGACTGGGGACTCGCTGCGGCCAGCTGGGGCCTCCAGGGGGCAGCGGCGGCACATTCCAGCTGGTCCAGGCCTGGGTACCGGGACCACAGCTCTGTTGGGCACCAGGGCAGGGGCCCCAACAAACACAGCCTGGTACCCCTCGGGGTGTGTCAGCGACTCAGGTGCAGGTAGGCTGTCCCCCGCTTCGGGGGTGCCCCAGAATGCCTGGGCCTGTGGGCACTTTACCCCACTCCTTGTCATGCGGCCTGTCATCAAGTGGCGATGCTTGTCACCCCCCGAGGGCCCCCACAGAGGCCCTTTTCCCAGACATGGGCTTCCCGGCCTCCAGGTATGCCACACGGCTATCTCCTGGGGTCCCCAGGAGCAGTGGTGCCTGACATGTACCCATAAAGCACCTGGGCACACACAGGACATCAGAGGCAGCACCCGGACACCCATGCCCCCGACCTCGGGGTCACGGCACAGCGGGCCGTGCGCGAGGGGCGGCATAATGGCCGGAGCTGACCCGTGGCCTGGAGCTTCCTCCAGACCCGCTCCTGGCCCTGCCCGCACATGGGCCCTGGGCACGGGCCTGGCAGCAGGTCAGTCCCCAGCTGGGCATGCGGGGGGGGGACATCCCAGGTCCGGGGCCAGGCCTGTGGGCGCCTGTCTGGGACAGCGGGGCCGACTTGCTCCAGGTCGGGGAGGGGTGGAGAGGAGAGTCAGGTGGGCGGGAGCCGCGCTGCGCGAGGGCAGCGTCCTGGCCCTGCGGGGGGCCTGTCACCCTCGCTCGCTCGCGCGGCGGCAGCCCCAGGCGCGCGCGACAGGGCCGGGCAGGCGCAGGCCCGCGCCGCCCAGGCCGACCCAGCGGCCGGCGCGCCCCCCGCCCCCGCGGCCTCGGCTGCCCCGCGCCGCGCCGCGCGGCCGCTGCCTCAGTTTCCCCGCCCGCCCCGCCCGCGCGCGCAGGATACCGCGAGAGTTCGCGCCGCCCCGCGCGGAGCCGTCGGGGGGGCGGGGCGGAGCGCGCATGTGCGCAGCGCGGCGCAGCCCGGCCGCCCGGACCCGCGCCCCGCGCCCCGCGCCCCCGGCCCGGCCCGGCCCGGCCCGGCCCGGCCCGGCGCAGCCCCGCTGGGCGCCGCAGGTAAGCGCGCCGGGCCGCCGCGCCCCGCCGCGCCCCGCCCCGCCGCGCCCCGCCGCGCCCCCCGCCGCGCCGCGCCCCGGCGCCCGACCCCCGCCGCGCCGCGCGCCGCCCCCGCCCCCGCCAGGAAAAGTCGCCATTTTGGTTCACTGCCTCGGGCCCCGGGCCCGCGCGGCGGCCGGCCGCGGGGACAGGTGGGTGCGCGGCGGCCCGGGGCCAGCCCGGCCCGCCGCCCCCGCCCCGCCCCGCCGCCCCCGCCCCGCCCCGCCCCGCGCCGCGCCGCGCGCCCCGCCCCCCCCGCGCGCCCCGGCCCCCCCCGCCCCGCCCCGCCCCCCCCGCGCCCCGGCCCCCCCCGCGCGCCCCGGCCCCCCCGCGCGCCCCGGCCCCCCCCGCGCCCCGGCCCCCCCCGCGCGCCCCGGCCCCCCCCCCCGCGCGCCCCGGCCCCCCCCGCGCCCCAGCCCCCCCCCCGCGCGCCCCAGCCCCCCCCCCGCGCGCCCCGCCCCCCCCCGCGCGGCCGGGCCCGCAGGCCCGGAGGCCCCGGCCGACCCGACCCGCCGCTCTGCAGCCGCCGCCTGCGGAGAAGGGCCGGGCCGCCGCGAGGACTTCCCAGGAAGTTTGCGGGGACCCCCGAGGCCGCCCCCCCAGGCCCGGATGTGGGGCCCCCGCGGCGGGCGGCCCCTCTCCTGCCCTCCGACCTCCGCCTGCCCAGAGGTCTCCGGACCCTCCTGGGCCAGCAGCCCCTCCAGCTCCTCCCATCCACGGCAGCCGAGGCCTCCGGGGGGTCACCCCACCCTGCAAACTCCGCTGGGCCTTGGTGTCCTCGCGGGGGCCAGCAGGTCCCCCCGCAGAGCCCGCCCGCCGGAGCATGGCGGCTCCCGGCGAGGCCCACAGGCCTGGGGCGGGCGTGTGCAAGACCCGGCTGCACGGTCGGGAGCTCAGGGCTGGGTTGGACCCGGGGTGCTTGCCGCGGGGTATAGTTTAGGGGTTCTCTGTGGCCATCTTGGCTTGTGTCAGTGTCCCGTGGAGGGTTCGGGGGTGCTGCCATGGGGTGGGGGAAGCCGTGGAGGAAAGCGTTGGGCTGCTGAGTGGCACAGCCTGTGGTGGCTGCCTCCCTGGCATAGCTACTGGCCCCCCGACTGCCCCCACGCTTGTTCCAGAGCCGGTGGGGCTGTGTCTGGGGATGTGGTGGTGCGAGATTGCTGCTGAGGGTGTCAGGACAGAGCTGGCGTCCAGCAGTGTCTTCAGGGTCGCCCAGGGAGGCCCCGGCTGGGCACACGAGCGGGGATGGGCGGGCGGGCATGGGGTGCAGGGCCGTGCCTCCCGCCTCCAAGTTGGGCCCCTTGGGCCTCACGGGCCGTCCCCTTGCTCTGCAGAGATGACCGACCCCTTCTGTGTCGGAGGAGGCCGCCGGCTCACAGGGTCCAGCAGGAGTGGGCCTGGGAAGGGCGGCGGCCGGGGCGAGGTCCGACTCGCCGTGCTGCATGACCCTCCGAAGCTGGGTAAGAGGCGTCAGACCAAGGTCATTTCCAGGCTGTCCTGGGAAGCCGGGGCTGGGTGTGGGCCACCTCCCTGGACGTTGCGCTCCTGGGTGTCCAGGTGGGCTCCCGGGGCTTGGCTCAGGCCGCAGTGGGTGGTGCTCCCGGAGCGGTGGGTGAGTCTGGCCTGTCCTGTGCTGCAGCAACGTCTGTGGTCCGCGGCGGGCAAACCATGCCCGGCCAGGCTCCCCTCTGCTTGGACCCGGGAAGTCCAGCCAGTGACAGGACAGAAGGGAAGAAAAAGGGGCGTCCGCGAGCTGAGACCCAGGCCCTGCGAGACATTCCCGTGAGCCCCGGGGCTGGGGTGGGAGGTGCTGGGTCTGGCGGCCCGCCCTGCCCACACTCGCCCCCAGGGTTTGAGTGTGACCTGGTGCCGAGGCCCAGGTGTTCTGAATTGCTATGGTGGCCCCGGGTCGGGCCGTCCACTCCGCAGGCCCAGGGAGGGAGCCGTGCCTGGGGCCCGGGTTGGCCGAGGCCTGGGAGGCTGCGGGGTCAGCAGCGGCCTTTCCCACGCCCAGCTCTCCCTGATGAACCAGTGGAAAGATGAATTCAAGGCGCATTCAAGGGTGAAGTGCCCAAACTCAGGGTGCTGGCTGGAGTTCCCCAGCATCTACGGGCTCAAGTACCATTACCAGCGGTGCCAAGGGGTAAGGGCTGTGGGCTGGGAAGAGCAAGCCGGGGGCCCGCCCTGCCCCAGCTGTCGCCATGGGTGTGCCTGGGCAGAGGCCCTGCGGCCCGCCCCAGCCTGCCCTCTCCCCCAGGGCGCCGTCTCGGAGAGGCGAGCCTTTGCCTGCCCCTTCTGCGAGGCCGCGTTCACCTCCAAGACCCAGCTGGAGAAGCACCAGGTTTGGAACCACGTGGATCGACCCCTGCCTGCTCCCAAGCCTGGGCCAGTCAGCCGGCCGGTCACCATCAGTCGGCCTGTGGGGGTCAGCAAGCCCATCGGAGTGAGCAAGCCGGTCACTATGGGCAAGCCAGTGGGGGTCAGCAGGCCCATCGGCATCAGCAAGCCTGTCTCAGCCAGCAGGCCTGTGCCGGTCACCAAGCCTGTCTCAGTCAGCAGGCCCGTGCCGGTCACCAAGTCAGTGCCGGTCAGCAGGCCCGTGCCGGTCACCAAGGCTTTGCCGGTCACCAGGCCTGTGCCGGTCACCAAGCCCGTGCCAATGACAAAGCTTGTGACGGTCGCGAAACACGTGCCAGTCATGAAGCCGGTGACGGTCAGCAGGCCCATCGTGGTCAGCAAGCCGGTGACGGTCAGCAGGCCCATCGCCATCAGCAGACACTCCACGCCTTGCAAAGTGGTGCTGCTGCCCAAACCGGAGCACAAAGGCCCGCGCACGGCCGGGAGGAGCAGCGGTAAGAAAAGGTACAGGCGCCGTGGCCAGGCTGGGCTGCAGGGGGTGGGGTGGGTGCCTCCTGCCCTCACCGAGCCTGCTCCCCGCAGGGCTGCCGATGGCCCAGATGCTTGCCCCCTCCCGGCCAAGCAGGCCAGGCCGGAGAACGGGGGCTGTGGCCCGCCTAGCACTGCCCACTGCTCTGCCTTGCCGCTGAGCCTGGACCCCGGCAGCGGCCCTCTCTCTCCGGGCAGCAGGCCCGCGGGAGCCAAGGAGGCACCGCGGACCCCAGGCCCCGCGTCCCCACGCGAGGACGGCGCAGAGCGGACGAAGCACAGTAAGAGACGCGCCGGGCGGGCAGGGGGCAGGCAGCCACGTCGCCCCGCGGTTATTGGACCAACGTCTCGGCCCTGTTTTCTCTCCCCCGAGTCAGGAAGGAAACAGAAAACACCCAAGAAGTTCACCGGGGAGCAGCCCTCCATCTCAGGGACCTTTGGACTCAAAGGTGAGGCTGGCGAGCCGGGTGCCCACGGGGCCGGTGGGAGCACGTGCGCCTGGACACCCACCACCCTGCACTCGCAGGCCTGGCCAAGGCGGAGGACAAGTCCCGTGCCCACCGTGCCAAGAAGCAGGAGGCTGCGGGCCCTGACGACACGCGGAGGAAGGTGCCGCCGGCCCCGGGTGCTGGTGGCAAGGAGGCGCCAGCCCCTGCGGCTCACCTAGCCCCAGGTGGGGCTGCCGGCATGGCCCAGGCGGGGTCTCTGGGCGTGCAGGCTCGTCCGCGGGCCCCGCTGATGCCTGGCCTGCCCACAGGTGGCCCCGAGGAACAGTGGCAGCGCGCCATCCACGAGCGGGGCGAGGCCGTGTGCCCCACCTGCGGCGTGGTGACCCGGAAGACCCTAGCAGGGCTCCGGAAGCACATGGAGGTGTGCCAGAAGGTGAGGCAGGGTCGCGGGGTGGTGGGTGGGCGGGTGGGTGGCGGGCAGGCAGGCGGAGCTCAGCGGGCTGTGTGTGCAGCTGCAGGACGCCCTCAAGTGCCAGCACTGCCGGAAGCAGTTCAAGTCCAAGGCCGGCCTCAACTACCACACCATGGCGGAGCACAGCGCCAAGGTATGCGCCCTGGCGCTCGGCCCGCCACGGGGGTGCCCGCACACGGGGCTGCTCTGCCCATTCACGGGGGGAGGGCACTGAAGCCGGCCTCGCCCCCAGCCCTCTGACGCCGACGCCTCGGAGGGGAGCGAGCAGGAGGAGCGGGAGCGGCTGCGCAAGGTGCTGAAGCAGATGGGGCGGCTGCGCTGCCCCCAGGAGGTCAGTGTGCCTGCTGGGCGGGGGCCACGGCGGGGCGGGCACGGGCCCTGCTGCTGCTCACCCTGCCCTGGGCCCCCAGGGCTGTGGGGCTGCCTTCTCCAGCCTCATGGGCTACCAGTACCACCAACGGCGCTGCGGGAAGCCCCCCTGTGAGGCGGACAGCCCCTCCTTCCCCTGTGTCCACTGTGGCAAGACTTACCGCTCCAAGGCCGGCCACGACTATCATGTGCGCTCGGAGCACACGGCCCCGGTAAGCTGGCTCACCACCCCTCCCACCCCCGCAGGCGCACGCGGCCCCCGCCTCTGGTCGGTCCCTGTCCGCCGGCCGGTGCATCCCACTCTGGTCCCCGAGTTTCCCGCGGCTGACCCCGCTTCCTTGCCTTGCAGCCCCCTGAGGAGGCTGAGGACATGCCCCCCGAGGCGGAAGCCTCACTGGGCATCGAGCGGACCCCCAGCGGCCGAGTCCGCCGTACATCTGCCCAGGTGGCCGTGTTCCACCTGCAGGAGATCGCGGAGGATGAGCTGGCCCGAGACTGGACCAAGCGGCGGATGAAGGACGACCTGGTGCCTGAGACAGCGCGGGTGAGCCGTGCTGGCCCTCGGCGGGACAGCCCTGCCCGTGTGGAGGGTGGTGGGGTCTGGAGCAGCCCGTCAGGCGAACCCGCCCTGGGCCCACTTGCTCTTGCAGCTCAACTACACGCGGCCAGGCCTCCCCGCGCTCAACCCCCAGCTGCTGGAGGCGTGGAAGAGCCAGGTCAAGGACAAGGGTCATGTCAACTGCCCCAACGAGGTGAGCTGGGTGGCGGGCGGCTGGGGGGCCCTCTGGCGCACGCTCCTCGGGCTCCGGGGGCCTGGGGGCTCGGCGGCAGACCCCTCTGCAGTGCGCTTGGACCTTCACAGAGGTCCAGGGTCCCCTGGTGGGGGCAAGGGGTGCACACTTGGCACCCTGTGGAGACCCTGCCCATGCTTGCCCCTCTAGTGCTGCGAAGCCATCTACTCCAGCGTGTCTGGCCTCAAGGCGCACCTCGCCAGCTGCAGCAAGGTCAGTGCCAGGCCTGCACCCCATGGGCAGCCCCCACCCCGAGCCCCACCCCAAGTTGCCAGCTCCTCACCCCGTGGGAGGGGGTGGGGCCTTTCACAGACCCAGCTCTGCTTGCCCCCCTCCCCCAAGCCCGTGTCCAGACACACGTGGTCATGGGGAGGGTCCCTCGGGGTCGGTGCTGCGGCCCCCGAGCCCTGGGCCGGTGGGTCTGAACTGGCCGCCCCCTCACAGGGGGACCACCGGGTGGGGAAGTACTGCTGCCTGCTGTGTCCCAAGGAGTTCAGCTCGGAGAGCGGCGTCAAGTACCACATTCTGAAGACCCACGCGGAGGTGGGCAGGTGGCGGGCGAGGACGGCGGGCGGGCGGGCGTGAGCCAGTGGCCCAGGGTGAGAGTCCTGCAGCCTTGGGCCCACCCTGCTGCCCCAAGCAGGAGCCCTGGCCCTCAGCGCCCCATCCCGTCCTGGTCTGTCCGCAGAACTGGTTCCGCACCTCAGCAGACCCGCCCCCCAAACACAGGAGCCGGGACCCTCCGGTGCCCAGGGCCGAGGCTGAGGCGAGGAGTGTGGCAGGTGGGAGGAAGCGGGGCCGCAAGCCCAGGGAGCGGCCCCCCGAGGACCCCCTGCCCACAACATCCCCCCGCCGGGACGACTGGCCCCCAGGAGGGAGAGACAAGGGGGCGCGGGGCTCCACTGGCCGCAAGACAGGAGCCGGCAAGTCCCCTGAGAAGTGAAGGTGGCCACTGGCAGGTGGGTGGGGCCAAGCCCCCAGGCCGCCGAGCCCAGCTCTGTCCCGGGCAGAGGTAGCCGACCCGGGGTTCCCCGCCTGCAGTCTGCACCCCTCCCCTGCCTGCCTGCCTGTCCAGTGGGGCAGCCCGCCCCGTTTCCCCCAGCGGCAACTGAAGGGCACGCTGGCTGGCCTGAGGGAAGGCCGGGTGGCTGAGCGCCGTGGCCTGGAGGGCCCGCCCTGCCCCAGGCAGCACGCTGGGCAGCGCGGCGGCGGCACTAAAGGGCCAGGGAGAGTCTGTGGCCCGGGCCTTGGCACCATTGGGGCAGGCAGAGCGGGCGGGTGGCTTTGGACCCTCCCCAGACCCTGTGCCCCACCCCCATCCCAACCCCTAGCTTGGGGGTCCCCAGGGACCATGGTTCTTGGTTGAGGAGGCTCCTGAGCAGCCGCGCCTTGCCCTGACACTGGGGCCCATGCTGCCAGCTACCTCCTGGCACGGCCTGAGTCTGACGCTGCGCGGGGACCCCAGCGCCCCTCCCTGCCCTGCTCTTGCGTCTGTTCTCTACCTCTCCAGGCCTCCCCTCCCCGCTTCTCCCCCCCTCCTGTGTCTATTGTGGGGGGAGTTTGGACACCCCAGTGAGGCTCCCTGCTGGGGAGCTGGGCTCCGGCTTGCCCACCTGCTGCCTGGCTGCCAGCCCTGGGGAGCACGTGGGTGAGGAGCTGGGATGGCCAGACCTGGCAGGGCATGGCCGCTGGGGGACCCCCGAAGCCCCTTCCCCTGCCACTGCTTCTGGTTGTGTCTTGATAGGGAGAGCTGAAGGCCAGGGAAGGGGCTCCACCGCGTGGCAGCTTTGGGGCCCTGTCTTGGCTCTTTTTGGGGTGCTGAAGGCAGCTCTGTCTGGGCTGAGTGGAGATGAGGCAGGAGCACAGGCCCCTGGAGGTGGCAGCCATCGCAGCACCCCAGGGCCCCACCATGCAAGTGCCGTGGGGAGGGGCTGGCGCTCGGTCCTGGGACTGGACAAAGGCTGTTTTCCGCGGGGGGGTGGGGGGCTGAGGGCGCGGCTGTGCAGGTCCTGGACATGTGAATTTTGATGTCTGCCCATGGGCACGTCTCCGGGGTGTAGTGGGTGCAGGTCTTGTTGCTGTGACAAGTGACCACCATTTTTTTTTTAATTGTTTTTTATACAAAAACTCACAACTGACATTTTGGTGCTAAGGGTGTCCTGGTGCCGAAGGGGGGGCTGGGACTGGGCTGGGCTTCTGTCCTGCTCAGGGAGGCAGTGCTCAGCGGCCACCCCTAGCCCCCTCATGACCCCCTGGAGATGAGCGGCTGGTACTGGGTCCCCCGCCTCTCCCGGCCCTTGGGAGGGGGTCTTGGGGTGGGAGCTGGTGGAGGCACAGCCTGACCCGATTCTTCCTCTGGCCACGTGCCACCATCCTGGGCAGCCCTGGCCTGGGGCGCTGGGAGGGTATGCAGAGAAGACCCCCTTCCCCCCGGGGCCCTGGGCTGGCGTGGCAGGTGCAGCACGAGGGGAGTCAGTCAAGGGGGCAGCCCCGGCGCGGCGGGGCTGGGCTGGGCTGGGGCCGGGGCCTGCGCCGGGTTCCCGGGCCCACGAGGGAGCGGCCGGCGGAGGGGCAGCGGGCTGGGAGGGCGGGCGCGGCAGCTGCACCCCCAGCCTCTCAGGCACTTGGTCCTCGGGGGTTGGGGGGCTGGGTTTTGCTGGGGGGTGTTTCCAGGTCACCCTCAAGTCCACGGGGGGCCCTGGTGGGGGTCCCGGCACCTGGTTTCGCACTTTAACCCCCCGCTTTACTTTGAAAGTGGCCGGGGCGGCCGCCTCCCACTCGGCCAGGGCGGCTGCAGCGGCGGGCCCTGCGGGCGGCGGCCGGGCCGGGCCGGGCCGGGCCGGGCCGGGCCGCGCCGCCGCGAGATCTACCTCTGCCCGCCCGGCCCGCGCCGCCCCGGCTGCGACGCGTGTCTCGCGAGACGCTCCGACGGCAGCTGCGCCGAGCGCCCGGGGCCCCGCGGCGGGGCGGGGCGGGGCGGGGCGGGCCGGCTGCGGACGGGGACGGCTGTTTCCAATAAACGTTTCTCGGCTTTTCCCGCGGCTCCGTGCGGCCTGCTTGGGGGGCGCCGACGCCCGCGCGGGGGAGGGGGAGGGGGCGCCGCGCGCGCGGCCTGGTGGGGGCTGGGGGGCGCCGCGCGCGCGGCCTGGTGGGAGTTGTAGTGCGCCGCGCGCGCGGCCTGGTGGGAGTTGTAGTGCGCCGCGCGCGCCGGCGCGTGTCTGACGCGGGCCGCGGACCACAGCTCCCGGCGGCCCGAGCGGCCTCGGACATGGCGGCGGCGCCCCCGTCCTCCGCGGACGCCCCCCGATCGCCCCCGCCGCCCCCCGCGGCCGGGGACGGGGCCGGCCGGCCGGCCGAGAGGAGCGAGGGCGCGGGCGAGGACCGGTAGGCGCGGGGCCGGCCCCTCGGAGCGCGGCGCGGGGCCCACGTGGCCCGGCCCCGGGCTGTCGGCGTGCGGCCTCGGCCGGCGGGGCGCGGGGTGCCGAGGGCGGCGGCCCGACCCGCGTCGGGCCGGGGCGGCGCCGCGCCAGCTTCGGGGAAGCCCCCGGGGTCCCCGCCCGTGAGCGGGGCTGGGGGGCCCTTGCGGCGACCGGGCGCCGCCGGCGGCTCCAGGGCCCAGACGCTGCGCCAGGTGTCTGGCGTGTGCGCGGCGCCCGGGCCGCGCCGTCCCGACCACCGCCCCGCCGCCTCCACCCGTCTCACGACCGGCCCGAGGGTTCGGCCGGGCCGGGTCATCTGCTCTTGCAGCACCGGGAGGCCCGTCTCTCCCCCCCCACCCCCCGGACCCCCAGGCTTCTGGTGTGCTCAGGTGGGGCGGGGCTGGCCACACCGCCCAGGCCGGGGGATGAGCGTCCGGCAGGGCATGGGGTGGGGAGACGGTTGGAGCCGGCTTCCGCTTTTCCGGCCGTAGCCTCCCAGCCCCTCCACCCCCAACAAGCAGGGCTGGACACCAGGTCCCTCTCCTTTCACTCCTCACCGTGCCTTGCCGGCCCTTTAGCTCAGGCAGGGGGTCAAATATGGGTGGAGGCCCTGGTGCTCCTGCACACCAGTGTGGGAGGGCCACCTTGGACGCCAGGGAGGTACAGCAAGGGGCCGGCACGGTGGACCTCCCTTCTGTGAGTGACAGCAGCGGCAGCACCTGTGTGCCCCCACCCCCGAGATGCTGCTGGCTTCACTGGCTTGCAGGGAGGGCAGCTTGACAGCCCTTGGTTGGCTCCTTTGCCTCCCAAAGAAACTCCTTTCTCACCAAGGGGCTTTAACTCCCTGGGCCTCTGGTGGGCACTGCTGCTCAGGGAAGGAAACTGAGGCCAGCCACCAACCTCGACCCTGCACACCTGAAGGAGAAAGCAGTGAAGAAGGCCTCCCCCAGAGGTGGCCTGCTGACCAGCAGCTCTACACTGGGGCTCACCCAGCACCTCCCTTTTCTGGGCCAGCACAGGGCAGGTCCCTGAGCAGCTGGGACCCCATCCTGGGCTCCCCTGGACCGACCTGCCTGCCCCCACCCTTCTTGGGTCAGCTGCAGTCTCCTGGACATGAACCAGGCCTGCTGGGCTGGAGGGCAGGAGGGTGACCTCCTGGGAGCAAAGCGGCCCTGCCCCTGGAAGTGCCAGCAGAGGCCACCACCCCCAACCCCCCACCCCCTGCACCCTGGTGTGGAGTTTCCTCTCTCGAGCTTCCTGCGGGTCTGGTTATGAGGGGTGTAGTGGAGGCCAGGCCTGCGGGGCACCAGACAGTGCATATCTGAGCAGAGTCTAAGGCTACTGCTGAGGGTGGGGAGGGGTTGTGTCCCTGTGAAGGCTGGGCCTCCCTGGCCTTGAGGGATGCTGGAGCCTCCCCCTGGGGCGGGGCAGAGCAGTTATTCTTGGACTCAGCAGAGGGTAGAGTTTCAGGATTGTTTTTGCCTCCAGGAGGCACCTTGGGGCGGGGGTGGGGCACCCGTCTTGACATTCAGCTACTCTGCACCCAGAGGAGCCTGAGGGCTCCCGCCCTGTGAGGAGGGTGCATCGCAGCCCCAGGCAGGCCTCAGTGGGCAGGCGGTGGCCCCTGTGCCAGGTGGGGGCAGTTTGCCCTGCGCTGCGGCTGCTGCCTGGTCCGCGGCCACGAGGCCCCTTCCCCGCAGGGTCAGTGCTATTAATACCCGCCAGCGGCCCCCAGCACTGATCCGCTTAGGCCTGTGGCCTGGGCCCGGCTCTTCTGGCACGGGGGCTCCCTGGGCCTCCCCCTACAGAACCCCCCCCCCCCATGAAGAGGCAGTTCAGGTGGGAGAGTTCCTGAGCTGTCCAGGGAGGCACTGTGGGTCTCAGGCTGGTGGTGATGCACCCACACACACAGGGTCACCCTGCGTCCCGGCCATGAGCAGCCCCCCTGTGTACCCTGGCATCAGGATCTCGGGGTGCTGGGCCCTTGGAGCAGAAGGCAGGTGAGTGGCAGGCCTGCCGTCTCTACGGCCGCTCGCTCCGTCAGACCTCGGCACAGGTGGGCTGGGCAGGCGCTCCTGGGGGCCTGGAGGGCACAGCCTGTGGGCACGGGGCATCAGCGAGCTGGGTCCTTGGGCTGACCCTTTGGCCCAGGGGATCCTGCTGGGAGCAGGAGAATGGGGTCTTCTGCGCGAGACTCCTCCACCCCAGGTGCCCTGCTGTGAGGACAGGTGAGGCTGCTGCGGGTCCAGGCTCAGAGCCGGGCACCAGGCTGAGAGGAAGGTGGGGGCCCTGCTTGGCATCAGGCCGTCTCAAGCCCTGAGGCTGGGTGTCTGCAGACACGCCCCAGAGGGTTCTGCAGCGGGTGTTGGTCCTTACCTCGGAGGCGAGGGCTGGTCAGGAGGCCAGGTCCCCAGGTGGCATTGTCAGGGCTCCTCGCTGGGGCACGAGGCCAACCCCGGGGCAATCAGAAGGCCTGGAGAGCGGGCCCCGGGCCAGGGTCCCCAGCAGGGTCGCCTGCTGGCTGCAGAGCTCCCCTCTGCAGCGCTAGCTGCTGGCACCGGCTGGTTACCTGGCTGCCCTGACAACGGGCTGCCTGTCCCCCGGCACAGCCGCAGCTCCCTGGGGCGGACGCATCTGCTGTTTCTGTGCAGCAGGCCCGGTTCTGGCCTTGAGAGCCGTCACCGCCCGCCCCTTCTGGTCTCAGGCCCCAAGCCTCAGCTGCCGGCCCCACCTGTGCGGGGTCCCTGGGGGACCGCCGGGGGAAAGGCCGGTGCTCCTGCTGCTGGAGCCAGGCTCGCGCCACAGCCCCCAGCTGCCCTGCCTGGCTGCCTGAGCCACAGGGCCAGCGTTCAGACGCTCCGGGGCCTCCCCTCCCGCGCCCCTGCCCGGTTCCCCACATGCGGAGCCCGGGGGTGCACTGCTGGACGGGGAACTGGAGCCTCCTTGGTCCCCAGCCTGTACCCTCTGGCCCACGGCCTTTCCCTGGGGAGCCCAGGCTCTGGGAGCAGGACAGCGTCCTGGGGGTGGAGACAGGCTGTCTTTCCACACCCCCGTCCGCCCCCAGGGCAGGCCCTCCCTCCCTCCCTCCCTCCCCCGCCTGAGCCCGAGGGTGGGCCATGGGCCTGGGTAGAGCTGGCCTGTCCCCTCCCGCAGCAGCAACTCAGAGTCCCTGGACAGGCTCCTGCCGCCCGTGGGGGCCAGGCGCTCGCCCCGGAAGCGCACCACCAGCCAGTGCAAGTCGGAGCCCCCGCTGCTGCGCACCAGCAAGCGCACCATCTACACGGCCGGCCGGCCACCCTGGTACAATGAGCACGGTGCCCAGTCCAAGGAGGCTTTCGCCATCGGTGAGCGCCAGGGGATGCAGGGGTGCGGGGGGCCCGGCCATCTGAGCACCTGCCCGAGTCCCCTCCCCACAGGCCTGGGCGGCGGCAGCGCATCTGGGAAGACTACAGTGGCCAGGATGATCATCGAGGCGCTGGACGTGCCCTGGGTGGTGCTGCTGTCCATGGACTCCTTTTATAAGGTGAACCTGCCCCCCACTCCCGTGCCAACCCCCAGGCCCCCGCAGGTGCTGACCCCGCGGCGGCAGGAGCAGGCAGCACCCCCGTGCCTCTGCAGGTGCTGACTCCGCAGCAGCAGGAGCAGGCAGCCCAGAACAACTTCAACTTCGACCACCCAGACGCATTCGACTTTGACCTCATCGTGTCCACTCTCAAGAAGCTGAAGCAGGGCAAGAGCGTGAAGGTGCCCATCTACGACTTCACCACACACAGTCGCAAGAAGGACTGGGTAGGCAGCGGGGGTGGGGGGTAGAGGGGGTGGGGCAGGCTGGCAGCTGAGGGCTCCCGCCTTGTCGGCAGAAAACGCTGTACGGCGCCAACGTGATCATCTTCGAGGGCATCATGGCCTTTGCGGACAAGACTCTGCTGGAGGTGAGGGCGCCCGTGGCCTGCCTGCGCGTCCCGCGGGACGGGCGAGTTCCCAGAGTGGGGTGCTGGGCGCGTGCTGAGCCCCAGGCCCCACCAGCTCCTGGACATGAAGATCTTCGTGGACACGGACTCTGACATCCGGCTGGTGCGGCGGCTGCGCCGGGACATCAGCGAGCGGGGCCGGGACATCGAGGGCGTCATCAAGCAGTACAACAAGTTCGTCAAGCCGGCCTTTGACCAGTACATCCAGCCTACCATGCGGGTGGCCGACATCGTGGTGCCCCGAGGTGAGAAGGCTGCCCCGCACCCGGGGGGAACACATGCCCCCCCACCCCCGCCAGCCACCCCATGCCCTGGGGGGAACACGTGGCGCCCCCGCCAGTCACGCCCTGCGCCCCAGGGAGCGGGAACGCTGTGGCCATCGACCTGATCGTGCAGCATGTGCACAGCCAGCTGGAGGAGGTGAGCCCCCTGCAGCCCCACTCCGGGGCCAGCCTGTCAGCCCCTGCCCGGCCTTCTTGCAGCCAGAGGCCTGGGCCCCGGGGGTGGGGGCAGCGCAGACCTGGGCCTCACGCAGAAGAGGGCGCTCTTGGCCCTTCCCAACCCGCAGGGCACCCTTGGTGTCTGTGCCAAGCCCCGCCGTGTCATGAGCCAGGCAGCACCACCTGCTTCTCTGGGCCGGCCTCGTGACAGGGTCCCCCGGCCTCCTGGGTCTGCCTGTGCAGCCGGTGGGGGGGTGGGGGGGCAGGTGGAGCCGGCCCTTCCTGCGGCCCGGGTGCTGGGCAGCGCGTGCGCACGGGTGGGGGGGCTGCAGGGCTGGGTCCCGGCGGCGACAGGCTGTTTGTCCGGTGGCGTGCGGGGGAGCCGCCGTCACTGACACCCGCCCGTTCCCTTATCTCTCTGGGTCGCCGCCGCAGCGAGAGCTCAGTGTCAGGTAAGACCTCGCGCCCCGCCCAGCAGGCGGCGGCATTTCCCGCGTCCAGGGGAGCTTGGGCTCGGGACGGTCACGGCCGGTCCTCCCCTGCGGCAGCCCTGCTCCTGCCTCCGAAGGGCGGTGGTGGCCCCCGCAGCTTCAGCAGGTCCTGGCTACCGCCGAGGAGCCTGCACGGAGGGTCAGGGCCCCCCCAGGGCCAGCACCCTGGGCTTCCCAGACTTCTCTGCAGGCTCCTCCTGGGTGCCCTGGGCACAGGTCGGCCTGAGCCTGCACGGCCGGGCCCCACAGCGCTGGCCCCAGACTCGCCCTCAGCTGCTGGAAGGCCTGGTCTGGCCTCCCCCGGGGAGGGGCGGCCCTGTCCACCCCAGCCCCCAGGCAGCGCGGCCCGGAGGAGCTGGAGGGGCTGGGGCCTCACAGGCCCAGCCCCTTGCGCTTGAGGCAACACGGCTCCTGGCTCCTCGCCGTGGCCGGCACGGCTGCCTGGCCTGGCTTCCCTGCGGCTGGGAAGCCCGGGGCTGAGCCCTGGCAGGAGAGCTGGTAGCACTCGGACCCTACACCGCGTGGGAACGGCTCCAGGGCGGCCTCCTGCAGGTGCGCGGCCTCCTGCCGCCCCGAGACCCGCCCTGCAGGGGACCCTGGGGTTTCAGGCCCAGAAACACCGGGCTCCAGGCCCCGCCTCGCCCTGTGCGGGTCCGCCTGGGGCGCTGGGGCCACGGGTGTGGGTGTAGGGGCCAAGGCGCCAGGGCCCCCCGCAGCCCAGCCGGTGGCCACAGGGACACCTGTGCTCCCCGCTAAGTGGTCTCTCTCTGTTCTCTCCCTCCTCTCTAACCCCGGGTTTCCCGCCCTGGTCCCCGGGACACCGCCTGGCGAGCAGAGGAAGCTGCGCTGGGATGTGTGAGGACCGAGTGTGCTCTGGCTGCCCGCGGGCCCGCACGGCATGCCCCCATGGGGTGCGCCCTCTCCGAGGGCTGGGGGTCACCTGGGAGGGTTGGGGTGCCACCAGGGACCAAGCCCAGCCGTGCCTCTGGATCTGGGCCGGGCAGAGCTCCCCCTCCCCTGCAGGCCCTTTCCGCTTCTGGGGCGGGGGCTCTGCCGCAGCCCTGCTTCCTGCCTGGCGCCCGGCGCCGCCGCCCTGTGTCCGGTCACCTCGGCGGCCGTAGGTCGGGGCCTTCCTGGGGTCAGCACAGGTGGCTGGGGACCCCGCGCGCCCCTGCTGTCTGCACCGCCCAGTGTCCGCATGGGGACCGGCCGGGAGGAGCCCCCCTGAGTCCCGGGCTTGTGTCCCCAGGGCCGCGCTGGCCTCCGCCCACCAGTGCCACCCCCTGCCCCGGACGCTGAGTGTCCTCAAGAGCACCCCCCAGGTGCGGGGCATGCACACCATCATCAGGTGAGCGCGGCGGGCGGCGGCGCCCGGGACCCGCGCTGCCGCCCGCCGCTCACACCCGCGCCGCCGCAGGGACCGGGAGACCAGCCGCGACGAGTTCATCTTCTACTCCAAGCGGCTGATGCGGCTGCTCATCGAGCACGCCCTGTCCTTCCTGCCCTTCCAGGTGGGCGCGCGGGCGCGGGGGGCGGGCCGGGGGCCGGGGCCGGGCTCACCCCCTCCGCCCCCAGGACTGCGCCGTGCAGACCCCGCAGGGCCGGGACTACCGCGGCAAGTGCTACGCCGGGAAGCAGGTGCGCGGCGCCGGGGCCGGGCCGGGGCGGGGCGCGCCGGGGCGGGGGGCGGCCCCCCACTCAGTGCCGCCGGCCCCCAGATCACAGGCGTGTCCATCCTGCGGGCCGGTGAGACCATGGAGCCCGCCCTCCGGGCCGTGTGCAAGGACGTGCGCATCGGCACCATCCTCATCCAGACCAACCAGCTCACCGGGGAGCCCGAGGTGGGCCCGGGGGGCGCCTGGGGGGCTGCCTGGGGCGCCGGGGGCTGGCGGCGACCCCGTCCCCGCCTGCTTGCAGCTGCACTACCTGCGGCTGCCGAAGGACATCAGCGACGACCACGTGATCCTGATGGACTGCACCGTGTCCACGGGCGCCGCGGCCATGATGGCCGTGCGCGTGCTGCTGGTGCGCGGCGGGCCGGGCGGGCCGGGGGGCGGGGGGCCGGCGGGGGCCGGGCTGACCAGCGCCTCCGCGCCCAGGACCACGACGTGCCCGAGGACAAGATCTTCTTGCTGTCCCTGCTGATGGCGGAGATGGGCGTCCACTCGGTGGCCTACGCCTTCCCGCGCGTGCGCATCATCACCACGGCCGTGGACAAGCGCGTCAGCGACCTGTTCCGCATCATCCCGGGCATCGGTGAGCCGGGCGGGGCGGGGCGGGGCGGGGGGGGGCCCGGGGCGCGGGGCGGGGGGCCCGGCCCGGGTGGGGGGAGGCCGAGCCAGCCCCGCCTCTGCGTCCCCAGGGAACTTCGGCGACCGCTACTTCGGGACGGACGCGGCCCCCGACGGCAGCGACGAGGACGAGGCGGCCCCCCCGAGTTAGCCCCGGCGCTCCGCGGCCGCCCAGACGTATTTTGATTAAAGAGACGTTGCCCGCGCGTGTCCGTGCGTCCGTCGGGGGTGGGCGCTTCGGGCCCCGGGCCGCGCAGGGCCGTCCTCCCGCTCGGGCTCGGCGAGGGCCGCGCTGTGGCCGGCCCTGGCCGTGCAGGTGCCGCTGTGGCCACCGGGGCTGGACGGAGGCCCCGGGCTTCGGAGCCCCGCCCCGCCGCCGCTCGCTGGGCCGGGGCCGGCGGAAATCCGCGTGGGCGCTGCAGGAGGGAGGGGGCCGCCCTGGGCGCTGGGCCCGGCTGCAGGTGAGGCGGCCAGGGCTTCGCGCTTGCCACGCCCAGCCTGGCGCCCCTGCCCCGGCCTGGGGTGAAGGCCAGCTGCGTGGCCTCTGGGCGGCCTGCGGGGGCCAGCCTGCCCCGCGCACCTCGGCGGCCCCGCCTGGCAGCAGCCGCCCCCGTCCTGCAGGCCTGGCCCTGCCGCCGCGGGCCGTGGGGGCGGTCATGGGCGGGGACAGGAAGTGGCGGGCCGAGGGCGCGCTGGGGGCGGGGGAGGCCAGTCCGGGCGCCGGCAGGCACCAGGCTCGAGGACCAGCTTGCCCCGAGGTCCGCGCGAGGGCACTCCCCCAGCCTGGTGAGACCCTCGCCCGTCTCCAGGGCCCAACCGCGCTCGCTCGGGCCCAGGCCCCAGTGAAGCCTCGCCCTGCTTCGCCGTGGGCGGCAGCGGCCCCCTGGCCTGCTGGGGATGGGCGCCTGCGTTGCTGGAGAGCCCGGAGTGCTGCTCAGAGGAAGGGGCAGCCCCCACCGGCAGGCCTGGCGGCGGGAGCAGGCAGCGGCCTGAGGGTCGCGGCCCCACCCTCTCAGCCACCTGCCCTGGGCCAGCCCCCCGGGGAGAGGGACCGAGGCCTGAACACTGGCCGCGCTCGGGCGGCTCTGGCGGCCAGGCCACAGGCTGAGGGGGCTCTTGGGCCCGTTTCCTGCCAGGACGGGTGGGTGGAGGTGGGCGGCTTTCTGACTGCCCCGGGGTCTGGAGGGCGCCAGTGAGGGAAGGGGCTGTTCTGGGGCCCCCAGCCCCTCAGCCCAGGCACACGAGGAGCCCCTGCAGCGGCTGTGTGGGTCAGGGCTTCCGGCGAGGGGACGCGGTGCTGCAGCCTCCAGCGCCGGGGGCTCAGCCCAGGGGTGGGATGGCAGAGGCTGAGGGGCAGCACCTGGCACTCCTCCAGTGTCCAGAGACTGCGGGAGACACGGGGCCAGGCGGCGCCTCCAGGGCTGTCCAGCCTGAGAATGCTGAGTCCGGGGTTCACTCTCAGGTTCGTCAGCCCGGGAGGCGCCACCCCTCCCAGCAGCCACCACAGCCGAGGGAGCCCGGGGTGCCCGCCGGGGGACGGCCCAGCCCCGGCGCTGGGCGCACATGGCCAGGCCGGGGAAGGCAGGCCTGGGTGGGGCTGGGGCCGCCCGGAGTCGGGAAGCACCACCGGGCACCTGCACTGGGGGCGGGGGGCACAGAGCCCCTGGGGCAAGCCAGGGGGTCGGGGTCTCCAAGACCAAGCCAAGGTGGGCGGGAGTGGGAGGGCTGGGCCGGGAGCCGGGATTCGCAGTGGCCTCCATGGGACAGCAGGGAGGCCTTGGGCCTGGCTCCGGCGCCGGTGCCCCGAGGCCCCAGGGGTCCTGTGGCTGAGGGGAGGGCTGGCCCCGGGGAGTTCCACCTCCACGGCCCAGGGAGGTGGCCAGGGCAGGGGTCAGGCGCTCGAGCCATGGGGCATCGGCGTGGATGGGGTGTCTGGCAGAGGCTGTTCTGACCAGGGAGGCCCAGGCCCTGCCGCGGGTCAGCGCTGCCCCCACCCAAATCCTGCTTAGTCCCCCAAGGTGTGCCAGAGGTGGTCGCGCGGGCCGCAGGGGCGGGCAGGGGTTAGCCCTGGCCCTAGCCAAGGCAGAGGGAGCACTGGGCGGCGGGCGGCAGCCCAGGGGAGGGGCAGGGAGGGCAGGGTCCGTGGACCCACACCCCATCGGCACACCCATTGGGGCGTGTTCTGCCTGGCGGAGAGACCCAAGACTAAGCCAAGATCAGGTCGCTGGGGCGCGCCCCAAGGGGTTCTGGATTGCGGGGGGGCGGGGGTGTCTCGAGGGCGCCAGTGAGAGAAGAGGCTGTTTCTGCGGGCCCGGGCCCCTCAGCCCAGGCACACGACGCGCCCCTGCGGCAGCTGCGCGGGTCAGGGCTTCCAGCGAGGGGACGGGGTGCCGCGGCTTGAGCCGGGGCGTCCAAGCACTCCTGCCCCTTCCCTTTTATAATAAACTTGCCTGGCGGCCATTTTTCCCGGGATTCCAAGCCAGAACAGAAGGAAGACCCAGGAGCAGCCCCTGGCTCGGCCGGCCTCCAGGCGGGAGGCTCCTGGGAGGCCCACCTGGCCTGCGCTTGGGCACACGGCCGGGCCCGCGTCAGGCGCCAACACGCCCCCCGCCCCCCACGCCCGCCCTCCAGGGGCTGCTGCTGCCCGGGAAGGTGCAGAAACCGGTGGTGACGGCTCACGGGAGGGGGTTTCCAGCCACCTGCTCGAGTCCCGGGGCTCCCCAGGCCCACTCCTGCCCAACTCACCAAGAAACCAGAGGCTGTTTGGAGCCGACTTTTATTGTGCTGGCCGCCCGCCCGCGGCGTGGACACACACACGCACATATGTACACACGGCGGGCCGCGCCATGGCAGGCCCACAGCCCCATGGGCAGGAATGTGCGGGGCGGGCACGCCCCAGGCCGGCCACCCCACACCCTTACCCCCAGGGGTGACGCCCGAGGGGCCTGCTGCCCAGCCAGCGCCCTCTGGCTCTGCCCCTCAGGTCCAGCGGGCACTGCCCGGCCGATCAGAGACCACACGCTAAGCAGCACTATCTACGCAGGCGGAGACGGAGGGAGGACAGAAGGGAGACAAGAGGCGGCACATCACAGAGCAGGCGCGGCGGCCCCGACGCTCGGCGCACACCGGCCAGCGCCCCCGCGGGCCAGCACCGGCCTCAGGCGGCGGGACACACCCAAGGGCACCGCCGCGCTCCACTTGCCAGGGAAGCAGGAGTCTTGAGACGGGGAGAGGTGCTGCCCGCAGAGCCAGCGGAACGCCCCCTGGACGGCGCGGCCGGCCCTCGAGACTTCTTTTTAAACGTTCTGCAGGAGTCTGGGTTCAGCCGACTTCCAGCCTGCGCCCCACACGCCCCCGCCTGGGCCGGCGTTCCCAGCAACCCGGCGGGAAGTCCACAGCCAGAGGTGCCAGGAAGAGCCGGCACCCGCGGGGGCCTCGGCCAGGGCGCAGCAGCACAGTCCAGGCGTCCCCCTGCTTCGCGACACGACTCCCAAGTCCTCCCCGTCCCGGGTGGTCAAACCAGGGGTTCCGCGTCTCAACTCTTCACGAGGTCCAGTGTGCACAGCGGCCCCCCTCCCCCGCCGGCATCCTGCCGCTTTCAACGAGCCAGAACAACAGGACGGGACCAACACGGCTGCTGAAGGGCTGCGGACATGCCCCTTGGCACGGCCCTGGGGCGGGGCAGGTGGCGGGCAAGCAGGGGCCGCAGGTCAGCGGGCGGGAGCCAGGGCTGCGGGAGGCTGGGCTGCTGCGTCGGGCCGGAGAAGGCCCGTGCGGCCGAGCAGGCTTTGGTCCAGCGGCTCCCCCGGCACCCCATGTGTCCAGCTCAGTCCGGGTCACTGGTGCTGAATGAAGGGGCGAAGGGGGCGGGAGGCGCTCGTGCAGGCGGCCACCCGACGCTCAGCTGCCCGGCTGTGACGGCAGGGCCCCCACGGTCCCCCCCGAGGGCCACAGGACAGGCAGGCCTGCGGGAATGTGAGGGCTGGCGGGGTCGGGGGGGAGAGGACGTGGCCGGGCTGCCCACCAGCGCTGGCCGCTCCGGGGCTGAGGCGGCCCAGGGGCCGTTCGGAAGGTAGAAACGCGGCCTCCGCAGCTTGGTGACGACACTCCTCAGCGGACAGCTGCCGGCCATGGGACGCGGGGGACTGCGGTCTCAGCACCGGGGGGGGGGGGGGCGCGGGGACCCTGCCCAGGCAGGCGGAGCAGCGCGGCCTCAGGCCCGTCAGGCCCGACCTGGCCGGGGCCGCAGACAGACAGACGTGGACACGACCCACACATGCTACTGACACGGGGAAGACGGAAGCTGACCGCAGCGAAACTGCTTTAAGGACCGCATGCTACGCGCCTCGCGGGGAGGTGGGCGGCGGGCACAGAGGCGGGAGGGCCAGCGCGCCCTCCCGGTCCCCGCCGCTGCGGCCCGAGACTCCGCGGCGCAGGTGCTGACCAGTCCTCTCACCACCGCTGCTCCGCGCCTAATTGAACCCGTCGGTGTGGTAGCTGGGGTGGGAGTCGGCCGTGAGCTGGGTGGTCTCTGTGGCCGGCGCTGGCTGCACCGCGATGGGCGTGTCTGTGGCCTCTGGAAAGCAAGCGCCCGGCTGAGCCCCAGCGCCGCGCCTCAGCGCTCTGGCGGCCCGGGCCCCCCGCGCGGCCCGACTACGCCTACCACCGCGGCGGGTGGGGCCGCCCGAGTCTGCCTTTACCTCCGTTGTCCACGTTCACACCTCAACAGGCCCCGCCGCACCACACACACTCCCGCACAGTGTCAGGGCCCTCCTGTTTGACGAGATAGGGTGGTCAGGGCCCGCTCGGCCCGGGCCCAGCGCCGCCCCGGCCCCACTCACCCCGCTCGTCCGACTGCAGCTGCGCCTCCAGGTCCTCGGGGGACACGTAGAACTCGGCCTCCTCGCCCTCGGGCGCCTTGGGCTTGCACCGCCCGCAGCAGCAGTTGAAGCAGCAGCAGAGGCAGCAGCAGCAGTAGCAGCAGGTCAGCAGCCCACAGACGGCGAACAGCGCCTGCGGGGACAGCAGTGAGCCCGGCCCTGCCTGGACGGGGGCCGGGAGGCGGCGCTCGGAAGGGAGAGGGCGAGGAGAGGCCGTGGTGGCCCGCGTCCAGGTCCCTAGGTGCTCCTCTCCGCCCGGCCCCCCGGGAGGTGCCTTAGACTGGGGGGGCTCCCGGGCTCGGCGTCCTGCCGGGGCTCCCGTCTGGCTGGGGGGAGGGTGACTCGGGAGCTACTCTATCAGCTGCACCCCTGCCCTCGCACGCGCTGCACTAAAGCGCCTCCCCATAGTGTGCTTTGCCCTGAGGCGGCGGCGGACGGCAGAACCTACTTAGAACAGGCAAGTTTGAGGGTTCTGGGGTGCCCCCACCTGCCCTGTAACAAAGGGACTTAACAGGAGACACACAGACGTCTACCGGGCACGGAGACAGGGTGCAGACGCGGGGCGGGGGACCCCGGCGGGCTTCCTCCAGCGGCACGCCGCGGAGCGAGGGGCCCTCCGGCCGCCAGGGGACGGGGCTCTGGCCAGGAGGCGACGCGACGCCGAGAGACGTGCTCGCCCCCAAGGGAGCCGCCCGCCCGCTCACCTTGGCCCACCAGCTGGACAGCACGAAGTAGGTGTTGACGTTCTCCTCCCCGAACTGCTCGGCCACGTAGAGCCCCAGCGAGCCGTAGCGGTCGTAGATGTTCCTCTTGGTGGCGTCCGTCAGGATGGCGTGCGCGTTGTTGATCTCCTTGAACTTGTCCGCGGCCTCCGGGTTGTCGGGGTTCTTGTCGGGGTGGTACTTCAGGGCGAGCTTCCTGCACACCAAGCCGCCCGGTCGCTGCCCAGCGAGGGCGCCCCCCCGCCCCGCGCCTCCTCGAGAGCCGTGCTGCCCCCCGGCGGCCGAGTGGCTCGCCGCGCCCGGCCCCGGGGCAGGTTGGGGGGCCCAGGGCGAGGGAGGGTCCCGGCCGCCGCGCGGGCCTCTCACCTGTAGGACTTTTTAATGTCGTCGGAGGTGGCGTTCTTGTCCAGCCCGAGCACGTGGTACAGCGACTCCCCGGAGGTGGAGAGTGAGCGCTGCCGCTGGTCGGCCATGTCGGCACCTGCGGGCGCACAACGGTCAGCGCCCCAGGGCCCCGGTCGGCGCCCAAGGCTGTCCCAAGCGGACCCCCCGGCAAAACCTCAAGGCTGAAAACGCCCAGAGGCGGCGGAGCGCCGGGCCAGGTAAGGGCGGGAGCTCCCACCACCGCCGCCTGCGAGAAGCTCTCGGCTGCTGGGAGTCCCGTTTTCAAAACAGCCTCACACGCGGGAGGCCCCCGCCGCCGAGGCGCAGGGCACGGCCCGTCCACACCCCAGGAGCTGACCGCCCGGGGGGGCGCCGGGAGCCGTTTCTGACACAGCAGCGGGACAGCGCGGGGCGGGCCTGGACGGGCAGGGAGGGGGCGCCGGGCGACGAGGCGGCTCCACGACAGAGCCGGCGCACAACCCAGGAAGCGGGTCTTTGGCAACAGTGAAACGGGTAAACCGCGGACAGAAAAGAGGGCGGCCCCCGGGCCGGCCCTGAGGGCTTCGTTCCAGAGGCGGGAGGGGCTCCCCAGCTGGGGCTCTGGAGGCGGCGGGCAAAGGAAAGACGCGGCCCAAGGGGGTGGGGGCCGCGCCGGGGGCCTGGAGCACAAACACGGGGGAGGCAGCGCCAGCCGGGGCGCTGGCCAGGCGCGGCCCTCGCTCAGGCCGTCTGGCTGCTCACACGGAAGGGCCCAAGGAGCCCACAGACGTGACGTGGATCAATCAGCAAGGCCTCGGGCCGCGTCGGGGGAGACCGTGCTGCTCCTGGGGCGCAGCGCCACCCCAGCAGCCAGGGGCCACGCGAGGCCCCGAGGGAGCAGCGAGAAGCTGACCCTGCGGCGTGTCTGCAGGAAGCCGCCTTCCCGGGGCCCCGGCACGTCAGACGCTGCAAAGGCAACACCACAGGGGCAGGAAGAAGCCCGGAACAGGGTCTGGGCAGGGCCCAGGGGACACTGAGGCGCAACACAGCTGCCTGTGACCCCGCGGTGGGCGTGGGCGTCACCCTCGCTGGCCTGGAGACCCCTGGGGCGGGCGCCACCAGCGCCGGATGCCCACCCAGCTGGCCCCGGACATGTGGAGGCCGGGGCGGCTGCCCTCTGTGCGGTGGTCGGCGGGCTGGGGCGGCCCGTTCAATTCTCCCACGAGGGCAAAACCAGGAGTCAGCGTCCCCAGGGGCCAGCGGCAAACCCGGGCGCTGACCCCTCGCCCTACGGGGCCTGGTGCCGGGAGCGGGAAGGTGAGAAAAAATGAAGGGCGGGCTCAGGCGAGCCAAGGAAAAGCCAGAAACAGAACAGGCGAGAGCTGAGGGGGCAGCGCAGCACCCCCAGCCCTGGGCAGGGCCCTGCGGGCGGCGCCGGGGCAGCTCGGGAGCCGGACGGGGCGCCACACCCAAGCGGGCGGCCGAGCGCAAGCCACAGGGACGCGGCTCGCCCCTGACCGCGGGGGACGGGCCGAGCACGCCAGAAACCAAGCTCGGCCCCGCTGCCTGCAGGACGCGCGTCTTCGCTTTAAAGAGAAACCGAGGCTTGAGGGCCCGGCTGGGAAGGCGGCCAACCCCCTCCGCACCCTCGTGGCCACGCGGGCGAGCAAACACGGAGTCCAAAATGCACCAAAGACTAGGAAGTAAGACCTGAAACCGTGAAACACAGAAGTGGGCATCGGTGAGGGCCCGGGCAGCCCCCCAAGACGCAGCCCGTGCACTCAGCCCCAAGGGTGACAGGCGACCCCAGACCCCCGCAGGGAATGCAAACTGGACCTAGGTGTGCTGACCCCTCGCCCGAGACGGCCAGTGGTCCTGGGGGGGGCAGGCAGAAGGGGCATCCCCGACGCCTGCGAGGCCTCAGGCCTCCCTCGGAGCCCCCGATGCTGGGCCAGAGACCCCCAGGACGCCATGGGGGCAAGGCCCCGGCAGCGCCCAGGGAGGGGCTGGGAGACGAGATGGACAGCCTCTGCGGATGGAGGAACAAAGCCTGGCCATGGGCAAGCCGGAGGGACCAGGGGCCATCAGAGGCGGGACGGGGCCCTGGGGCAAGGTGGAGCCAAGCTGGAGAGGTGCAAGGGACCTTGGCCCTGGACCCCCCGCAACCCCACAGGGGCACAAGCCAGGCGGAGGGCATGGCCCCTGCCCGGGCCACGGCACACAGAGCCCGAGTCTGACAGGCTCCAGGCTGGGGCAAGGGTCCTGAGGCCGTTCTGAAAGCTCCAGGCTATGGCCTCGGGCGAGCCCCAGGGCGGCTGCAGATGGCCGGCGGGACCGCAGGGCCCAGGGACGCCTGCTGGTGTCGAGGCGGCACACCCCCGCCAGCCCCAGCACTGGGATGTGCCCACAGAACTGGACAGCGGGGCCAGCACTGCCCACCTCAGTGCCAAGCTTTGGCCCTCAGACAAGTCCAGAAGACAGACCTGCCAGCGATGCGCCTTCTGCCACTGGTGCCGGCCACGCGGCGGCGTCCAGAGCGGCCGCAGAACGACGGTCACTGTGTCCAGGCCATTCCGGAAGCGGCTCAGGACATCCCCGGCGCCCTGGACAGCAGCTGACCACTGGGCCCCAGAGGACCGCAAGCGGGTGACGCCAGCACGCTCCGAGGCGCCCAGGCCCTGGGGTCCGGAGCCCTCAGCCCGGCGGAGTGCCCCCCGCCCAGCCCCCGCAGCGGACAGGCGGCGGCCGAGACCTCGGGGCTGCCTCTCGCGCGTGCGCGGGCCTCCGGGGTCACTTGGCGACAGACTGGTCCCCCCAGGCCCGAGGCGCGGCGCATGGGGCAGAGAGCCGCGAGGGGACAGCCCGGGCACAGGCGCGGGCAGCGAGCGCCACCTGCACAGCTCAGCCAAGCCCGGCGTCTTAGGACGCGCCGGGGAGCCAGAAAGGGCCGCGCAGGCCGGCAGGCTGAGCCAGGGTAGCTGCAGCCGGCCCGACCCCGGGCTTCACCCACGAGACCAAGAGGGCGCTGGGGGCAGGTGTCGGCCGGGCCTCCACTGCAGCCCTCACCCCCACGCCCTCCGCCACGATGCCCACCGTCCGCGTTTCCTGGGGGTCCCCAGCCAGCCGCTGCCCCCCAGGCAGGGCTCACCCCCTGGGCCAACCCCACAAACAGCACCTGCAGGGCCGGCTTCCCGCGGCTCGACGGGGCGCTGCCCCGGGGTCCGTCCTCGCCGCTGGCCAGTGGAGCCGTCAGCCCCGCGCTCCGGAAGCACCAGACGCTCCCCGCGCGGATTCCTCCCCTGCCCGACTTCCACTCGCTGGCCAGCAGGGCAGGACCGGCCTCTGGCAGCTCCAGGGCTGCACAGGGGGAGGCCGGCCAGTGCCCAAGGGTCAGCGCCTCGGCCCCGCCGCCCGCTGCCCCACCTGCCTCCTCCCCGCACTGGGCAGGCGGCACAAACCCTCGGGCACCGTTGCGGCGGCCTGGGCGCTCCCCAGTGCCCACTCTTCTCAGAGCTGGGGGCCGAGCAGGAGTGGACCCAGCTGTGCTGAGGGGGCAGCGGGGAGGCAGAAGGGGTCTGCTGCGCCCTGTGGGTCAGCGCCTGTCCAGGGATGGACACAGGCCATGGCAGTGACAGCCTGGCACTATCCCTTGGGCCACCAGGGAGGCCCCAACTGTAAAGAATTTCTAAAGTCAGCAAACGGGAATTTCAAAAAGCACCTGAAAGCTCTTACTTTCCCTTCCTAACTGTAAAGACAAAACGCCGTGAGATGGGAAGCCCCAGAGAGGGGAGCCCTGGAGCGGGCGGGGGCGGGGGGGGCAGATGGGGGTGTGGCTCCCGCAGGAAGCACCACCCCGAGCAGCAGGGCCGGCACCTGGCCACAGAGGCCTGTCCTGCGCCCCCACTCTGAGAGGACACTACCGGCCCGCGGTCAACAGGCGCAGCTCAGAACTGGCCGCCCCAGTCCCACCCGCCCCGCGACACCCATCCCGGTAGGACTCCCCGGGCAGACGCCGCCCACGGCCCCGCGCTGGGCGGGGGAGGGACGGACGGGCAGCAGCCGCAGGTGCCCGCGGGACACAGGGAGCCCATGCTGGGAGCAGGGGTGCCCAGGGAGACACCCCGTCCTGCCCACGCCACCGCTGACCCCAAGCGGCAGGAAGGGAATCCGACCCAGCGGGGCGAGGACACGCAGACCCTCTCCTCCTGGGGCGGCCGCACCTGCAGCTCCAGGCCTTGGCTGACAGCCGCCGAGGGCCGAGGCAGGGCGCGACGGGCAGCAGCCCCGCAGGGGCACGGTCACTCACCGGCGCTCACGGAAGCCTGCGGGCGAGACCCTCCGCGCCCGCCCCCGCACTGCACACAGGCGTTTGCCGAGCTAGAGCTGCTTCAGAGGCAAAGGGTGCTCCCCTTCCGCCCCCTAAACGCCAGGGACAGGCCTCCCCAGTGGCGCAGCGGGTCCATAGCCCCTGCAGTGCCGGATGGATCCCCGCTGGCCAAGGAGATCCCCACATGGCGCGGCAGACCTCTCCCGTCTCCCCGCCGCGCTCCTCAGCAGTGTGTCTCGGGGAATCTACCTGATCTGTTCCCAGCGCTGTCTCCGCTGAGTTCTCTCAACCTGCTGCACATCTGGCCTGCACCCCTGGGGCCGCCCGGGGCGAGGCCGGCAGAGACCCACAGCCCAGTCAGGGAGCAGCGGGTGGGCCCAGCAGGCCGGGCGGCGGTGTAGGAGGGGCCCACTTGGGCCTCCCGGGTGTGACCCTGATCCCACCCAGGGCAGGCCGTGCGCGCCCACACGGTGAGCCCCCATTCACACTTCAGCCCCCGCCTCCAGGCCAGGTGGTGTGGCGGGCCAGCCAGACATGCCCTGGGGACGTGTGAGTGACCCTCGTTGCAGACGCACGTCTGTCTGTCAGAGCCAAGGCAGGGGGCGTGTCCCGCCCGACACCAACCACGGGCAGAAGCGTCAGGACCACCGGCTCTTGGGGGCAGGGCAGGCGGGGTGTCCAGCTGGTCCCGTGCTATCACCCACGCAGCGGAGGCTGCCCCCCCACCCCCCGCCACTGAGCCCCGGCAAACATGCCGCTGTTTCCCCAGCTGTAAAGTCACAAAGTGGGTGCCCTGCTGCCCGCGGGACGAACCGTCCTGGTGAACGTCGCGAAGAAACACGATCTCCGACGGGGAGCACATGTGCTCCGCCGACTTCAGCACCCAGGGGTGGTGTGAGCCTCGCCTGGAGACGGCCTCGTTCAGTCCAGGCCGCGGAGGCCGGCGCCACGCCTCGGGCAGGGGTGAGAGACGCGGCCCGCGCGCATCCGCATCGGCTTCGGTCAGCAGGGCTGACGGCGTCCGCGCGGCGTTAGGCGGCCCTGGAGGAAGAGCCTGCCCCTTCCTGACTTCAAAGGAACAAGCAAAATTTATCGCCAACTGGCAAAGAAAAAGAAAACCCGAACCTAACAAGGCAGCCCACGGCAGGGGCAGCAGCCGCTGGGGCCCCACGTGGCCACCAAGGACGCTGCTGGAGGGGGTGTCCGGACGCCACCTCCACGGCTCACCGGAGGAAGGGCCCGAAGCCAGAGGCGGCGGCGTCCACTGTCCCACTGGGGCCTCCCCCAGGCCGGCTGTCTGAAGGGAGGGGTCTCGGGCCCCAGGACCTGGATTCAGCCCCCGCCTTGAGGCAACGCAAGCTCGGGATAGGGCTCGGGATAAGGCGGGACTGCCCGGCTTCTGCTGGCCTGGCCACAGGGCAGAGACGGGGGTGGGGCACCCCATGCCCAGGGCACAGACACTCCCCCTACTTCCCCCAGGCCTGCCAAGGCGGCGCGGTGGGGCGGGACACGCGTGGAGCCGGACACTCAAGAGGCTGCCCAAGCCTCACAACCGGCGCCGGACGGGCAAGAAGTGGGGTTCACGCGCCAGGACAAGTGACCCAGAGCCCCCAGCAGGAGACGGGGGAGGGGCCGGCGGGGTCCGCAACCTCAGAACCCCGGACGCCCGCGAGTTCCTGGTCACCAGAGCGATTCGGACGTGCTGAGAAGTCAGGCCCGAGAAACGTGTGCGGGGGCAAGAGGGACCCCGGGGGCAGGCACGCCGGCCAGGCCCGCGCTCCCTGCCTCCCCTCCCCGAATGCCCGGAGGGGGCGACCAGCCGCCCCGACCGGTGCGGGAAGGTGGGGGAGGCGGGTCTGGCGCCCGGGGGGCGGGGCGGGCGGTCCCCTCGGGCAGCACCGGCCAGTCTCTGGGGGGACACCCAGCCGCGCGCCCCCAAGGCCCGCGCCCGCCCCGCCGGCCTCGGCCCCACAGCACCTGCCACGACCCCAGCGGGGCCCCAGGCGGGGCGGGCGCGGGACGGAGGGGGCCCTGGAGGGGGCCCCGTCTCCGGCGGCTGCGCAGGGGGCGCGCCGCGCTCCCCGCCCGCCCGCCCGCCCGCCGCCCCCTCCCGCCGGCGCCCAGAGGCGCCCCGAGGCGGCAGCCCGGACAGGGGTCCCTCGGACCGTCCCGCGCTCCGGGCCCGGGCGGGGGCAGTGCCCAGAGCCCGCGGGCCGGCGCGCCAGGGGCTCGGCTCCCCTCGACCCGGGGCGCCCCCGGCAGGCCGCGGGCGGCGAGGGCGCCCCGCGCGCAGCACCGAGAGCCGCGGGCGGGGGGCGCCGCGGGCGGGGCGGGCGGGGCCCGGGCCTCCGGCAGGGCGGGGCCCGCGGGCGGGGCGCGGCGCGGCGCGGGCCCCCCGCCCCCCGCCCCGCGCCCCGCGCCCCGCGCGGCCGCTCGGCCCTTCCCGTGGCCCCGCGGGCCCCGCCCGCCCCGGAGCTCGGGCCGCGCCGCCGGGCACGCGCAGGACAAAGGTGGCCGCGGCGCGGGGCCCGGGCGGCCGCTCGTCCTCCAGGCCCCGCGCCGCCCCCGCCCGCCCGCCCGGCCGCCCGCCCGCGAGCTCCCCGCCCGCGCCCCGCGCCCCGCGCCCCGCGCCCCGCGCCCCGCGCCCGCTGCTGGCGACGCGCTCCTACCGGCTGCGCCTCGGGGCCCGGGCGGCGGCGGCGGCGGCAGAGGGCGCGGAGCAGCACCGGCTCGGGCGGCGGGGGCGAGCACGCTCACGCACGCTCACGCACGCTCACGCACCCTCACGCTCGCCCACGCACGCTCACGCACCGGCGCGCGCGGCCCCGGAAGGACGTGGGCAGCGGCGGGCGGGGCCGGCGCGCCTGCGCCCAGGAGGGAGGCTGAGGGCCCGCCCACAGGGGCGGGGCCCGAGGGCCGGGCGGGCGCAGGCTCCGCCCAGGGGCGGGGCCCGAGCGCAGGCCGGAAGCGCCGCCGGGGGCGGGGCGGGGCGGGGCGGGGCGGGGCGGGGCGGGGCGGGGGCGGCCGGCGCGGTCCCGAGGGCCCGAGCGTCGCGCCCGGCCTCAGGCGTCGCCGCCCCGTCCAGGACGGGAGCGGGAGCCGGCGCGCGCGGCCCCGAGGCCGCCTCCCCGCCGGCCGGGCCCCCACGGCCCTCGCCCGGGCCCCCCACGGCCCGCCTGGCCCGCGCGCGGCCCCGCGCCATCCCTGCCGCGGGCCCGGCCCCGGCTCCCGGGCGGCGCTCCGGGGCTGCGCCGGCCAAGCGGCGGGGCGGGGCGGCGGCACCGCGCGGGCAGCTGCCCAGCAAGGACGATCAGGCCTTTTTCCCCCAAGATTGATTTATGCACACGAGGCTGGGGCGCAGGTCAGAGGTGCGGGGTGCAGGTCAGAGACGGGGCGGGGAGCAGAACGGGCGGACTGACTGGAACCCCCCGCTGAGGGGAGCAGCGGGGAGACCGGAGAGGTCCGCCGCGCCCTGTGGGGCGCTCCCCGCCGGCCTGGGGATTGAGCTCGCGCTGCAGCGGCCGCGGCCAGCTTCAAGCTTCACAGCGCGGCGCTTAACCCCTTGCGCCACCAGGGAGGCCCCGATCTGGCCTTTTCGTGACAGACCAACCCTGCGGCATCAATTACACAGGGCAGGGCAGAGAAAAGGGTGAGCCTGAAAATGTGCCCAGCCACCCAGGGCTCCGGGGGCGCAGGAGATGGCGGACCCGGCGTTCTTACCTGCTTGACCGCCCAGCGTTGTAACCGACCCCGGCCGCGGCCCCCGTCTTATCTACAAGGTGCCCACCGCCGAGTCTCTGGGGCGCCTGGTGGCACATCAGTCAGCATCCCGGGGTCCCTGTCACACCCCAAGATGTGTGCCCACTCCCCAGGGCAATCCCGCATCCTGCTCTTGTTTAACTTGAAGGGAGCCTTGCTGGGGCCAGTATCCTACATTCTTTTAGGTCAGATAACCCACCAGGTTCGGGCCTCGCTCTGGAGGCCACACTGCACGTAACCAAGCGGGCGGCGGAGCAGGCAGGTTTCGGCTAGCGGGCCCACACGGGGTGACGTGGGGGAGGGGTGCAGGGAGGTCCCTGCTCTCCGCTTGTATCCAGTAGATCTGACATGGGGACACCCGCAAGTGGTCCTAGGGCTACCACAGGGACCCCACCTACATCCCTGCACAGCCTCTTGCACGTTCAGACACAGCTGCCTAGTGTCTGCGCCCTCCCCACCCCCCAGCTCACTTGCTGGACAGCCCAGGACAGTTATTTACCTGCATTGTCATTGCATGACCCCGAGTCAAGGGGGCTGTGGGAGGTGTCGCCTGTGCTGCCCAAGGGGCAGTGGGCACCCTCTCCCGGGGACCAGCCTTTCCATGCCAGGGGGTGAACCTGCCTGGCCTCTAGCCCAGCTAGCTGGATGCCTGAGGCTCGTGCCTGACCCATCTTGCAAACTCGCTAGTGCCTCCTCATCCTCCGGGACCCCAAGGCCTGCACCAGTGACCGCTGCCCCTGCGGGTGGGGGCCCACAAGGCCCACCCTGCCGTCCCCCTCAAAGCAGCAACAACACAGCCAACAATTTCCCCAGAAAAGATTTATTGAAGAGAGGGTAAGCAAGCCCACCCTTCCCGCGCCCAGTGGCTCGGGCCCCGGAGCACACCAAGGGCCCCAGGCGGGCTGATGCCCACAGCCAGGCTCTGCCCGCTATGAGCCAGGAAGGCACAAGGCCAGGGACGGGGTGGGCAGCTGTGAGGAAGGACACCCAGCCCCTGCCCCGCAGAGCCCCACCCGGCTCACAGCCACCCCAGAGCCGTGGACGACCGGGAGGGAAGCCTCATGCCGGGACAGAGTGTGACAGCGAGCGGCGGTGGCCCCAGATCTCTGCTCAGGCCACAAGGAACCCGCTTTACATGTAAAAACATTATAAACAGGGGAGCGGAGGGTGACGTAAGGCTTGTATTTCAGCTGAGTCCAAAGAAATAATGTTCTCTATGAGGCTAAAGCTGCTTTGCTGAGTCTCGCTCTTCAACCGCCCACTACATTTAACAAGCAAAGCGCGTGCCCTGGGAGCGTGGTGGGCGGCCTCCGTGTCCCCCTCAGCCCTGGGGTAGGGCTGCAGGCCAGCAGGTTCCTGGAGGCCTTTCCTGCCCATGCCTTGGGAGGGCCGCTGGGCTCCCCATGCCTCTGCCGCGCTTCCAAGGGGGCCACGGGGCGCTCAGGCTTCGCTCAGGCTGCCCGGCCCGCTGCCCTGCCCCAGGGGGGTGGCGCAGTGACCTGCCGCACCTGCTCACTTCCGTGGGAAGCGTCCGCACACAAAACTGCCCTCTGACTGTGGCTGACGCAGCGGCCGTGGCCAGGTGGACGGAGGCCCCCGCCATGCTGCTGGCGGTTTGGTGGCGCGGTGCTCCCGTCGGCGGTGAGAGTGTGCTGGCACGTGTTCCGCGGCCGGGCGGAGCTGCTGCAGGCTTAGAAGGGCATGGGGTCGGGCAGGGGCTTGTCGCCACTCCCATTTGGGGAAGGAAGGCTGTCGCTGCCGTTCTCTCTGCCGCCCACCACCTTGGTCTACGGGTAGAAAGAGACAGAGGCAAACCTGAGATGGCCTGAGGGCAGGAGGCTTGAACCTGTGCCTTGGGGTTCAACCTGAGCTCACGTGGCATGACACAGCTGAGCCGTGCAGAGGAGCACGGGGTCGGCCAGGTGTGCCTCTGGAGAGGCCCCGGCGCGCAGGGGCCAGTCCCCGGGACCACATGCCACATGCTTCCGTGGGTGAGGCGCTCTTGGGGCTGCGGTTCTCACGCCTGACCTTCTGTGTGCATGACACGGCTGCCCTGTGGACACTATGAGCTACAGGTGTGTCCCTGAAACACGTGCTTGGAACTGCCGATGGGCACAAAGTGTGGGCAGGACGGGAGGAAGGCAGCGCCCTGGAGGGCCCGTGGGGAGCGGCCCACCCTCAGCTGCTTCAGCACCACCCAGACCCTTGAGATGACCCTGGGCAGCCGGGCAAGGCACATGGGGGTCTCTAGATCAGTCCTGCACTGACTGGCCCTCAGGCGGCCACGCCCCATCAGTTACCTTGATGGTCCCAACTCGGTCTTCAAAAGACTTGAAGGTCGCGGAATTCCTTTTGAGAAACAGAGAGAGAGAGAGGAAGAGGTGTGGGCGTAGGGAGCGGACGGTTGCTCTGCCCCCTAAATCGGAAAGAGCATTCCGACAGCATCCTGAAATCCCGCTGTAAAAACATGACGGGTAAAGAGGGAGGGGGCAGTCTCTGGGAAAAGGGCCAGCTGGAGTCCCTCAAGAGGCTCCCCAGATGAGCACTGTGCTCAGTCACACTCAGTGGCCCGTGGACAGAAGACTCAGGCTTGGCCAGTGGGGCAGGCCAGGGCCATGGGGAGCCGCACACCCCTCGGCCGGGCTCACCCTGCTGCAAGGACACGCAGGGGCTGGGAAACCCAGTGCTCTGCACTCGGGGCGAAGGGAAGGGCAGCAGGGACAGGTCCGGGAGGCAGAGGAGTAGGGGCAGGGGAGGAGCTGGCAGCCAACCCGAATGCCCAGGGGCTGCAGTGGCCGCTCAGAGTCCCAGCACATGGGCAGGGCCCAGGCCACGTATGGGCACCTGTCTCTGTCCCCCCCTGCCTGAGCCTGCGGGCAGCCCTAGATGGTTGCTGATGAAGCCCAGGCCGGCGCGAGGGGCCCCTCTGGAGGCCTCCCGCCAGCTCTCCTGTCCACCAGTCTTTCCCACCCACAGCTGACAAGAAGCTCAGAGTATGGCAAGTCTGGGCCAGCAGGAGCACCATGCTGCCCGCTCTCTGGGGGCGCGAGGGCTCGGGGCACGGTGCCCCGAGTACGTTACCTCATGGCCGGCATACTTATCGAGTGGCGGATGGAGGAGCTGCTACTTGGAAGCGTGGGAGAAGCAGAGAAGGAAGCAAGAGTTAGCAGGAGGCACCCCCGGCTCACATCACTGGCCACAGGGTGGCGCAAGACCCCACTCCTGGCAAAGCCCAACGAGGCCTGGCCGCTGCGCCAAAGGCCCCTTCCCCAGGAGGGACAGCCACCCCAGAAATACACGTGGCTGAGGAGAGCAAGACAACGGGGACCTAAGACGACCCCAGCCCAGAGCCAGAAAGCTGCTGGTGCAGCGCCCTCGGCGGCACGCGAGCTCAGCAGCTCTTTGGAAGAAAGAAGCCAAGTCAAGTGAGAAGAATCAGACACCACGGGCTGACCTGGGAGGGGGATCTAGACCAGCCACAGACTGTCCTGGGGGGCCTAGACCAACCGCAGCTGTGGGGGTCTAAACCTGTGAGCTAAAGCCCACCAGACGCCGGTGCTATGCCTGACGAGCAGGCATTGAGGGCCCCGGGAGGCTGTCCACGGGCCATGCTGTCTGGCGGGAGTCTGCGTCACTGGACGGGGCGTGTCGGCTTCTTGGGAGAAGGAAAGGGGCGCAGCATTTCGGGGGGGTTCAGTTGGTGCAGCACAGCCCCCCACAGGTACGTGGCTCGTCTCTGGGGCTGGGGAGCTGCAGGAGCCCGGGCCACACCTGCACGACCCAATTCCGAGGTCCTGGCCATACCCAGCCGCACCCCTCTGGGCCAGCCAGTGTCTACCCCACCCTGACGGGAGATGGCCCTCCACAGGCGCCAGCGCCAGTCTTACCTAAAGGAATGTGAGAATGGGCGGGCCCTGAGGCAGGCGGCAGGAGGAAAGGAGAGACCTGTGTTATGGTAGAGACGGCAGGCCCCGCCCGCCCGCGCCAGCAGGTGTACAGGGACGCCCACGACCACCCTGTCACCAGGCCCGACGCCTGGCATCCTCCAGCCTCCCCACGTCTCCCTTGAGGCTGTCCCGAGGCCCGGGCCCGCCCCCTGCAGTGGCCACAGGGACTACTCGCCTGCCTCCCGGCTCTCCTTCTCGAGGAGCAGCGAGGTAAACCAGGGACGCTGCTAGGTCTGAACCTCAGAAACCCCATGTGCTCTCGGAGGGACAACGGGGGCCCACAAGGCCCCAAGTCATCAGAGCCTCAGACCCTGGACGTGGCAGAGGTAACCACTGGCGTGTACAGCGCCCAGAAGCCCCGAGCTGAGTGTGCGGACAGAAACGGCCATGCCAGTCTCCGGGGAGTGAGCAGGTGGACACATGGGTCACTGTCCTCGGAGAAGCGCTGCCCATGCCCAGGACCACCCAGCAGCACCCCCCCAACACGCAGGACTAAGCACACTCAGCGGGGGCGGGGGGGGCAGGGACTGCATCCTGAGGAAGCACAGACACTTCCCCCACGGAACCCCTGGTTGCCCGGCCAGGCCTATGGCCAGTCTGCCACCGGGTACCCCACAACATGGCGCAGGCGGCTGAAGCAGGCACTCCAGAGGGAAGAGACACAACCGCACCCACAACGCAAGATAGTTCCAGAAATGGGCCCACAAATCCTGCCACCCGTGCAGAAAGCCAACCCCCCCCCTTGATGTTTCTGAAAACGAAAGGCGAGTCTGGCTCTGGGTCCCGCTGAGCGAGGTCACGGCAGAGTGCCTGCCACGAGAGGCACAGACACGCCCACCCTCAGGAAAAAGGCGCAGGTCAGAGCGGGGGACTCCTCAGCAGCCAAGCCCACAGGTCCGACCACCACAGCCGCGGGAACAGAGCCCAGAGCAGGGCAAGGCTACAGGGCAGTGGCCCTGACTCTTGGCAGCGAAGGGCCCGCGCCGAGCAGGTCAAGACCAGGCAGGGCGTGTGGACATCGGGGGCTTCTGTGGGCCTAGCTGGGAGGCAGCTGGGCCAGGCCCCTCTAGGCCTGAGCCAGAGCAGGGCACACAGGGCAAGTCACGGGCTGACTGGGGGGAGGCTGGTAGCACAGTCGAGAGGCCACGAGTCACCTCCTGCTCTCCAGAGACCCTGAGGGAGGTCATGAGGGAGCCAATGCCAAGGCGGAGTCCCTGGCGTGGAGCTGCAAGCGCTAGGCGGGCCGAGTGGCCCGCTCCTGTCCTGGCCACCAGACCGGCCACACCAGGTCCCTTCAGTAGCCTCAGTGGACGGCGCAAGCCTTGCAACAGCCCCGGCTCCAGGGTTGCCCAAGGCGCTGGTGCCTGCCCTCTGCAGACAAGGGCCCCTGAACCTCCCACTGCTGGGGACAGTGGCTCCAAAGCCCCTAAGCTGCACTGACATGCCCAGGCCTCCAGGCTGAGCAGGCCCCTCACCTCATGTCTCCAAGCCGCCTGCTGATGGCAGAGCCCACAGTGGACAGGGCAGCTGACGTCCTCTGTCCCGCCTGGGACAGCGTCTCCTGGGTCTTCTTGTAGCTGGGAAAAAAACAGCAGTCACAACCGAGTCAAAGGAGACGCGCCAGCCAGGCGCCACGGACACGAGGTGCGCAGGGAGGGGAGAGGGATCAGCCTGGTGTGCCGCCAGCACCCCAGCTCCCCCACCCCAACTGACACGATCCCTCGGGGCAGCCCATGGCATGGCCCACACTGCCCAACCCAAGGACACCCCAGTTTGCGTGTAGCTCTGACGACCCAGGAGCAGCATGGAGCGAGGCCTGCGGCCCTCCCAGTCGGTCAATCCCTGGCCTGGCGGCCCTTGGCCTGCCGAGAGCCGAGGCCGCAGAGAGCTGGGGGCTCCGCCAAACCCAGCCAGGCCTCTGAGCTAAGGAGCGGGTCCAGGGAAGTCCTGGGGGCCTTCTGCTGCCAGGTGGGTTCCTTCAGGACAGCACCCAAGTTTAAAGGCAATTTCACGGGCGTTTGGGAGAAGAAAAAAATCAGAGTCAAACGCCACCCGCGGGCAGGGCGAGGAGGGCGGCGCTGACAGCGGAGACTCACAGGTCCGACTGGGTCACCTTCTCGTTCCACTCCCCAAGTTTCTCTGACGTTTTCACGTAGCTAGAAACAGAAAGTCTGCACTGAGTGACGCAGAAGCGCCGCCTCCACTGAGCTCTCAGAGGGCCGGCGGGGGCAGGGGCAGGGGCGGCCGCCGAGCACGGACCAGGCCTCTGTGAGGGCACCACTGAGTGCGGCGAGGAGGCGGGCGCCTGGCTGCACGAGGGAACCAGGGCTCTGTCTGAGCCCCTCCGACCGGCGCCCTTGGGGACTCAGAGCCATGCGCCCCAGGACAGAGGTGGGCTTCCCACGGCGAGGGTCGGGACACACAAGGGCTCTGTCCTTCCGCGGGGACCGGGCCGCAGAGCCAGCAGGAAAGGCCTTCCCCGGCCAGAGGAGCCCGCGGAGGGGTCCACGGACCACAGCTGGGCCTGCGGGGCGGGCAGCAGACCCCGCCATGAGCAGGCCGGCGTCCACTCCGGTGGCGGGGCCCGCAGAAGAAAGGCTTATGGAGAACCAAGAACCTAACGACCGGCCTCGCAAGCTCAGACCCTGACACGTGGGTCGTCAGCTTCTGCCGGGTGACCAGCCGGGGGCCCCCAGCTGCTCGAGACACTGGCCCAGAGCTTCTCAAGCAAGCACATCAGAGCCCGGTGCCGAGGGCTCAGGCCCGCGACTGCCCAGGCGCAAAGGGCACACTCGACCCCGTTCCCGCCACTCACGTCCCCCGCCCCGGCCACACCCCCAGCGGGCCCCGGCGGCGCAGGTACCTACGCGTTGGAGACCTGCATGTCCTGCCAGCTCCTGGAGAGGCCCTGCCTCAGGCCCTGCAGTGGGGACAAGCCCAGCCGCCGCCTCAGCTCTCCGCAGTGCCGCTCCTTGGCTGCCAGCACCTGGCGCAGGGTGGCGATCTCCTCTTCCACCTGCCAAGAGCCCGCCGTGAGGACCAGCGCGGCTGCGGGGGACACGCCGCCTGGGGCCTGAACAGCCAAGCGTGGCTGGCACAGCGTCCCTGGAACACGGCTCAGGTGTGAGGGAGACATCGCTTCCCCTCTGGCTCTGGCCGCGGGGCTGCGGGCAGCACCACCCACCGGCACCCACAGCGAACCCCAAGCAGGGAGGCGGCACTGCCGGCCGACAGGCGGGGGGGCCAGAGGCCCCAGTCTCGGCAGCAGCAGTCCCGCTTGTCAGACGCACATTCTTTTCGGGCTTAAGGATTTCCAAGCTGAGTAGCAGAAAAAGCCGCAACAGCAAAGACGCCATCGCGGACCCCGGGGAGAAGAGCCCAACTTTAAAAAGGACCATCTTCCAGCCCATCCCGCTTTCAGTGTTTCCAGCTTCTGCGCGAAGAACCTTTCCTAAACAAGCAGCTGCCCGGCTTGAGATACTGAGAAACAGCTCAGAACCTCGCACGTTACTGGATTCTGCTTTAGAAAACAGTAAAAACAAAAAACAATTAAAAAGTGCAGACTCAGGGCCTCCCTGGTGGCGCAGGGGTTAAAGCGTTGTGCTATGGAGCTGTCGCCAGCCACTGTGGCCAGAGTCCATCCCCGGCCAGGGAGTGACCCACTGGACGCATCAGACCTCGCCTGTCTCCCCGCTGCTCCCCTCAGAAGTGTGTTTCAGTGGCTCCTCCTGTTCTGCTCCCCATTCTGTCTCTGATGGATCCTCTCCCCCGCCCCACCTCTGGCCTGCACCCCAGCTCTTGTGTGCATAAACAAATCGTTAATAAAAAAAAAGAAAGAAAGCACGAACTCATCTTATCCAAAGCGCTATAGATCACGCTAACAGTTGCGACCACTAGCCGGACACACGTGGGCCACGGCAGGAGCAATGGGCTTCAGGGGTCTCATCTTGGACAAATAAGTTGAAAACTGGAAGAGACACGAGAATCCCTTTCCCCTGTAACTCAATTCTGAAAAAGGCCAGTGCCGTGTGGTTTTAACCTCTAATGAGACATATTCTGAGATAAAATGTGAAATGCAAATATCCTCGAACTTGCTGCTCCACAGCAGCCTGCTAGCCCCGGGCCTAGCTGCAGGCCTGGACCAGCCCCAGGCAGTACCGCAGATGGGGCTGACTCTGTGGAAAGGGCAGAGACCTGTGAGCAGAGCTCGAGCCTCAGATTCTGGAATCCCAAGTGGGTCGCCAGCACCACGCAGAAAATGACACGCCCTTGGCTACCGGTCTAAATAGAAACCACATCTGGAAGCTTCTGTCCCGAACTCCCACATCCTTTGGAGAACCTTGCTTTAAAAAGATCATGTGAAGCACTTTTTTTTTTTTACAAGAGAAGCCCTTCTAGAAGAAAAATTAAGAGCCAGGACGGGAAGGTTGGTGGGTCCCTGAAACACCACGTGCAAACCACACCAGCGAAGCAGCGGTGAGGGGCAGCAGTGCCCGTGCGGATGCACCCTTGCCCGCCAAGCACAAGCACGCAGACTGGGGTCACCCAGGAGTGCAGCTCCGACACAGTACCTTTGCCAGCTCAGCCCTGAGCGCCTCCTCCTCGGCCTCTGTCAGGCCCTCCGTGACAGGACTTTGGGCAGCCACGGCTGTGTCCACAGGCACGTCCATCATGGCATCAGGCAGCAGACCTTTGCTAGGCGAGTTCAGGTTTATGTCTGCAGAGACACGATGAGGCCAAGAGCATTAGGTCAGTAAACGGAACCGAGGTCGCCACTGAGAAGAGTGAAGGGCGAAGAACGGGGGGGGGCGCAGAGACTAACGAGGCCCCTGCCCTGGCCGGGTGTGCAGAGGCTGGGGCCACTTTGCGGGAAGTGGCAGCCCCATCACACCGTTGCTGGTTGCTCTGCACCAAGATGACCCTGAGGCAGGAGACGGTCCTACGGGTGAGACAGGCCACCCACCAGGTCTCTCACCGTTGCCAGAGAAGGGACTTGACTCAGCCATAAACACACCCACTCTGCACGTGGCTGATTTGCCCGTGGCCAGCAAGACGAAGCCCCTCAGTCCACCGGCCCTCGCCGGGGTGGGAGGGCCCATACGCTTCTCCGCTAGGCCAGGCTCCTGCCCAAGCTCCTCCGGTCACTTCCCCACTCTGTGCACCCCCACCCCCGCAGTCTGCAGAGACTCCGGGACGTGGAGGGGACACACCCGACACGCCCTTTCCGGGCAGCAGCTCGTCAGCGCTGTGGGGCAGGCTCTGGCTGCGTTTAAAAGTGAGTCATGTAAAAGGCACGAGGTTGGGAGCCTGCGCCTCCCGCGGGGGGTCGGACCACTGTGGACACACCGAGCCAGGGGCCTCCGGCCCAGCCACAGCCCCTCCAGGACGCCGCTGGCCCTCGGGCTCTGCAAATGTTCCAAAAAGCCTGTCCGTGCGTCTTCATCAGCACCGAACCCGCTGTGCCAAGTTTAAGACAAATGCCTTAAAGCCTCGGGGTTTCCCATTTCGAAGGAAAGGAGAACGCAGACCCTTGGGGAGTTCCTGCCTGCCGGGCCAGCAGGGCCCCCGCGGACAGCGCCCCGGAGGCCGCCTGCACCGTCCTGCGGCCCGGCCTCAGCAGCGGCCGCTCACCGCGGCTCGGCCCAAAGGCCTTGGCGCGCCGTCTCCCCCGACCGAGCCCCGGCGCGGCCGCTGCTCGCCGAGCCCGCCCGAGTCGCACGGGCCAGCGGACAGCGAAGGCCGCCGGGCGCCCGGGCCGAAGCGCGGCCGGCCGCGCAGGACGCCCTCCAGAGAGCGAGACCCCAGCCGCCCCGGCGTCTCACGAGCGCGCCGCCGCGGCCGAGGGGCGACGAGCGGGGCCCCCGGGGCCACGCCGACCCAAGGCGCGACCGCGCGGGGCCCCCAGCGAGGACCTGCCGGCGCGCCCCGCCCCCCGCCGGGCCCCCGGGGCCGGGCCGTTGCCACCCAAGGGCCGCCGCGCCCAATGCGCGGCGCCGGGAGCCGCCGGCAGCCCGGCCCGGGCCCAGCGCCAGCGCCAGCCGGAGCGTCCCCGGGGCCCGCCGCGAGCCGCCGGGCGGCGACACCCACGCCGGGGGCGGGGGCGCGGCAGGCGGAAACGCGCGCGACCCGGGCCGCCGGGCGGGCGGGTACCTTGGCTGGCGCAGTCCATGCTCAGGCGGCGGCCAGCCCGGCTGCGGGCCGCGGGGCGCGGGGGCCGGAGGGGCCGGAGCCGCGAGACACCGGCCAGCGGAACCGCCGCAGCCTCGCCCGCAACGTAATCAACAACGCGCCGGCCCACTTCCGCCTGGACGCCGCTCCGCCCTCGTCCCGCCCCCAGGAACGGCGTCCAATGAGGGCGCGAGGGGCCCGGGCCCGCTGCACTTGCTCCAACCTGATAGGCGGAGGCTGCGGTCGCGGCCGGAAAGGAAGGCCGCTTCTGAGGGAGTCCCGCCCACGTCGCTGCACCAGCGAGACGCGCGGGTAGAGCGGCGGGAGGGGCCGGGGAAGGCGGGCCGGAGGGGAGGCGGAGGACCGCGCTCCGTCGCAGGGCGCCGGGCTCCGGCGGGGGCCGAGCCCCTCGCGGCCTTTCCCCGGGGGCCGTCGGCGGCCGCGCGGGAGGAGGCGCCCCGGCCCGCGCTCTGCGCGGCCCCTCCCCCGGCCCGGCCGGCGCCCCCCGGGACTTGGGGCGACGCTGCGCCCCTGCCCCCCGCGGGGCCGGCGGTCTCCTGGGCCCGGCCCGGCGCCCACGTCCCTTCGCGGCCGCAGAGCGCTCGCCCTCCGCTCGCCGGCGCCCCCTGCCGCCCGGGCCGGCTCCCGCGTCGGCGGCGGCGGGCGGGGCAGGGCCGCGGCGGGGCGGGCGCGGGGCGGGGGCGCGGGGCGGGGCGCGGGGCGGGGGGCGGGGCGGGGCGGGGGGGTGCGCGGGCGGGGCGGGGGGGGGGCGGGCGCGGGGCGCGCAGTCAGAGGCGGGGTGCGGCGGGCAGCTTTACTGGCTCGGGGCGCGGGGCGGGGGCGGGGCGGGCGCGGGGCGGGCGCGGGGCGGGGGCGCGGGGCGGGGGGGCGGGCGCGGGGCGCGCAGTCAGAGGCAGGGTGCGGCGGGCAGCTTTACTGGCTCGGGGCGCGGGGCGGGGGCGGGGCGGGGGCGCGGGGCGGGGCGGGGGCGGGGCGGGCGCGGGGCGGGCGCGGGGCGGGGGCGCGGGGCCGGGGGGGCGGGCGCGGGGCGCGCAGTCAGAGGCGGGGTGCGGCGGGCAGCTTTACTGGCTCGGGGCGCGGGGCGGGGGCGGGGGCGGGGGCGGGGGCGCGGGCCGCAGCCGCCAGGGCAGCTGGAAGTCCTCGGGCGCCAGCGGGCAGCAGTGCGTCGCCTCCACGTTCTTGAGGTGCTGGCGCGCCAGGAACAGCGCGAGCTGCCGGCGCCGCCGCGCGCTCAGGCCGCGGCCCACGAGCCAGGGGAAGGCGGGCCCGTGCGGCGCCGGCGCGCCCGGGGCCGCGGGGCCGCGCTCCTGCTCCTGCTCCTGCTCCAGGCGCGCGCGGTGGGCGCGCAGCAGCGCCAGGCACCGGTCGTCGTCCACGCGGTGGCGCGCGCAGAAGGCCGCCGCCTGGGCCCCGCCGCCCGCGCGCAGCCAGCGGGCCACGGCGCCGCGGCCCTCGCGCGCCATCACGGCCGGGTAGCGGTGGCGCAGCAGGCGCAGCAGCAGCTCGTCGCCGCGGTTGCCGTCCAGGCCGCCGGCCGGCGGGGCGCGCGCGGCGCTGACCACGTCGTCCTGCGTGCGGCGCAGCAGCAGCACCGGGCCCGGGTACAGGCACAGCTGCTCGGCCACGTTGAGGTTGAAGTGCTCGCGCACGGTGCGCACCACCAGCCCCTTCCAGCTGGGCGGCATGACCTTCAGGGCGAGCGGCACGAGGTCGTCGAAGGCGGCGTCGAGCACCAGCGCGCCCAGCTCGGGGTAGGTCATGGCGGCCCAGGTGGCCGTGAAGCCGCCGATGGACCAGCCGTAGACCACCACGCGCGCGGGCGGGAAGCGCAGGCGCTGCAGCGCGTACTTGACCACCACGTCCATGGCGTTGGCGTCGTGCTGCGGGAACGGCGCGCCCGTGCTGCCGCCGAAGCCGGGGTGGTTCCAGCCCAGCACCGAGTAGCCGGCCTCCAGCGGCGCCGCCAGGCAGCCCATCTCGTAGAAGCCCGCGTTGCCCTCGCAGCAGATGACCAGGCGCCGGCCGCGGCTGCCCGGCCGCCGCCGGCGGTCCATGAACATGGTGTCGACCTCGTTGCCGTCGCAGGCCAGCAGCTTGGCGCGCCGGCCCTGGTAGCGCGCCACCAGGCGCTCCTGGCCCTGCTGCAGCAGCGGCAGCAGCGCGCGCGTCATGAGGAAGGTGGAGCCGGGGTACACCAGCCAGCGGCCCAGCGAGCGCGCCAGCGCGTAGCTCGCCAGCTGGCCGGGCAGCTCGCGGATCTGCCGCAGCAGGCACTGCGCCTGGCTGCGCGCGCCCCGCGGCGGCCGCCCGGGCCCGGCCTCGCCCAGCGCCGCGCCCCGCAGCAGCCACACGCCGGCCGCGGCCGCCGCGCAGGTCAGCGCCCCGCGGCCGCCCCCGCCGGCGCGCGCGTCGTCCCAGCGGAAGGCCACGGGCCAGCCGCGGAAGTCGTAGGCGTACTGCGCGGCCAGGTACGCGCGGAACACGTGCGCCAGCGCGCGCACGAAGCACACCACGCACATGGCGAGGCCCGCCTCGGCGGGGGCGCCGGCGGGGGCGCGGGGCCAGACGCGCCAGCGCGCGCGGGGCGCCCCGGCGGCGGCGCCCGGGCCTTTGTGACCCGCCCGGGCGCGGCTTTGTGAGTCACGCGACCCCGGCCCGGCCCGGCCCGGCCCGGGCCGCGCGCCGGGACGCGGCAGGGCTGGGGGCCCCCAGTCCCAGGTCTGTGGCTCCGGCCCCCCAGGGCAAGGGGCCAGCCCGGGACACCCCCGCCTGAGGCCTGGCGGCTTGGGAGGGGCTGTTTGCCCGCGGGGCCCTCGGCACCTTCCCAGGAAACGGTGAGCCGGGCTGGAAAGCCCCAGCCTGCCCGGATCCTCTTTCTGTGGCCGCAGCGCCCACGGCCTCCCCAGGTGGGCCCTGCCTGGCCGCGGTTCCTCCTTGGGCCGGCCTGGGCCTCCCTGCGCGGCTCCGGCCTTCTGCTTTGCGCCTTCCCCTCTGGCGGTCAGCCGGCCGGGGGCGCCTCAGCTGGGGGCGCCTGAAACCCAGCCGGAGCCGGGCATGGGGGGGCACTGCTCGTCTTTAGGGGCTGGGGAGCAGGAGGGTTCTGGTGCGGGGTCAGTGGGTGGTGAAGGCTGGACGCGCCCCCAGAATGTCAAGATCAAATGCAGGACAGCAGTGACACCCAAGCTTCAGGTGAGCAGCAGGCACTTTGGGGTGCAGGTTTGCCAGCTCGGATGTGGCAAAGGCAACATTAAAGGTTTCTCTGAAATCCGCCTCCACCTGGCCGGCCTGCTGCTAGGGTTGTCGTTTTTGCTGAGTCTGGCCATTGCCACGGCCGCCGTCCGGCGAGACCCAGCGCGCACCCTAGCTGGGCAGGGTGCCAGCAGTCTGCAGCCCCCAGTCTGCAGCCACCTCCTCACTGGGCCCCGGGTGCCAGCAGGGCGATGAGGGAGCTCCACGAACCCCACTTGAGGTCACTAGACGGGGAGCCCTGCCCTGGGGGATGCAGGTCCTCCTGAACGTCCACCGGGGCTGTAGTGAGGGTGGGGATGGGAACTGGGGCCCGCCAGGTCCTCTGACGAACTCAGATGCAGTCTGTTCTGGGGAGTGGGGCTTGGCCCCCCTGCTTCACCGACCCAAATGCAGCCAGCAGGGCTGGCGAGGCCAAGGCCCCCACCCATTCAGGCCCTGCAGACATACAGACTCAGTGGGGTGTCTTAGAAAATTGCCCTGAACTGTGCTGGCACCCCACATTTTGTCTGGGTTCCCCAGAAAAGGGGAAGGGCACTCTGCCAGGGGCCACTCGGAGACGGGTGGGAGACGCAGGGCTCCCTCGGCCAGGCCCACCTGCCCCTTCTCGCCGGGGAAGAGCAGGAAGCGGGGGTGGGCACCGGGGACCGGATGCTGAGGAACAGAGGTCAGTGGGCTGGAGCTGCTGGGCCCCTGGGGCCTTATCCTGGGTCTGGCCTGGCCCCTGACCCCCCAGCCCATGGGAGCCCGATGCCCAGGATGGCCTGGAAAACATGTGACAGGAAAGGCGCCCCCCCCCCCCCGTCCCCTCTCCAGAGACCCCCAGATTGGACCAGCTGCAGCAGCACTGACCTCTTGTGCTCCCCAGCCCCCCTTGGGGAAGGTGGGGCTGTCTCCCCATTATGGGTTTGAGGAGCAGCCCCTCCCCCGTGTCTGCCAGGCAAGCTTCTGAGCTTGCCCCTCTGCCCTGCGGCTGCAAATCCAGCCTCTACCGCCTGGACCTGGAGGCTCCCACCTCCCCCACCGGTACCCCCCACCGTCCTGCTGGCCCCTCCCAGCCTTGATTTATGCTCGGGCCTCAGGCCTGGCAGGAGGAGGGAGGGGAAGGCAGC